CTGCATGGACCCTTTCTAATGATGCACAATGGTTCAAAGTCTGCTGCCACGTAGCATTACATTCTTTTCCACTACCCCCTGGTTGCAGCTGCTATATTGCATCATGCGGACGGAAAGCATATATTTTGCTCCTAAATTGACTCTAGAAACCGTCTACAGAAACAACTGCCATCAGTGGAACGGTAAATGCAAGTCCCACATCTCTTTGTACAGTCGATGCAAAAGGTTGAAGTGAGGCTCAATGTGAGACTGCAAATGAGGACAAGCGGGGCCAAGGCCGCCCGGGGCCCGGCGTTACACATTCACAGGGTGACATGGCTCACTATGACTCTCCCTGTGCCGCAGGGTGGGAACCAAATAAGGCAGAATTGCGCGCGGAAGGAGGGTTGTGGGGGAGGTGGAAAGGGGGGGGGGTGAAGAGGAAAGACAGCTCCCTCCAAGTGGGGAAAAAAGGGCAATTAGTAACCAAGTCCCCAGTGCAGGCCAGTTTGCCACGGGGGGGGGGTACCTCTGTGATTAGATTCCTTCTGACGATTTCTCTAAATCTTGCAAATCAAGCGCAAAATGCTGTCCGTGGGCAACGGGACAAGAGGACAATGTCGGGGGTCTACCAGGCAGCTCGCCGTCTAACTTTGAGCCCTTTTAATTAGAACCAGCTCAGACACGGCATGCTACACTGATGAAACGAGGAGAAGGTGTGAGGCCAAGAGATATTAATGGCAAATCATTCATGACCTCTGCCTGTCTCACATCGTCTCTCCGCCTTTTCTCTGTTCGCATCTCCCTTTCTTGTTCTTATCCACATTTATTTATCCACTTCCCTCCTCATCCTCTCCCAAACCACTGCTTTAATCATGGACAGTATCAAACGGCTCAATCTGCCTCCTAACAAGCTGTTACTATAGAAACTGCTCCTGTTAACGTTACTCCCACGCAGCAACCCGTCCACATCCTTTCACAAAATCCCCTTAAGCTGCGTTCGTTTTTGTATATCTTAGCATTCCAGCTGGGGTGATCTTTACCAAACACCTTCACAACTGTGACTTCAAGTCCTGACCAATGCAAGGGTAAGCTCCATGCACACCACAGGCGTGAGAAAAATCACTCCTGTAACGGAAATTCTGTCAGATAAAGAGCTTACAGAGGAAATGCACCTTTTGCTGTGATGTTAAAGGTCATCGGGTCCTGCAGATTACTTTTCTAAATGTAGAACTTAGTAATAGTCAAACAACAATTAGTGTTCAGTGGTGTGGTTAGGGAACTAGAGGTTGGGTTACATCTCCATCTCTTTTCAATGTAATGCAGTCAGAATGCAGATGAGCTGAAAAAGATGATTAGTTATCTGAATGCGCTTCAGTTACTACCGTACAGTCAAATTATTTGTAATTATTTATTAGATTTAGCTTTGAGTTTATGTTTTCTGTGGTTTGGCCAATGTAACTCTGCATTTGTCCTTTTCTACTTAATGAAGGACTTTCAAGTATCCTTATCAATTCAATCTACGAGGTCAGAAAGAACCAGCGTCTCTTGTACACCAGGTTATTTTTACCTGAAGGCCTCAATTTGTAAAGGCTCTGCTACTCTTGGGTCTCGGGAAAAATGTGCACATTCAGTATTTTATTTCTGAATCAATGTTGGTTTGGGAGGAGGGAAGGCTGGAGGTGGAGCCTCACAAACACACACATGCACACTCTTCACAAAGGTCGATCACACAGGCTTCAGTGGACATAGAATCTCCCTGAATTCCACTGTGTGACATGTTTACATACCCACTGAGCAGAGACCAGGGGAAAGGACTGATAATATAGAGCCACAGTGATGGATGTGTTCTTGTGGTCAGGCAGTCCCTGTCTCTCTCTCACACACACACACACACATATCAGATCTATGGACACCCTCCCCTCTACAGGGACATGTCTGCATTTCCTCATCCCTCCCACAGACATACACAAGTGCACACGTAGCGTAAACGCTGGATGGAATGATGTAGCTTCACACACACGCACATACAAAGGAAAGAAGGTGAATGATTATTTGTGCACGGATAGAAAAGTAAACTTAAAGTGTCTTAGGGAACATCAAATGGAGTTGTGTCCACCCGTGGCAATCAACTGCTGTTTCCAGGGAAACAAGTGGCGCACACCTTAAAACATGAAGGAAGAGGAGAGCAAGTACTGAGAGGGGAAGAGATAATGAGGTGGGCTGATGGCAAAGAATGAGCAACAAAGAAAATAAAAGTTAAGACACAACAGAAAATAAAGTTCAACGTTTGGGATCCTCTGATCTTTTCCAGCATTTAGACAATTACCAGGCTTTTGATTTGGCTTGTTGCAGACTCTCATTACAGACCCGATTCCAGGCCTCCTTCCCTCAACATCTGCTACTGTAAACATTTTAAGCAGTTATAAGAAATGTTATTATTAGACAGCGTGCAGGCTATTCTCCTTCTACTGCCAAGCACCTGACACATGGTGGAGTTTAAACAGTGTCTGTGGCTCATCCACACACTACGCTGTTAACACATTCAAAGGGACTTTTTCCTTCAGCAGAAAGCGGTTTCCATGGTAAATTACGAATGCGATGCCCAATAAACGAAGAAGGTGATCCTGTCAGATCGCATTAGCATCAGCGACATTATTGCTGAATCTCTGGCTGGCTGGATGTGGGGTCACATGTTGGCCCTGCTGTTAGGCCCTAAATAGATGTTGTTTTACAAGTAAAATAATTTTTAGCAGAGGGTATGTGCATTCACTGTGTACGCTTACATGCACACGTCTCACAGGCTCACGCTAAGTAGGCCAATATTTCACTTCACAAAAAGGGGAAACATACAGTAAGCAAATTGCTCAGCACTGTCACGTAGAAGTCAGTCTTCATTTCTCCAAAAAGAATATAGAAAGAAGAGGGGCGGAGGGGGGCTAAGACACAGCAGGAGAGAAAGCGAGCGCGAGCTCCCGGCTGCCTGACCTGACTCGGTTATGTAAACGAAATAAGTGTAGTGAGCAGCGGCTGCGAGCGACGGGCAACATTGCTTGATGAGCAACGGCGTGTACCGAGAGAAAGGGAGGGAGCAGCGGTGGGTGTCTGAAATTACCTGCATGTTATGTTTCACATTTGCTTTGTTTGTTTTTTTTCTTCAAATTGGACAGAATTGTTAGCAAGCTCGCCAAAATTAAAAAAGTCCTCCTCCCAGCCTGCTGTCCTGTCCCCATTGCGTCTCGGTCTCAGTCAACGTCTCTGGTCTGTCTTTCTCCCTCACTATCTGGTGTCTCTTCGATTGCCTCTTTACACAGCTGACCTCAATAGAAATGGCAGTATGAGGCAGGAATAACTTGCCAGAAACAAAATAGCTCGACCGATAAAAAGCATCTGTTTAGTGCTGATAAAGAGATGGATTGTTGTTGTTGAGATGCAGCCAGGATGGTCTCCATTGAGGGCTCGCTTGCTTTTTCATGTTGTTTGGGAGATCAGATAAACCAAGTTTTTGGTTACGAGTGGCTAAGCCCTCAAATCTTGATATGCAATTATTCATGAATTGTTTATCCTGCTTTTGATTCTAGTTTGCTGCTCTCTGTTGTATGTCTCTTTTTTTTATGTTTTATCATTTCTAGGAAGCTTAATCAAATCCAGTAGGGGGGCAATGGCCCCGGGACGGAAAAAGAAAAAGACTACAGGAAGGTTCTTGCTTTCAAAAAGTGTAAATATTTATTAAGGGCTTTTTTCTGGATTTGTCCAGAAGAAATATTTTCCGCCCTCGGCGAGCAAAGCCTCAAAATGTAGTTTTTAAAGGCACCATCTAAGTAACAAAATTAGATTTTCTCCTATAGGATGATTGAATAGGAGCGTCAGAAATTTTAACGAGGTCAAAAGACGAGTCATAGAGGAGCAATTTATGGCTCCGAGTTGTCTAGCTTGTCACCGAAGCGCATAACTGGGAACGACATTGGCACCCTACATCCCTGTTACCACGGCCTCCTATTCCCCGTTTGTTCCAGTGGTCTATTCCTGCTTCGTCCTTTTTATTCTCTGCTTCACAATTAAAACATGCTCAGAATTGCAGAGTGCTGTTTATTTAAGTAACAACCCGAGCAGTTAACCGCAACAGTGCACACATACCCACAGATATTGTACGATCCCTGACTACAATCCCACGTATCCGGGACGTTTAGGAACCGTTCATTCATCCATTCACTTAGAAAAAAATCAATACATAAAGCTACAAAGTTCTCAAGGACGTATCTCTTTGGATTAAATTTAGTGAGTCCACTGTGTCACCACAGGGCATGTTGTACCAAAACACAGCCTGTATATTAATGCAAAGGAACAGGAAACTAGAAAGAACCTTGTCAGCCATTCATAAGCACACCTCTATAGATGGAAGAACATGATGATACCGTTAGCACGTGTGAGCGTGTACTTCATACAACGCAAACCAGGGTGTGAATGTCACATGTTTGACAGCTCCTCACATATACTTTATTCTTTAGATTAAATCTTCTATGTAAATATATTTCTCATCTCATATAAATTGTTCTCGTTCCTCCGAACCGTTGCGTCTTTCAACACATCACCATATGTTCTCTGTTACAGGGTCTGTTTCATCTTGTCCCCTGCAGGATTGCCAGGATTCCTGTGTCCTGTGTTTTCAGGTCTGCTCCTGCTTTGAATACTGAGGAGCGCGACGCTGTTTATGAGCTCATTGTCTCACATGTGTGAGAGTGGCAAAGAATTCTGACAGATACTGGAAATGAAGTGGCAGGGGGCAACTTGGAAATGCTGGGCTCTGAAACGGCTTGTCAGCAGCTGTCAGTATTTGATCCATCACACTGTGCAGCAGTACATTTGAACTTTGGAGAAAAAAAAACGAAATAACAGTCCTGAAGTTTTACATTGCATTCATCTGAATACGTTCGGGAGGAGCGAGCGAGAGGATGAACTAATCCACGCTGATGGATTAGAGCGAGTTAGGTGGGCAATGGGGGAGAGGAGACCAGACTCACCGCCATGAACGTAGCTGAGCAGCGTACAGTCAGAGGGGCCCACCAGATGGATCAGACTGGACTGGCTGAAACCAACTGTGTGTTTTTCTGCAATGCAAACGCACACATAATAAAACAGAGGTGAAAAATTGTGTTTGTTTATGTTGAAAATGTGTTGCTTGCTCATATGCATTTTGTCCGAAATAACGGCGATTTAAACGGCATGCTTCTGCAAGCTTAGATGTTGATTGGTTAGCTTACCCTTTGGTGGATTCTCTGGGTTTGAATGAACATGACAAAATTACAGGATTAGTAATCAATCTTATGAGCTGAAATCAATATCAATATGACGCGATGATTAAATACATCTACAGAGCAAACATTTTCCCCCGATCAATTCATGTTATTCAACATAATTGTTTAAAGTTCTTTCTTTAGTTTCCAAGATATGTATTTCATGTTTATCAGAAGGCCCAAGTTAGCAGCACTGCTTTGTGTCGGGCCCAACAACACCCCCGAACTGTTAGATTATTGGACAATAAAGTACAGCCTCTCGTACCTTATTGCTTAATTGCAACAGACAAAAGTTCCATCTTATATTTTCAACTTTCTTTCAAATCTAGGAACAGTACAGCACCGATTTATGTTGTAAGTTGACTGCTTTCACAGGTTTGATTGGAGGCCTTTGGTGCAGGATGTTACCTGGGTTCGGTGGAGGCGGCAACACCATTTCAGTCCTCGCTTTGGTCTCTCGTCTCTCCAGCTTCTGAGCCTCATAGCGCTTTCTGCCCTGCTCCTCTTGTACTTCACTGGCATACTACGGACAGAGCATACAGCATACAGTATGAGCGCGTGCACAGGCTGTATGCCCGTCTCTGCATGGCTGCATGCGGAATAAGAAAGGTTTGTCACATTGACATTCAACAGACAAGACATGCAAACTGGGATGCATGGAGTGCTGGAGGGAGGGTCAGATGGAGACACACAGAAGCCAAAAGGGAAAATGCCAAGTTTCAATGTACCTTGATAGGCGGCACATCCATGACCTTGTTGACATTCTGCAGCGAGCAGGGGACGTACCACAGAGCTGCCTTGTTGGCCAGCTTTTTGGTACCTGCAGTCACAAAGAAAAGGTTGAATTCAGAAAATGTCAGTAAGGAAGCTTTGTTCCACCAAACAAAGAGACAAAATATACTTTTTTTTACTATAAACCAATAAGCCACAAGTTTTGACATTTCTTTCATATAAAACAACAATGGTGCAAACAGAAAGAAACAGCTCTTGTCAAAACAGACACGTCCATTAATACCCCAATAACAGCCTATCCGGTATTTAATACATCCAGTGGTGCTGTTTGAACACTAGTCTTTCTTCTGCAGACAAAGAAGCAGAAAACCAATGAGGACTTTGTTTAAAGACAATCAATCAAGACAAAAGCTCACTAAACGCAGACCCTTGGTAAGTGCGAGATTTTGCATAATCTGTAAATCCTGAACTCTACATTTTCATGTTGCCATTATAAAATAGGAGACATACAATGTTAACTCACTCATTCAATTCTTTGTAAAAAATACTCTTCTTTGTTGGCAGTTGATACATTATTGTCTCGCCTGCCAAAACGTGGAGAAGTTCTTACTTCTTCTTTGAAAAAACCTTTTCAACGTTACCAGTGTAGGTAGCATTAGAAGACAGGTATAGTGAAACATGTCATAACATGTGACACCACTATCATTTTAAAATAGAAATGACCCCGTCAGCCCCCCGAGACCTTATTTGGACTGATAAACAAATGTTGGACGCTCATTACATAATTCTTTTTTTTTGTTTCAGCAGTTTAACTGTTCAGATATTTCAAGTATTACATATAATTGTGGTTTTTACATCTTGGAAAATGTACTTAAGTACTTCAGTTCATCCCACTTATGCATCACTATACAAAACCCATTTCATCATCATTTACAGAAGTTCATATACGTATCTTCCCAATGACGTTTGGTCCATAAAGCACATTAAATGTTTTGGTAGTTGGAGGCATTATCTTCTCTGCCTTCTCACAGAAAGTTAAGACAGAAGAAAAGACGACAAAAATTGTGGGAATCTCATAGCAATCAGGCTGAGAGGTTGCCATAGCGATATCTGTTCTACTCTGCTTACACTTTTTTTCTCTTAATTCTCTAGAGCGAGAGGGGTTATTTAGAGTCTGTTGTTATGGCATACAAGGGGGGCATACAGATTAAAGACGCTCATAATACTGAATGCTTGTATGCAGCATTTCATGTACTCAGCGGATTGATGTGTCTTGTTGCCACTGATGGAGCTTGTGTTTAGATTCATCAGATATCAAGATGAAGAATCGGGCCGTTACTGTGTGCACTCTGCTGTACGGTAAGCAGACCGAGGCTTTGCAGCAGGACATGTGAACATAAGAGAAGAGAGTGGGAGTAGAGGCTTATGGCAGACTACATTTGCATTTTACACCCAAGTTAAAAATGTGCAGACAGCCGAGCCGCGTTGCCATGCCGACTGAGCTTCTCTCCTCTCATTGGTTCCCATGCTTGCATGCAATCAGGAAGTTGCCCACAGGAGAAAGTCATATTTAAATATCCTTGAGTCTACCAAGGCGGAGAGACTCCAGTTTATTATTAGCCGCTGCTGGACCTTTTAAGCGAATTGTGTTTTGGACGGATGGAGGAAGGGAGGTGGGGAGGTGGGGAGGGCGAACCGAGGGAATCAACTATTCCCACTCCGACTAACAACCTTTTGGGCCGCAGAGTAATCGGGGGAACTGGCTTTGAATTCAAATCCCTCTGCATTAAATGAAGGCAGTGTCAATATTTGACCATGTCATTGTCCTGTTACCTTCACAGTGTGTCTGCTTAAACAGATTATTGCTACTCATGCTTGGAGTGTCATGCACATTGTTCAGAGAAAAGCAAGTTCAACAGACCTCATTCATAAAATGATCTTTAATAAGACAAATTCATCTCGGTCTTTTTGTAAAAATGGCTGTAGAATAATTTTAGACATGGGTTTCTTGTATCTGTTGGTTTCTTTGTCATTACCATAAACGTATTGCAGTGACAAAAGAAAAGGTTCCTACGAGCAGGAGGGACAGCTGGCTTACTTAGAATGAATGAATTAGTAAATAGGAGGGTTCTGGCGGCATCCGCTCCGAACACAAGCTGCACAAATCTGCTCACTCCAATTTCCCCACTGTGTGGCACAATGCTCAATAAACATACCACAGTGATTTTGTGTGTGTTTTTTTTTTTTTCAAGTTAAGTTGATGGCAGCTTTGGAACAATGAAAGGCACTCTGGCAGCTACGATGACAGCTGAGACAAAATGGCACCTGGCTTTCTTTTAATTGATCGCTTAATGGTGCAGCAGTGCATTAGTGTGCAAGAACTGCCCGTGAGTGTTACATAGGAGACCATCACTCAGCTGGCTGTCAGCAAACAGAGAGCAGTGATAAAATAAACTGACGTAACCGTAGCAACAATAGAAACTAAGAGCCAGTCTGCATCAAAGGCAAATCATTCTCATCGGATTATCGGTGTGTTTATTTTAAACGTTCAATTTATCATGGGAAGGAAATCCAGAAAACTGGGGTTTTAACAACTAAACAAAGAGCACTAGTAGCTGTTGGACATACAAGGCTTTAACTTTCTAATAGGCGGTAGAATTCCCAAAAGCTTTGCTTAGTCATATTTAATAATAAATGAGGGCATTTTTGGGTACTTATTTCAGTGTTCACATGGGCGCTTAAGAAGGCGAAACATCCCTCCAACACTACTCATGCATCACGCAATCCACTTTAATCTAAATTTAAGCCGTCAATCACTACTTCAGACCATTTTTAATGGTTCCTAGATGCACATTTAGGTGCTCTGAACAGTGCGTCATTCCAGTCTGCTTTAACATCTTTAATTTTTTATTTTATTGCTCCTTTTTCGCTTTCCCTTGACATCCCCTTCACCGACGTCCATCTTTCAACTCCAACAGTTTCACTTGATTTATCGCTCTGTTGTAATCGTTCACCCCTCCTCTATCCTCCTTGACTCCTGCCCACTATCCGTCATTCTTTCCCCACCTCGTTTCCTTTTCTCCTTCCTGATCACCATGTTTCAGGCTGAGAGACAGTGAGGATCAGTCTCAGCACTTGATCCACATGATCAAAAACACACATTTTCCATTCTGCTGAGCCAAGGCTACTTTTAACTACCCTAAAAATCCCACTCTTAGATGTTGTAGCGCGATAGAAATGTATGACATCATGCCATGGGTAAAGTTTTGGTGTGGGTCACTTAATAAATTATGCTAATTTTAAGCACATTTGTGCCACATTTTATGGATTATAAAGTGATTCAACATTTTTCAGCTCTCTTTCAACATGTGCAGTTTCGTGACCACCCAGGATCACGGCAGGAACTGCGATGATTATTTCCAGCATTAACCCACAATGCATTGCTCTCAGCTCTATCTATGCGTGTGTGCGTGTTGAGGGGGCACAATCTGTGTATGATGTGTTTATGCAAATGTGTGCTTGAGTGTACATGCAATGCGAGCCTTATTATCTCTGCGGGAATATTCTGTATGTGAGTGTTTGATCCGAAGGTGGCTGCGTGCAAACCTGCGTGTATTGATCAATATTCTGTCTTTTTTGTTGTCTTTTAATTTCACACCTGCAGACCTGGTGCGTGTGTGCTCGTACAGATGCATTTTTCTAACAGGGATCTGTGTGTGGACGTGTGTGTTATTGTGACAGTGTGCCGTTTTGAAATATGAATGTGTATTTTCATGCATGTTTGTGCATACTGACGATGTGAACAGGTCTGTGTGTGTGCTAGTGCGCATGTGCAATCCCCCCAGCGGGAACAATCATCACGGCTCGTGCCCACAGTAGGCAGCCTCCCCCTTGGGGGCGGTGACTGAGGCCTGCCTGACGAGATGTTGCCTGACTGACTGTGGAACCTGGGTGCTGCCTCCTTCCCCAACACACACACACACACACGTGAAATAAACATGAGAGAAAAAATACAAAGATGAGTGTAATCTAAATAGTATTGCAGAACATAAGAATCATGAGCATTTATGTTGAAACCAAGCAGCACAAAAGCAGCTTTCGGATATACACAAAAGTGCATTCAAATATGAATTTAAACAACATATGCGAGTGTAAAATGTAAAAATAAAATGTCTTCTTATTACTGTTCAAGCCATCTATCAATTTTTTGTCTGGTGAAAGAAACCCTGCCAGTCTTGCCTCAGTTCGGAACATCTTTTCGAAAGAAGGGCTGTGTGTGTTTAGTGTGTACATGCGTGAAGACATGTAGACGTGTGACTTTTTCTATGCAGAATGTGTCTGCGTGTGCATATCGAGCTCTGTATGCACACAGGTCACAGCCCGCATGTGTGTCTCAGAATGTGTCGGGTACATGCGTCGTGTCGCAGCATGTGTGCAGGTACATCCACTTGGCGTCCGTGTCTGACTGGGCCGCAGTGTGTGAGGCCTGATGCTAAGCTGACATGACAGAAGCAAATAATGTCTGCTCCCGTTATCTTCTCTTCCCCCTCGGCCCCGCAGGAACCTTTTAAAGGGCCAAACACTGATTAAATCCCACACACATACCCAGGCGCGCACACACACGCGCGCATGTAAATACAGATTCACCCACTACGCATAGACATAATGTGTCACACATGCACATGTGTGCAAACACACATTTGCAAAATGATGCATCTAATTGCGAGGCCCAAGGAGTGACAGACGCAGCCAACGTAACTTTTCTTTCAGTTATCGATAACGGACAACCGCGGACATTACAATAAAAACTCATTTATAAAAACATACTGACACTCATACTTTCATATGAATAGCAGCTGTCTCAACTCAGATGCATGCACCCGTATATGACCTACTTTCTATAGCCAGGCTCTGACTCCACTTTTAATGTAGAAGCTAAATGTAAATACTATATAAAGATGTCTAATATTTGTTTGGTTGAGACTGACAGATGATGCCGTTATCAAGATATATATATATATATATATATATATATATATATATATATATATATATATATATATATATATATATATATATATATATATATATGTGGGCAGATGTGGCAGATGTGTGTGAGAGCTCAAAGGAACGTTTGATGTCCCAGAGAAAGACCCCTCAGCGCCTAATCTCAACGCTGTCGCACATCTATGTGTACCCCCACACTGACCCAACTCCAAAACTACTCTTTGAATTAAGAACCCATTAACATCAACAACCTAGAACCTAGAATCTATTAATAGAGGAACTGAACCATTCCTCAGGAAGTGACATGCAGCCGTTTTCTTCTGTGGTATTCTATTTTTAAAAAGGGAGGATCTGCGTATAAAAGTAAAAACATGTCATATTTACATCAGAGCATATGAGGATGTCTTCTCTTTTGTCCGATATATGAAGAATATAGGAATAAAGCCTTGAATCACAGATCCTGTGAGGTGCATCGGATGAAACTCTTAGTGGTATTACTTCTTCGAGGTCCTTCCCAATAGCTCATGTAGAAGGCCGTCCTTGCCGATGCCTGCATATGTGTGCTCCTCTCCACCTGTCATCTCATATCTCCGCCTTCGTCAACCAGCTTCCAGCCCAGCAACCAGCCAACCAACCAGTACAAGTCTGTTGCTAGGGCAACGGCCGTCTAGGGGATACTTCTTCTGTTTCTCACACCTCCTTTCCTTCATCCCTCTGTCTATCTCCTTCATACGCTCACCCTCTTCTTCTTCTGTTCCATGTGCTATCTTCTTCCTCATGAATATGTTTGTCCGCACTGTCTTACTGTGTCACTCGATCGCCCGGTCTTAATTCAACTAACTTCTAACTACCGATTCGTTAACAACAACGCACACAAGCTACACATTGCAACATACTGAGAAAAACTCCCCCGATGCCACTCAAACGTATCCACGCCAGCATCACTGTGATATGTTGTGCATGTGAATCCGTACATGTTTCATCATCTCTACTTCTAAAGCAGTTGCAGCATGCTCAGGGCCTTATGTGCTTCTACCGACAGTCTGTGCATCACTGGCCTTTCAGAGACAACGCTAGGTCAGCCAAATGTGATCCTCCCATGGTCTTCACTCAGAGGGGCTATGTGTGAGTGTGTGTGTATACAGCATGCTCTCCTGTGTACATAGCATGCATTCAATTAGCACATATCATAATAATAGAATATAATTAACGACTGCATCACTTGGCTAAGATTCTAAACTAGAAATCAGCACGGCTTAGTTTCTACACCCGTGTCACAGCATGTCGTTCAGAGCCCCATGGAAGCAGTGTTTCATCTCTCATGCTTCTTAGGCCTCTGTTACTTATTGTGCGCTGCCCTCTACTGGTAAAACAGCAAAATATCACTGAGAAGTGTTTTTTGCAAAAGCCAATCGCACTCGCAGGCGATTTCCTCTGCCAGAGGGGTTGTTTTGTGTGTGTATGTGTGTTTTGTCCATCCTCCTGCTTGTGAATACTAGTCTCTCATTTATTCTTCTCCTCTGAAGTGATATGATAACGCGACAGGTTGAAACAAATATTCTTTCAATATGACATATTGTTTCCACAGGTGTAACTGCATTATTCATACAACACGTAGAATGTGTGTGATTTGCCTATATTGAAATTCTAATTCAACACTTATATGTATTATCAAACAGTTATGTGCCTGCCGAAAAACAAAAAATTGCTGGTAAATCACCTGTGAGGATGTCTTCGGCAATGACTTCGACCTGCACCTCCAGCGAGTGCTGAGAGGTGTAAGTGATGTCAGCCGTGACGTGGGCCACCTCGCCAATGAACATGGGGGACAGGAACTCCGTCTTCTCCACCCGAACCAGAGCGGCCAAGCAGCGGTCCTAGAGAGGAGAAACAGCAAACCGGAAACTCTAAAAATATTGAAACCTGCTTTCACAGGACAGAAAACCCCAACAACATCAGTCTGAAACAAGTCTGAGTCATTTGTATTGATTACTTGTAAATCCACTACTAGTACAATGATGTTTATATTGGTTATTAGGGCACAAAATAAATAAATCTGCTTCATGATACTGAAACTAATGATCTCTGCAATTATTCAACTTTAAATAGTGTCTGACTTGAAATGAGTATGGATATTTATTTTAATTCTTAATTCAAGTTACGGTCACTTGCCTTCTCGTGATTAGCAGTTTTATACAATCTGTTACAGGACCTCCAGTATGATGAGGTTTCAACACAAAACCCTCTTCTTTCAAGGTTTGAATGGCATAACACTATATTCTCATTCAATATTTTGTATCTTGGGACAAAATATCTAATTCAAAGATTTGGTAATAGATGGCCAAACAAACCATTGATGATGAAAAGAATATAAACCCATTAGCACATCTTGTACATCTACAGAAATGATTACACAAAATAATATATAGCGATCATGACATGAAACTATCTTCGACGTCTGCCTGGCCCCTTTACCATCATTGTTCGTGTTATCTTGAAACAAGAATAGTCATTTTATTTTACATTAAGCAAATAGATTTCTGGAAGCAGTACATCCTGCCTGAACTTCAAATATTTGCTCCCATTTGTTTCCTTGTTTTGATAGGGCGTTTTGGCAGTGAGGTATTTTGGCAGTGAGGTATTTTCATTATAGGTGGAACACTTGATAAAATCAGTACCAGTCATTCTAAGGACGACACTATCTTCATTTCAGCCAGGTGATGTAATAGGAACAGAGTTGCCCTTAACTCCATCAAGACTCTAGTCAGACAGGTTAAAGGTACCGAGAAGCACGAGATAAGCTTAGATCTTAAGCATAGACATGACAAAAAATATGTGTTTATTAAAGCAGGCTCCACTGATCCTGAGGACTTGTTTTTTGTCTGTAATTCTTGCTCTTCCTGGTTTACACAGGGTGTATTTATCTGAAGACTTAGTTTAAGTAGCAACTTGTTCACAAGTTAAGTAGTTATTTTGAATTATTATTATTATTATGATTTTCCCACTTTTATATTGTTGTTGTTGTAAGATTACTATCAAAATGATGCAATCTCAAGCCGGTTAAAGTTCACCAGGTGGGTAAAACCAAAACACCCTGGTGATGTAACAGTGAAACCAGCAACATTATTGCAGCTATGCAGTTGGGACATAACAGATCTAAATGTCGTTATATACTGTTGCTATAGAAGGTGAACTATTTAACAGTAAAGTACACTCTCAAATTAAATCAACCAACTGTTATTTTATGGCTGGATAAACTGTGTTAATAGCATCTTGTGATCTCTAAAACAAAGGATATTAAGAATGTTGACCTCTAACCACCTTTAAACACAACAATGACTCATCATAAGCTATTGAGAAAAACAAAACTACAGAAGATTTTTTTTTTTTTTTACCCCTTGATGGTTTGTTAATTGACAAATTTCCCTTTTTCCATATTTAAATGAAGTGCTTAATGCAAATAAAGCTTCTAATGTTCTTTTCTTTTTGGAGCACACCACACTAATTGATTATTATACACTAACTCTCTGTTTATTAACACTTCATACTGGACAAATGTATGATTGTACATTTCACATATTTTTGGTACTAAACGATTTGACCTTCAACCCCTTAAGGAGAGAACTCGTGCCACAGCGCAGTGAAGCAGCGCGGCGATGGCGTGAGTAGCTGTGGTCTCTTACTCCGCTCTGTGCGTTGCAGTGTCGCGTACCGACGATGCATCCGGCCTCCTCGATCATCTTCAGGATGATGCCGCCGTGCACGTTGCCCACAATGTTGGCGTCATCCGGCCGCATGATCCTGTAGTAAAAGAGAAGATCAGCTAGCATGACTCGGGATGGAGAACGTTTAGTCCATAATCCAGGATTTTGCACTCTCCTCTCACTCTACAACTTGAGCCCACGAAATAAAGTGTTTTTCCGTTTGAGTCACTGAGCGGTTATTGAGAGTATTTTAATCACACAACATAGTTTCCATTTGCTTTGTAGGACGGGACGTTTGTGGAATCTAGGAGGAATTTCTACGTGTGCTTCTGCTGTGATGTGCTGGAGATGAGATCACTTCTATCGGGCAGAACACGTTGCCGTCTGAGTATTTTCTAAAAAATGTTGAGTCTACCTGATGACAGGATACAGTTATCACTAAGCGCGTTGTACGTTGTCGTTTTAAATTCTTCCGTGTGTGGGTGGAACTAGTTTAACCAGTTACAGGTGTGCGCCGTTGCACCGAGATCTGACTTATCAAGGGAAGCAGACAAGAGAAGCTGACAGTAATTAATCATGTTATACAACATTAGTTAACCGCCTGAAGAATGCCACTGATCCCAGAGTGCAGCGATTAATGTGACGGTGCACTTCCCCTAAAAAACTCATCACAGCTGCACGTGACTGGAAGGGAAATTTCACAGATGCAACACTAAGCAACAGGTGAAGGGAATGAGGAAAAGCGTAGGAGGACTTTCATCAACATTAGTGTATCATACATAATAACCACTAAATAAATGAACAACTCTACTACTACGACACTGCTGCAATAGAGAAAGAGAGAGAAACATCATATATTTATAAGATATTGCAATCCAATCCACGGCAGAGGAAGCTGAAGTTCATTCAACGCTGCTCTGACTCAGTCGGAACAACTATTAAACGCTCTGACAAAAGGCAGCATTAAGTGTGACGCAGGTCTGTGTGTATGCGATCAGTTCAGTTTTTAAACCCGAGTATCCTTTATTTTCGGCATCATTGCGCGTGTGTGTTGGTTAGTTAGAGATGAACTACCTGCTGAGTTGATACTTAGAGTCCTGCTGCGCTGCCGCCTCCACAGCCGCCCTGACATCTCCGCTGACTCGCTGACTGTGGCCGGCCTGGCGTTTCTCTTCTCCGCGTGCCGCCTCACTGGCGCCCTTGTTAGTCTGAGGTCTAAAGCAACGCATCTTTGCACTGCCGGACTCTTGGTCCTACTCTGGCCCACTTCCCCTTTATACAATCTCTGGAGTCACATCTTCTGAGACTCTGGGCAGAAACCTTGTTGTGGGCGGATAATAAAGATGACAACGCCTTAGTGGTTAAACTGGATCTCAACACACCCACTGATGCAGGGAGGTACAAAGAATTAAATCTGCCATTATAATCACTTTTTTGTTTGAGACAACTGACAGGCGCAGTAAGAAATGCTTTGAATGTGATCTTCATGAAAATGATTTTGTTTAGTTGGAATGTACGTTTTCTTCAGGATTTGTGTGCCCATGCTGCTTCGTTATGTGCCTCAACCTGTCTCCGTACGATTTTTCTTCAACAATAGCCAGGAAATCCAAAGGCACGCCCCAACTTAATACCACTGGTAATGCGTTTAAAGAACATGAACAGTTGAAACCACCTGATTTAGAGCTGAATGTTTATGCCAGGATCTAGTCTGAAAGTCCCCCCGCCTTTTAATCTTGTTCACATATTCATTCACTTTCCAAAGGGCCGTCCCTTCTATCTTATACAGTGGAAAACCGCCCTTAACCATATCGATGTTCAACCTCCCACGAGCACTATGTCAACTATTCCTAATACTGTATGTAAAGTAACACTTGTAGTCCATTTCGATGAGGTCTTGTCTGGTCTGAAGACATATGAATGATTACATTTTTTTTACATGAATTCTTTTTATTTTTAAAATTAGAGCCATCTGCAGTAGCTACACAAAAAAAAGCTTACAAACAACTAAATGGCAAAGTGCTGCTGCCGTGCACAGGTGCATGGATAGAATCAAACTCTTCACACTGAACCACACACAGAATACCCAACGTTACCTGTGGTGAGATGAAAAGCGGCGAACGCTGCAAATTAGCTTGAGAAAATCATATCGTAGCATCCTTTCCTTCCCGAGCGCCACGGCCAGAACACAGCAGAAAGAAGTGACTTTGGTGGAGGACTTACATCGCTAGACAATCTCACATCGCCAGACAATCTCACATCGCCAGGTGAAACAGGTATTCAGCAAACACTCACAGCTTCGTTATGCAGCCCTCAGTCCTGTGTATGTCTACACACACACTAGTTAACTATTCATGACTTAGAAAGGTTGAATTTCCCAAAGACATTTGGTGTTGCCAAAAGTGGTCTAGGCAAAGTAAAAGAGGCTGATGCTCTCTGTTGAGATGATGGCTACATATTTAGCGAGGCTCATTTAGTTGTTGGTAATGTTTTTCAGCATATAACTAGAAGTAAGGCCCACAGTTTAAAATGAACATCTCCTCATATGAATCCTCTGACACTTTTACAATCGCACAGCTCAAGTTCATAGTCAGTGAAAGAGTTTCTAGGCTCTGTTACAGATCTAGAGGCATTGTCTCTATCTGCTGCCATCGCACTACACACACACACCTATAGGCAGCTGACACGCAAAATGTTATTTTCATGCTTCAGTTATTAAAAAGCCGTAGCAGGTCAATCACATAAAGTCAAGAAGGCTTGACCATTTAGGACAGCGTGAACTCATCCGCCTCATATATTGTTGTTTTCCCTATAAGGTTTCTTCCTCCCTGTTAAAAGATTATTTTCCTTTTGGGGGAGTTTTTCAGTGTGTCCCGATGAGAGGGTTTTGAGAAAAAGGATCATTTCACATGTGTACAGACTGTAAAGTTCGTAATGAGTGATTTGGTGCTATACAGAATGAAATGAATGAAATAGTCCAACTTTAATGTGGCTTCTCTCTCACTCTGAATTACATTCTGTCTATTCAGCATATAAAATGAGTAGAAATTGAATGTAGTGTTGCCACCCGTCCCGTAAAATACGGAATCGTCCCGTATTTGAGAATAAAATAACGCGTCCCGTTTTGAATGACGGGGTTTGTCCCCTCATTTTCCGAGCTGTCATCAACGCAGCATCCGATTCGGCCCCGCGTTGCCCCGGTAATACCGGTAATACTCGATGCCATCGTTGGTTTGATTGTCCGTGGACCTAAAATAAACCAATCGGAGTGAGAGGAGGGCGGGTCTCCTGCCGGAAGGTCCATTTGAAGGAACGGCGGAGGCCTCCCCGCTGTGCCGCAACGTGCGTGCCGCCCCTTATGTTTCTGTACTAAGGGTGAAATCCCTAATGGAATGTGACAAAATGTCACATAATACCTATAAAACCGACAAGACAGCTTATTACACAACAAGTTTCAATGAAGAGCTATTTTCACCGGAATTTAGTGCAGCTGTGTAGTACAAGTGACCTGCTGGGAAATGAAGACGATTCACTGCGAAGGTATTTTAAAACATAACACTCACTGCAACTGTGTTTACCTGCAGCAGTACTTCCGGTTGATAATAAACAACAAAGGACCAATCAGACGCGCCATTTAACGCCACATTTCACGCGGACTGCGTAGAAAACGACGCTCTCATTGGCGGAAGGACGGAGACGTCCCGGCGTGTCCTCGGTCATGTCGGCGGGCGCCAACACGCCGGTGACCGCGTTGCGCGTTGAGGTCATCGCGGAAGATGTCCAACGTTCTGCGCCTCCGCCGGGGAACCGACACACGAAACGACAAGAACCGTTTACGCGCCGTTTAGTTTGCCCGCGACTCCTGGACGGTAACCGTAACGCACCACGTATATCACCATAAGAGGATTAACGGGGGGGGGGGGGGCGACGCAGCCGTCCTCTTGTCGAGCGGCAGCACGTTTTAGGCGCGTATCACCCACCTGCATATCTGAAGAGGGGACGCTGTCCCGCTGGCCCGCGGTGCCGACATGGCGAGGATGAGGATGAGGACGAAGGGCTCGTTGGTTTTCGTGTCGCGCCGCCGGGACTCCTGTGCGATGTGAAGGGAAGTCGCTCCGCTTCGGCCGCTCCGTCTGGTCTCCTCGAGAAATGACTCATCTGAACGGAAACTACTGAGGCTTCACGGAAATGCGCAGAGCGGGAGTTTTCCCGCTAAATTGTTCATTCGAAATGCAATCGAATAAAAGCCATTTAGGATTGTGAATGGGGAGTTTTTAAACATGGGAAACATATAATGGTGCAGTGTCCATGGAAATAGAAAACATAACCAGGTCAATGCCTAAAGCCGTCGGTGGGGGGCAGCAGAGACCGTATTCACACTGTGAGCGCGTTACACCACAACATCCGTCCCGGAGTCACACCGGCTAACGGGTTTTATTCAGTTAAACTCTGGACATTGAATACGGGGGGGGGGGTCACGTGTACAACGTGGCAGCATGTTTACTGAACCAAGCTCTAAGTCAAAGTCTGGAGACGCTTTAATTTCCACGATCATTGCTGGAGAGATGAAAGGACTGAGCATTTTTTTTTCAGATGCCTCTCAATAAAATGCATCTCAGCACACGGTAGTTTAAAAATAACTTGATATTTGTGTGCAAAGTGCGCCAAATTCAAAACCTGGTGATTCCATTTTGCAATGCATGATCACTCTTAGAGTGCGCGGTTGAATAATTACGCACATGAACAAAGGACTATTGTTATCCCAAATACTGGCACATTGTAATCAAAACACAACACAATATCTTACCACGACATCGTAGTTTTATTTGTATTTATATAACATATATACAACATTTGCTGTAAATAGCAAAATAAAACACATCTCGATAGAGATACTTTCAAAGACACATAATGTGTCTACACAGTTCATCTGCACAGACTCAGAACTCTTTGTCTTTAGTGCAAATTCATACAGACTGACCCTTTGGGTCTTACAGGGCTGTTTTAATGGCCCTTAACCACTTAGTCCGCGAGGAGGACTAAATATTAACCGTATACATACATGCAGATTTAAGAAAATACGACTGTCTAAACTTGTCAACATATACTGGACAATAGACCCGTGCGCAAAACGTAAGTATATAATACTCAACCAATACGATTTAACGATGAATTCTGGCTTTTCATCAATGGTAGCGAGGCTGTGAATCACCGTGCATATTTACAAGTGATGCTATATCAACATGCTGAACACATATGAAACACTTTACAGTCTTTTTACAGGGTTTTGGGAGTTCAAGAAATCTACCACGGTCTCCACATGGCTGCGCTGACCGTCTGCACCCCAGACTGCGCGCGGCTTGGAGCCGCTGCGCCGCCGCTGCTGCTGCCGGACTGGCTCTCCACCCTGGAGCTGAAGCTGGATTTGAGGCTCAGGAGTCTCTGTTGGATCTGCGGGAGGGTCCTGGAGCTCTGCGCACAGCAGCTCAGGCACGTCGGGGTGACGGCGGCGGACATGGACTGCTGGACGAATTCGTTCACCCGCTGACAAGCGTCTTGATCCAGACTGGTTTTGGGAAGCAGGGTGGAGACGCGCTGCAGGCAGGCTTTGTAGCCTTCTTTGTAACTGTCTGCGGAGTCTGGAAAAGACAATCACATGTCAGTTTCGCTGTTCAAAAACGACAATGTTTATGCAAGACATAAATGTATCAACAAAAACAAGCAGAACATGAACTCACTTTTCGTGTTAGGGGGAATGTCGCCGAGGAACCTCACGGTCATTTCCAGGATATCGGCTTTCTCCAGCTTGGAGTAGCGAGTCTAAAACATATAAAAAGCCATTGTTAAACACAAGAATCATAAACATCTTGACTTCAGATGATATGGTAACAGTTTTACGTGTATTGAAATGTATATTATAACTTACATCTCTGCCTGTGAGGGGAAGAATGAGGTTTTTCAAATGATTCAGGCTGTCGTTTATTCGGGCGCGCCTTCTTTTTTCCATTAAAGGTTTCATTGTCTGAAAAGAACAAAGCATACTTAGCATTCATTCATCACATACAGTGTAAATCATCAGAGAAAATGTTTGGAATAATAAAGCAAAATACAGGGACACTGCTTACCTTTCTGAGCTCAAGAGCTTCTTTTCTTTTGGCCACAGTTAGCCTCGGGGAAAAAGACTGGAGAGCTTCACAAGTCATGTTTGGAGACATTTTCAGCGTCGTCTTTGTGCCAGAGCAGTGTTCACAACAGAAGTTGGTGAAGATGTGTCACTGACGGCCAAGAGCTGTGGTATATATGCAGGTCCGTGGCGTCTGTTAACTTGCGTCACGGATACGCCCCCACGCCAAACGATTTGGACTCAGCCCGTATTCGATGGAAAACAACACAAAACCATCACATTTAGTGAGATAACCATCTGTCTTCTACTCTAATCCACGCCTAACAACCGCGGTGCGTGTCTGTGTTATGTTACATATAGCAAATAGAACAAATCTGCGTCAACCAGCTGGAGAAACCTGTGCGTAAAGAAGCTTGAATTTTAGACGCACCGAATGAGATCATCAGCCAAAGATCACATCTGCAAACTATACAATTTGAATATTGGTACATATATATATATATATATATACACTATTACATTTAATATTTCACATGTCGTAGATGGAACAGATTTTTCGTAAAACATACACTTTGTTGGTGCGTAATTACGCAGTGCTCATCAGGATGAGAAGCAAATATATGCCTTTAATTCATCATTTGAATGTGTTGAAGCATTCATTTTATGTTGTACTGAAGTGTTTACGAGCTGACAAGTAAGCAGAACAGATTTAATATGATGGTTTTTCTCCATAAAAATGTTTTCTCAATTTAAGTTGTTGATATTTTTTGCATGCTCATGTTTCGTGAGGTTCCATGCTGAACTTGTATTGTATTTCATTATGTATGATTTGGCCATGTTTGATTACCACATATAATTTATATTAAATACATTTTAAAATAAATGTGCACAATTAGTACAAGGAGGTGCAGTACTTGGATTGCTGGCATAGGGGTCAGGATTGCGTGTACGAAAGCGTGTCCAAAGACGAAAGGACTCATACTCCAATCTCATACCCAAGCCACGCTACTTTCAAATAACATCTGCTCTTTCATTTCGGATTTCGACAACAATAGTTTGCATATGACGTTTGTATGCAGTTTTCTGCCCTGGGGGAGTCTCTACCTGTAGGGTGTATCCCGCTGCTATCACCGCCCCACGCAAGACGGTGGGGGCCGGAATCGGGGGCTGAGTAACGAGTGAGGGTGACACCAATCACAAAAGCCACCGCCAAATAAAATACAATGAGCCTGCCATATGCTTTACGTTTTTAGGTGTTTAACACATTATGACGATTACCTCTTCGATTCTAGGTATTTGATAATAATATGTCATGCGAGGCATACATTAAACTTCGAATTACAATTTTTAAGATTGTCCAGATTTCAAATAAAAATTGGAGAGACGTGACATCCCATCAAATACCACTGCACTCGGGGGAACCACGCGCGCAGCACGCGCCATGGAGACCAGATGGCTGTCTGTTACCGAGCCTTGTACCCCACCCCCAACCTCCAACCCTCGACCCACGCCCCATATACTCCACCTGCACTCCACCAGCTTTCCGAACAGCCAATCTCCCTGTCCCACCACAAATCTGTCCATAAATTATCCATTCACGAAAACGCATACACACACACGCGCGCGCACACACACACACACACACACAGTCTGCATTGCATATACTTAAGCTTTTTTCTATAAACTTATACACGCAACGTCACATGATGCCCACGCAGTGTGGCGTGGGTGCCCCATCTGCATCTTATCTTATGGGTCCACGTTGTTGTCTACCTGCCCCCCCCCCCTCTCTCTGTGTCTGCTACAGCTTGAAGAGGTGATCAGAGGTATCATTATAGTGGTGATGACGGAAGATCGTCCAGCCTGCTATAGAGATAAAGCAGTTCCGTTAAATACACACAATAAACATCGCTTTGCTCTAAATAAATACAATATCGATATATACAATTTTGTTTACATAATATTGTTGTGCTGCTTCAACAAAGCGCGCAAACCCCCTGTATCTGTGAGGCACGCTTGCTGCACGCGCCCCTCTGCGCACGGCTGGGGTGGAGGGAGGACGGGGATGGAGGGGGTGGGGGAGGTACACTTCTCCGGTTTTTTTTTTTTTACGGTTAGAGTCTTCTTTTGTCTTTTCAAACATATTTGGCGTCAGTAACCCATCTGTGTCGGCCGGATAACAGGAAGCCTTTGTCTGAAAATGTTCCCGAAACTTCACGCGCATTAAGAGTCACATGTGGAATGGGGGAGACGCAGGGAGGCGGACGCCACCTGACTTTTGCTTTACTGTGATGTGAGATGACAAGCTTCGGTCCTGCGTCTCATATATTGGGAACACCATGCATAGAAGTAAAACGTGTTATTGTCGATGGTAAAAGCCATCTTCAGTATAGTTTTCTGCAAAATAATTTACAGAATTCTGTCATTTTATTGTTTTTGTTGAAATGAAAATGGCCATTCGTCGGAAAGAAATTAGTTGGAACAATGTGACATTGAACGAAGTCTCCAAATATAAATACATTGTGACTTCAATGTGTCAGTCTGTGAGGTGCAGACTAACAAATCAGCTCTTTCAACAAGCACTGTTTAAAATAGAAAAGATTGACTTGAATTAACTCTCTTGCTGCATTATCTGTGAACAACCCAATCACACGATATGTGATGCTAAAACAGGAAAATACTCATTAATATCTATGAGAACTTGATCAATTGTTTTTAACCCTGCAAAAAGGAGACTGAAACGAGATATCTTAAAAAGAAAAAGCAGCAGTGAGCCGGGTTTAACAGGCGTGTCTGAAGCAAACCCCATAATTTCCATAATGCATTTCAATTTTGTTAGACCACCTGTTAGATGTATCAAATAACCCTCCTGTTTGTGAGGCATGCTGTATATCTTAGATGAGAGCATCGGGGTTATTTATTCAAGTGTCACAAAGCTCCCCCAGACAGACGGCTGTTTTTGACTCAGTGAACTCTTTGCTTTGAAACTGAACTTGAAAGTTCAGGTCATTCAGTGTAAAATGTCCCCGGTCATCAGACGAGACAATTCATGTAAAATTCAGGATTAAGTGAAATGAAAATGCTTTTTTATTCAGTGTAATTTCCCCTCTAAAATATCTGTTAAGGGTAGAGACTGTGCTGTAGAAGGCTCACAGCGACCCATCCCCCACTGTGACCTCAGTTTGGAAAAGAAAACTGAACGTGGATCACAGCTACCAATAGGACAATTCCTGCCCCCTTTCCTTCAGTCCAAATCTCTTACAGTTAATGGCTCAACCTTGTAAAACGTATTAGTTCCGTAATCACGTATTTTATATGAATTTGTGCGGTGTGGTAACCATAACTGTCAGGGTTGGGTAGGAAGGCAGGACTCAAACGCAAAAGAGACTTTAATAGTCAAAAATTTCAACAAAGCAAAAAGGCCAACGGGCAAAAACACACACACACACGAACCGGGGGGAAAAAGGAAGGCAGGAACGAGGAACATCCAGACGATAGACAGGGACATCCGTGACAAAAGACAATGATGCCACAAGTGACAAACAACACACACACACACACACACTGGTTAAATACACTAGGGAGGTGCAGGTGATTGGACACAGGTGGAAACAATCCAACAATCACAGGGGATGACAGGACCAGGCCGGAAGTGAAGTTACCCGGGGACACAAGTGGCAGATAACTACAAAATAAGACAGGGAGTGCACCACACTGTGACACATAACCTTCAACATTTGTGCTTTCAGCATTACTGGTTAAAAAAAACTGTGAATTAAGCTTTTTTATTTCTAGTCCTGTTTATATTTTCAGGCAGAGAATAAAACGTTTCTTTTTCACATCTGTTTAGTATTGTATTGTGCATGTGACCTTTGACCTCATGCACGTGCAAGAGGGCGTGTACAGAAAGTGGGCGTAACCGCCGCCATTTTGGCGTTCATGCCCGGCGTGCACTGTTTAAGCATAAATACGCCATTTTGACGATGACGTGCAGGGTTTTGATTGAAAATTTGCCATTTCAGGGAGTGTTTTATGCGATGGGCGTTAGTTTTGACCGGAAACACGGCACTGTAGGAGGAGTTTCATCATATATATACCTCATATATATCATATATATAGTTTCATCATCGAACCTTCCTTTTGGACTCATCCACGGGGTTCACGCTCCAGGATTCTTAGTGAAACAGCAGAGGCCTATCCCAGTGTGGTCCCGGTGGTGTCTTCTTCTTCTCTTCAAAGGTATGAGAGGCCCCGCCACAAATCAGTGAGACACTGGTGCTTCTGTTCAGATTCACCATTAACAGCTTAATGCATGAACTAGGGGCTATCTTCTTAGCCAACAGGACACAATTTGTAACCTAACAGAGGAAAGCCCTGAGCGTCACAACGGCCTACCCTCAGGAAAACATACATCTTAAGGTTTAACGAGGAACACATATGTCGACTTAGGGCAGCATCATGTACACAGCACACCAGCCGGTGCCAACCCCCAAACGTCTTCTTCTTCTTCTCTTCAATGGTATGAGTGGCCCCTCCACAAAACAGTGAGACACTGGTGCTTCTGTTCAGATTCACCATTAACAGCTTAATGCATGAATTAGGGGGCTATCTTCTTCTTAGCCAACAGGACACACTTTGTAACCTAACAGAGGAAAGCGCTGAGCGTCACAAAGGCCTACCCTCAGGAAAACATACATCTTAAGTTTTAACGAGGAACACGTGTGTCGACTTAGTGCCGCAGCATGTGACTCAGCACCCAAACGGTGCTAAACCCTAAATGGCTTGAGAATGGTCCCCCCCTGAGCCCCCAGGGATGGAGAAAAAACAGTGTCCTTATGTGGTAAACAGTGAGCAGTTTGTTTAGTTGTAATCAACAGATGAACCCCCACCCCCACTGAGACCCGGGGGGGGGGGGGGGGGGGGGCTGTGTGAAAAACAGGATCCTTAGGTGGTAATGATGTTGCATTCGGGGGGTATGGGTCTCCTATATAGATACATCCACGGTTCACTTTTTGACATCCTGGCAGACTGGTGCATCCTCACATTTAAGACATTTCCATTGAGGGCCAGATGTACTACAAGGGGGGAGCAATGGACCAGATAACCCTAACCCTAAAGCTTTAAAGATGGTACTATGTTGAGTGATTCATATTTGGTTTTATATATTTATATATATTTTTAATAGGTATTTACACCTTTTAGAAATAGATGACAGCTCGACACCTATACATGTGAGTCTTGAAAAACTGGAAAAGGAGATTGCTGCACTCAGTTGTCTACCAACAACGACTACGTGCCCCAACCAGGGAGCTGGCACAGGTAGGGAAAATGGCAGTATGATATAAGCTTTCTATATATTTATTATTTGACGAATCATTCATGGTGATTTTATAATTCTCTTGAAAGATTCGACATCTCGGGAAAAGTCGCCTGACCGTCGCTGTCAAACGGGGGTTGCAGGTAACTGGAACAATATCAAATATTTTTTATGTATTTTATTAATTATTATTTTTTTTATTTTTATAATAGACCTGTATGCCCCTCCAGTGAAAAAAAAAGTACATACGGTTGTCCAGTCTGAGAGACCTTCTACAGGGTATGTGACATCATCCATATATATATATATAGACAATTGTTTTATAACATATTTTGTCCATGTATGCTTGTACAGCAGGGAGCAGCTTGCCTGTCTACACCAACAAAGGACACATGGAACAATCCAGGATGCTTGACTGACGAGGAAATGCTGCAGGGGGGCTGTGACTATGAAGAAGAAGAGTGTACTACAGTAGAAGCAACATCGGTAGAGTGTGTAACCCCATTTCAACAAAACAGAGCAGGTATACCCACAGAACCCACGGTTGTGATTGTGCACCCGAGGGACACCGCTAACACCTTATATGTAGAGTTGATAAATGAAATCAGTGAACTGCGTCGTTCCAACACCGCATTAAAAGAGATAGTAACCGATCTATGTAAGAAACAAGAGGAGGCTAGACAAACACAGGACGCCAACGGCAGCTCCATAAAACAATACCTGATAGCTCAGAATGCATCCAGTGAAGTACGTGACGTGTAGTATGACGTGTAGTATGCCTCCCCCCAGAAAAGTTTTGAAGAGGGGCACGGGTGATATACAACGATCAGGGGATAACCATAATAATAATAATAATGATGATGATGGGTATAGGGGCCTGTTACAGAATACAGAGGAACAGCTTAAAAGCCTACAAGCACTGGTGGAGAGATCAACATTCATCGTATCTAGATAGCGGGTATGCAGACTTGGTCAGTGTCCTAGACCCTGGGTTTAATACCTCCGGCGCAAATAGCCATGTGTTGGATCATGCAGACGGACCACTTGTGTACACAGACAATGATGCAGGGGCTGTGGGGTGTGTGTTGGCAGAAATATGTGACGACCGGCTGAATCAGATGGGGACAAATGGAGATGTGGAGCATGAACAGGGTGTTGGGGGGCCTACCAAGTGTCAAGAAGGAGGGTCAGGGGAGCAGGCACGAACAGAAGGGGGGCATGATGATACGCTAACAGGAGGAGGAGGGGAGATAATGAGGGGGGGTGAGACCTCCTCAGGCATAGACGGAAGGACGGTCACCATGAGAGAGATGCCTTCATTCAATGCATTTGGTAGGTCCAGGAGGCGGAGTCTGAGGTGGGGTGTGAACCATCAGGTGAAGGAAAAGTGGGTGGGGTCCAGCCCCCCTGGGACCCTGAGATTTCCAAGTCTAAACTAAAAATAATATTTTTTTTTTATTTTTTTATGATTCTGCATGAATTAACATCAGTGACAGAAATATATACACAACATTAGCATAACCCACCTGTCATTCTTTTAGATGGTTGAGGGGTGAATTATTTTCGGTCTACACATGGTAGTAGATATACCGGGTTGCACACCGCTCTGTGTATTGTCGTAAACAAGACGTTTTCTAACAGCCAGTAAGCCTTGCTGACGCTGTCTCTCTGGATAGATTTGTCAATCTGACTAAACACTTTTTGCAGAGCGGGCCAGTCACACCACTGAACAAAGAACACGAGGGGGAACCATATATTAAACTCTTCAACGGTAAGAGGGTACAGATGCTCTCTCCATCCTCGGCGGCCTCTTTGAGCTACCACATACTCTCTGTCTTCACAAACATTTTAAAAAATGAAATCGTCAGGGCGTCTGTTGTACCGATCTGCCGTGAGATGGTGTATTTTAGGCCCTGTTGTACCATACCACTGAACAGAGTATAGAGATTCTGGAAAACCTGTTTGTTCAAGATCTATGCAGACAATTGCTGCCAGTCTTTTACAGACATACACCCATGTCGACCCCCCACAACAGCCTCATCATCAACTGTTTCACCAACACCCCCCTAGCTTGTCTTGGGCCTTGATTCTAGAAATCATCGTGACCGTGCCATCATAGTATTTAACATTATACACGTACCCATAAACACCCTCCAGCTCTAGCTCTACAGCAGGCTCTCTAGAAAGACATCCCTCACGCTTTTTCCGGCGCTGGGGAGCATCTACATCTGCATAGCATGGTCTATTTTCTGTAGACATACCTATGTCAGTCTCTGGGGCCTGCTCCATGCGATATACAGCCTGCATTTTGCAAAGAATCCGAGTGCACAGCAATAGTAGCGGAACCAGCAACAGCAGCAACAGAGGATGAGTCCAAAATGAGTGCGTTGGTGGTGGAGGCAAATAACACATCTATATATGTGATAAACTCCTCCTACAGTGCCGTGTTTCCGGTCAAAACTAACGGCCATCGCATAAAACACAAAATAAAGTAAAATTACGCATTTCCGGGCATGAACGCCAAAATGGCGGCGGTTACACCCACTTCCTGTACACGCCCTCTTGCACGTGCATGAGGTCAAAGGTCACATGCACATTTTTTCTGAGTTTAGCATCAGGAAGTTGCCGGTCATCCAAGTTTTGATGTCTCCAAGACATTTTTGAAGTTTAACTAGCTGGTCTGTCTCTTCTGGCTAGATCGACAGATACAGTTGAGTATCGTCTGCACAACAATGGAAGTTTATGCAGTGTTTCCCGATCGGCCAAAGGAAGCATATAGAGGGTAAATAAAATCGGCCCAAGTACAGAACCTTGTGGGACCTTGTGACCAACATTGGTGGTCTTTGAGGATTCACCGTTTACAAGCACAAACTGGGATCGATCCGATAAGTAGGATTTAAACCAGCTGAGTGCAGTTCCTTTGATACCAATTAAATGTTCTAGTCTCTGCAACAGGATACAATGGTCTATGTTGTTTTTATTTTTCTCTATTAATGATGAGTAATAAGATGCTCTTGCGTTACGGAGAGCCTTCTCATATGTTTTAAGGCTGTCTTGCCAAACTAGCCTAGATCCTTCTGATTTGGTGGAACGCCATAATCGTTCAAGTTTCCGCACAGTTTGCTTTAGGTTCTGTGTTTGAGGGTTATACCACGGAGCAGACTTCCTTCTTGTTGCTATTCTTCTTTCCAGAGGAGCAATAGCGTCCAGAACCACTCTCAAAGAGCCTGTAGCAGTATCGACAAAATTATCGATCTGGGACGGACTGAGGTTCTCAGTCCGGAGTCAGGAGTCTTCTTGTATCTTGAGGCAGGGCACTGAACTTAGAGCAGAAGGAATGGCTTCTTTAAATCAGGCTACACCGGCATCCGATAAGCGTCGACTGTAGAAACCCTTGGCAGGAGGAGGTGGTTCTGATGGTAGAAATTCAAAGGTTATCAGACAATGGTCTGACAGGAGAGGGTTCTGTGGAAAAATTGTTAAATGTTCAATCCCAATCCCATACACAAGAACCAAGTCGAGAGTGTGGTTAAAACAGTGAGTTGGTTTATTTACACACTGACAGAAACCAATTGAATCTAAGTGGTGCATAGTGCATAATGTATCATGACATTTGTGAAAATGTTCATTTGTTGGTTGGTTTGCTGGTTTGAATCCAGAATGTTTAGTCGTCTCGTCTCACTTTTTTATCATGTTGAATGATGGATTAAAGTTGGGTGTGAGTTAATAATAATGTTAAAACCACATTACAGTCGGCTAAAAGAAATCTAACTGACCCAGTTCTGTTGTCTCAGGGTTAGAAATATCATGTTCATAAAATGTAATGTTTTATAAACTCCTTCAATAGGCAAAGTTTTGTACCAAATCAAGTCAGTATTATTCTGGACCAAATGTAAAATTAAATAACAACAGCTGTAAAATGTTGATAAGCTTATTTTTGCTTAATGGATACAAAGATTTTTTTTTAGCGGACTAAATGCCTAAACTGCACCTTCAAGGCGTTTGCACATGACTAATGGGAAGAGGACATTATCAGGATTACTTATTTTAGAGGTGCTTATGCAAAGGGAACTTTTCAGGCTGTATGCTCAAGTAACAATACTGATTTGAAGTATAATTTAGAAAAAATGTCTAGATGAAAAACCTTAATGGTTTAATATACAGAGAAGTAAAACTGTCTGACCATCAACGGGAAAGACCGTTAAACATCGTATAAAATGACTCAGAAAGAAAAGAGTCTCACGTCAAACGTGGGATTGTTATTCCCAACCGCGGTCACCTCATTGTGTGTCCCATCTCACAACCAGTTCAACTTCTTCCCACCAGTTTGGCGGCAACTAGGGAGGCGCTTCACATCTGCAACAATAGAGCAGCTGCTCATCCGCATCAAAAGGCTGATGAGCCTGACCTCCGGCTTCATGCGTCCCGCGCCTTTTTTATTCTCATGTTCTCACGTTACTGAGATTCTAACGAGGTCTGTGCTCAATGAGCAACTCGAGATGGTTGAAAAATCAAAGCTCAAACAAAAGCAGTATTGGAGAAATGTACATTTATTGAAAAAGCTTTTGTCTATTACAAAACATTGCATTTTTTTATATATACACATAACGCCAATGAATAACATAATCCTATTTAACACATGGTGTTTACAGACTATTTTTTGCACAGACCAAAATACTTTTAAGTCCATTGTGCAAACCTCAAACAATATAACCCTTGGGGTTTTACAAAAGTGTTGTCTACAACCCATATCTTTGAAACCCCAAAGAGGATTGCATTTTAAAAAGCTCAAAGACTTTTCGTTTCTCTAAGATCTGTGCTCGTGTGCTCTCTGGCATTAGACGCGGAATGAGCTAAATGCTGAATTAAATCATTGTACAGCAACTCCAACAATGAATGAAAACAAACTACATAAATGACATGACTAAATAAATAACAAGCATGAGGTGAATATCCATCTGAACTACCACGGTCTCCACATGGCTGCGCTAACCGCCTGCGCTCCAGACTGCGCGCGGCTGGGAGCCGCTGCGCCGCCGCCGCCGCTGCTGCTGCCGCCGGACTGGCTCTCCATCCTGGAGCTGAAGCTGGATTTGAGGCTCAGGAGTCTCTGTTGGATCTGCGGGAGGGTCCTGGAGCTCTGCGCACAGCAGCTCAGGCACGTCGGGGTGACGGCGGCGGACATGGACTGCTGGACGAATTCGTTCACGCGCTGACAAGCGTCTTGATCCAGACTGGTTTTGGGAAGCAGGGTGGAGACGCGCTGCAGGCAGGCTTTGTAGCCTTCTTTGTAACTGTCTGCGGAGTCTGGAGGGAAAAGGGGAGATTTGATTAGGGACTTGAATTCCATATGGAAACCACAATCGCGCGGATGGTTTGGTGCGATGCGCTTCGGAGTTGAGGAGATGAGGCGTACCTTTGACAGGAGTGGAAGGAAGGTCTCTCAGGAAACGGACCGTCATTTCCAGAATATCAGCTTTCTCAAGCTTAGAGTAGCGTGCGTTGTCTTTGCCAACAAGAGGAAGAATCAGGCTTTTCAGATGGCTGAGACTGTCGTTGATACGAGCACGTCTTCTCTTCTCCAACAAAGGTTTAAGAGTCTGGAAGAAATAATGAAAACACGTTATTGGGCTGCACGTTTAAAAAGGCTCAAATGAGAAAATATTGCCAGAAACGTATTTAACGTCTCTCTTTCCCTTACCTTTCTCAGTTCGTTGGCTTGTTTTCTCTGGGCCACGGTGGACCTGGCAGGAAGAGGCTGGTCGGCCTCGGTACTGATGGTGGGACTCATTTCGTTTGCGGTTTGTTTTGGTGCTTTTTGAGTTGAGGTACTTGCTCTTGGAGCTGCTGCGCCGAAGTGTGCCGGAGAGCGGGAGAGCCTCCTATTTATGTGGGCCGGGCGCGTCAGAGGGGCGGGAACACAAGCCATTGTGCGGTGGTGGGGGGGGGGGGGGGGGGGGGGAAAGGGGGGGGTTTTTTTCTCTTGGGGAGAGAGAGGGAGCCCCCCGCTGGACCCTTTTGGCCCCCATGGGACCCTGCGTCTATACTGCTGGTATGCAGGGTTCCGTGAATATGTCGCACTTTATTGCGTTTGAAATGTAAAGCTCGAACGTTCACCCAACATCTACTTTGTACAAAAGCCACATAAAGATGATGTTTTTCTAATAAAAGAAATCACTCGCTCCTCTTTTTCAAATATCCTTAATAAAATATTGTTTTTTGATTCGCCCGCATGGCTTTCTTGTTAAAATTACTAGTTTTGTATATTTCATTAGTATTGTTTTGTGTTGAGAGTTTCAACAAATGAGCTGCCAAATCGTTCAAACAAAAACCTTTAATAAGATGCTCAAAAGTTGCACTTCTATAAATAAACAATTTAAGAAGTTAGAACCACATCTTATCAAATACACGCAGCATAAATTCAGTCACTTAATTTATGCACTCGATTTGCCAGCCGGCCACAAAGAAAGAAGCTGAACCATGACGATTGATTCTGAGGTAACAGGACTAATCTATTCCTACAATTAAAAAAGGCAGATACCCAAGCGACGCTATGTATGGATTAACATCTGTTTATTCCCCCTCAGCAGCTTGTTTCCAACACCAACAACACGGTGTACCTGGAGCAGTGGGGGAGGAGACGCACTGACGTGCCAACGACACCACGTGCGTGTCAACGTAGTATGTCTCCACACAACGTGTCCACACAAAGAGGACTCACACAGGCCTGCAGGACAACGCGGTAAGGAATGGAATATGATTTAGTGCGGAACTGGGTCTCTTCTGAAGTGATACTCCCCTAAAACTACAACATAGATGATCAAATCTTAAATCAGACCTGTTTTATTCGGACATTCTGGAAGACTTCGGATGCTGACCATGAAACCAAACACGGCGCAGTGAGCTGCCCGCAGGATTCACGCGTTCGGCACGCGCCACACCCGCGCAACAGATGGGAACCCCCCTTCTTCTCATCCTCGCTGTCTCTACACACCAGACAACCCCACCCTCCCCCCTCCTCCCTTCCCCTCCCCCTCCCCTGTTTCCCACTGCACCGCTCCGCCGCTGCTCTCATCAGCATCCCGGCTCATCGTCGATGTGCTTCAACTTCGTTTTTTGGAGGGGGGAGGTTTGGTTCCTAGCGCATGAAGACACAATGGCACAGTTATGGCCTATATACGTTAATACGAAGCAGACCATGTGAAGACCACACTGCTCAACAAGATGCGGAGGACGTAATAATACCAGAAATAAGGTGGAAAGACAGCAAATTTTTACTTTTTTAATTTTTAATTTTTACGCACAAAATGCTTACTAAAACACTTCCTCAATGCGTAACGGAATAAAAAGTGCGGGAACTTGCTCAACGCACTGAAAGATCGATGACATTACAATTGATATATTCACATTAGGAAACAGATGTGTAATTCGACACGTTCTCGTTATTTTGGTAAAGATGAATAACGCTGCAGCGCTTGCAAGCTGTCCCGCTGTGGCTTGAGGGGTTTCAACCCTCTTTTTCAAGCATTATAAATGCACGGTTTTGCACGCGTCCTGCCCCATGGGGCCCCAAATAACTGCCATCAAGTCCAGTCTGGGAACGGAGCCTCGGAGAGAGAGAAAAAACCCGAAAGTGCACCAGGGGCTTCAGTTGGGACCCTTTTTGTCCTGGTTTCAGCGTGGGTATCCATCTGCGCACTGAGGGCACAGTGCTCCATTGTATAAGAGGACTTTTCCAGCAAGTGCATGGAAGATGTGTAATTAGTTCTTATTAAACTATAGCTGCTTTAATTTGACACCTGTTTAGTTATCCGATTTAAGTCATAAAAAGGAAACGCTAAGTTTACTGATCCAGGCTGCGGATTATTATTACGTAAACATTAAAAACATAAGTTTGTGACAATGATATTAGGAGACAAAGTCCCAACTATTTTTTTTACTCCCAGAAATTCTCCGGTAGCTTAAAAGAGAATGAAATTCTGAGAATTGGGTTGTATAACCGGCATGAGACTGACACGAGCCACGGCGATCAGACAGATGGATTCTGCGCGGGTTTATTGATGCGCGCAGCGTCGACGAGCTCTGCTGAAAGTGATCGTCATCGTCTCCATTGCCAAAATATACACGCCAATATTATCTGCAGACTGCTGGCTGGAATTTGATTTCAGAATTGAGACAGCCAAGTTGGAATGAACTAATTCCCAGTTTGAGATCAAATACGAATCAATTTTATACTGACAGTTTTAATATGATCACATTTTTATCATTAGACACCTGGTGTTGTATCCTAACATGATTAAAGAGACATGAATAGGTGAAAATGATTGATATATTTTGTATGATTTGCAGGAAATGTACAAAATCTCCATCAACTGATTTGATGCTGGTTGTTGCAAAATGTTACATTTCATTGCAAATAACGAGGATGAAAGAATACGTTTTTTTTTAACAAAAGCCATATTCAAACAACATTGTACTGTTCTTACAAAATATAGCATGATCCAGTAGGTTGTGATTCAGTTTGATGCAAAAAACATATTAAACATCAGCAATCTTCTACCCATTTGACAAATCATGCAGCATTTTGGTAACAGAATGGAGGCGCAGCCAGTCGCTGTATCGATAATTTAATCAGTGTTTATCCTCCATTCTGGAATCAAACATGCAGAAAATACCATGTTGAGAGATATTTAAGCACCAAAAAGTGTTAGTAAATTAGTATCATAAGCATCTGTTAAGAACAAGAACGCATTTTAAGAAAATTTTGTCTTTATCAGATGTCCAACGTGACTTTTCCTTGAGGAAATTCAGTAAGTTAAAGCTACATACATTCCCAATATGTGCACTTTGCTGCAGGGGTGTAAGTGATACATTTCTTTTTTATTTTCAACACCTTTTGGTGTTCATTAGGCGTGCTGGCATCTGAGTAAAAAACAATTTCACTTAATTAACCTCAACTTTCTGAAAAGTGTTTCTTTGTTTTATATTGTCTACAGCTTCTAAATGTATGTTAAGTCAAATGTAAGCCTTAGGTTTTGAACATTGTGGATCTGTCACCGGATGATGAGAACCTCAGACTTCACCAGTCTTTGTTTAATAATTGCGAAATGGAGGGAAAACAAATAAGTGTTTTAGGAATGAACTCCTGTGGAGTAATTTACTCATTTAAATGATATTTCTACATGATGATATGAGAATTTACTGATGTGGACTGCTCATATGAAACTCACTGAGCCATGGATGGATGGTCACCAATCAAGCTGACTTTCATCAAAGGGCTTGTTTGCTTTTCGCCACCTTACATTTTCAACCAACCATGTCCAGATCAGGTGGATGACACTGGAATTTCTTGGACTTTCATTTAACCTTGGAACAGAACATGTTATTCAAATGTGTTAGAAGAATTCCTACAAGACACCGGTGTAAAATTATCAAAAGCAGGATATTTAATGTTTGCAATGCAATGTCATGCACCAAGCCTACTCAAAGGTTTTCATCTTCGGAGCAGGAATATATAGTTGGAAGATAAACATGCTAAGAGGGTGGGCTTCATGGGCAAAACCCAAGTGCTGATAGTCGACCTTTACGATTATAAATCTCGACGCACAAGCATCTTGATTATGAAAGGACCTACACCATGTGCCTATGTGGAAGAGCACAGACTTGCTGTCGTACTAAGATAAAACATTATATATTTTTTCCGACGAAATGCATAAATAATTGTTAATTAACAATATTCCTGTATGAGTCCATGGGTTCACTTTTTGTCGGTTATTTCTTAATAAAAGCTTTGCACCTCAGCTGGTACTATTCATGTACTTATATGGGAGAATTTCATCCACCCATTTTCCCAGTGTTTGTTTCTCCTGTAACATTGATATTGTCAGGGGCTGCGTAGGAAGGCAGGCAGGCGAACACAGACTTTAAAGCACAAAGACTTTAATAGTCATAAACTCCAACAAAGGAAAAGGCCAACGGGCAAAAAACACATACAAGTGACACAAGAGACACACAGAGAACATCCAGACGATAGCCAGAGACATCCGTGACAAAGGACAATGACGCCACAAGTGACAAACAACACACACTGGTTATATACACTAGGGAGGTGCAGGTGATTGGACACAGGTGGAAACTATCAGAGGATCACAGGGGATGACAGGACAAGGCAGGAAGTGAAGTTACTCGGGGACACAAGTGGTGGAAAACTACAAAATAAGACAGGACGTGAACCACATCGTGACAGATATTTGATTTCCACATCAATATGTTTAAATGAATTGGACTGTGTCAAAGGGCAAATGTCTTTTTTTATTAGACTGAACTAGCTGTCAATCGCATCTCAGTGCTTATCATGCAGTGCATATAAAGTCAAGCAATGCTTATCACCCATGCCTGACTTATTAATTCTTACTTGGGGTTAGGGGGTCCCAAAAAAGGGAAGAAGACCATGAACAAAGAGAACTAAGGGGTGTATATGGGACCTTCTAGAGATATTGTGGAGGCATATTTATTTCTTCTTGTAGCCTCATCTGTGGTTTTGCTTCTCTGATCAGAGTCGGGTGTGGTTGAGACTTTTGCTCCTGGTGCATAATGAGGTGACCACTGACCGAAGAGGGAGAGGCTGTTTTACAAGTCGAAAGTCGGGTTCTTGACTGATTTGTACATCACAATGGTCCTAGTAATTGCTTTTAAGTAATATGTGTTTCTTTTTTAATGAAATATGGGTTTTTAAGTTCTGGGATTCTATCCAGTTACCCTGAGACAAACCGTGTTCTATGTTGCTGCCCCTTTTAGGTATTCTAAGGCAGCATAAAACATGTTGCTCCTTTTACAAGGGTGTCAATATGCCCACAATCAACCAGTACTTGTGCATTCTATTGAAATGTATTCTGATAATTGCCTAATGAAAAAGCATTGTCACAAGATGAATGCAGAACCCTTCTTGGCATATTAAAATGCTATACAAATGTAGATTATTTTATTGTGGATTTAAAATAGTCAAATATTTGTTTGCAATTTTTTTGCATCCTCGTTATACTTTTTTTTGTCCACGCTGATGGAACGCAGTCCCGTCTCTCTCTCTCTCTCTCTCTCTCTCTCTCTCTCTCTCTCTCTCTCTCTCTCTCTCTCTTTCTCTCTCTCTCTCTCTCTCTTGGGATGCAAGATGGACCTATCAAAATTTGCCAACAAGCTTCCCACGCCTAAAACAACGCTAGTTTCATAAAGCATCTGCCGGTGCGACGAAATCGCAGACTTGTTTTCTCCCGGACGAAGTCCATCCGACGTCACTGATTCTGTCTAAAGTCTGCGTCTGCATTCCCTGCTGGTCACGTGCTAAATGAGACGCCAACCAATGATCGGCTCATTGGTCGATCCAAGTGCTCTGAATGAAACACCACCAACCATGCAGCCAAAATTATACCGAAAAAAGAGGCACATTCATCAAAAGGGTTTGAAAGTCTTGGATTATTCAAACCGTAGATGTAAATGCAAGAATCTAAAACGATCTTAAATTGATGTTAAATTATTTCAGGTGCATCAGAACAATACAATGTTCTGCTTGTTTGTCACTTGAACAATATCAGACCAAAGTCCATTGTTTAAAGCAGAGAACATACAAAAAAAACCTTAAAACCAGACAATAAAATGTGCACTACGTGTTGGAGATTGTGTATACTAAAAACATATACGTTATATAATACCCGCTTAACAAAGCTTATTCAAAACATGTTCAATGAAATACCCAATTATTATTCTTTACAAAAATCTAAATGAAAGCCTGGAGAAGTTTCAAAGATGTCATGCAAACCATATTGGGGCTTTTATTGAGCTTTTATTACTTGATCTATTGTCAATGTCTCCCGTTGAAAATGAAGTTTATCTCGGAGCAAAGCATCGAGCCATGGCGTCGTTTTTCAGACAAGCCTTTTAGCGTTATTGCACATTGCAGACATCAGAGCGGTGGCTCAGACGGGGATTTGAATATCCAACCGAGCCTAACCAAGCCAAAAGCCACGCTGTACGGGCCGGCACACATCTGGTGGCGCACATTTGTTTTGCCCTTCAAAGTTGACAAAGGTAAACTTTAAGCGTCGCATTGGCTTCTCCACCAATAGCGGTCGTTTCCAGCTCTGACACACGCGATGCACCTCGCTCATCTGGTCCATCGCTCCGTTAATGTTCAGGCCAACAGACGTCGATGACGCAATTGCAACAATCAAAGTCCATCTAGTTTGGTGTTTACTTGTTTTTCATAATTTCATAATTAGACGGGCAGCTTCTTGGCGGGTTTTTTGAATATTAGATTTCTGATTGAGTGGCATCCATTGTGTTGCCATATCAGGGGCACGAGAACAGCACGAGCCAGGGGAACAAAGGCAGCAGATGGCTTTCCTGCTCTGATGAATTATTTTTGAGGTGCAGGGACGATTAAGAATTGTCCAGGGGGGAATTAAAGAGTGGAAGGTTAATCACGAAAATGCATGTAGATATTCTTAAATAATGTCCAATATAAAAGAAAGATATTTCCCAAGTAGTTCACCAATGATAAGGGCTGTATTTTCATATCAAAACCACTGTAATATCGTTGCTGTAACTCGTAACAAAGACCAATAATAAATGTCTCACAATTGCTGTGCTCAAACATAATAAGAATTATCGCTTTCCACGCTTTCAGAAAACTTTTGGAACATTTGTGAAATAAATGTATGCTTTTATTACATTTTGAATGTAAAATTAACCTAGAAAAATCAAATATGCAAATAAAATTTTCAGTGTGACCTATAAAAATACAGTCTCGAACAAAACAAAGGACATTTTAAATCTATATTTTTCTCGTTTGCCATCCTGCTCATAGATGCTGTGTATCCTGTGATCCTGCAGTTCTTCTGCAGTGCACGAGCAACGCTAAGTGGGGGCGTGGCCCCAAAGAGGTTTCCGCCCACTGACAAAAGGCGTCTCTGTGATTTGGCCCCAAACCTCGTGCTGTCTAAGGGCGCTCATTACAAGCACAGCCTTCCACCAGAAACGACCTGCGCGCACCGCCGCATGGGCTCCCAGCGACGAACTCACGCCCTGGTATGTTATTTACTCCTTTTAAATGACATTCATAGATAACACTGCTTTGAACAGCTCTGTGCAGCACGTAACGCTTGACATGATCTCAAGACACCGTAATGTCGTAGAACCGGGACCGTTTATCTTCACCTGTCTCTATTAGCCCTTACAATGATATACGTGTATGGCTTAATAGGGGAATTGTCTTGTCGGTATTTCACGTGTGTGATCTTGAATAATGATTGAATTAGTCAAACAAGTTGAAAGTGATATTTATAACATGTTTTAATTGTTACATGTCACAGTTGGATCAGATTGTATTGCAAAATGGCTCTGTTCTGTATTAACATTTGATGTTTATATACACCGGTACCGTTACTCAGACTACAGTGTACAGTTATTTGGTGTTATCATACAACAGTCAAATTTTTGACTCCCTCATAATGAATAGAATAAAATCCATTGAGACAGAGAAAAACAAATAAAAGCCCACCATATTTTCAGTCAATTTATTTCTTAATTTTCACTAAATGCTGCATTGTCAAAACGTCTGTCTTGTCAAATCAGTTGTCCTGTTTCTGACAGTTGCTAATGAGCCAGAGTGTGAGAAAGTCTGCCTGTAGAAGTTCCCACTGCAGCTCACGGATGACTGAGTCCCTGTGGGAGAGACGTGGCGCGTGCATGGTGAGTTCAAGTGGACGGAAGAACACGAGACTTGTGTTGAGAAGAAACAAGATGCAACAACTGATTCAGGAAGTTAGCATGTTTATTCCTGCTTTTTTGAATGCTTGTAGACGTTTGCCAATAAAAAGTCAGCAGGGAAACAACCTCCAATTATAAGTTACAAATATACGTTATTAAAAGAATGTGTCAATCTTTTGATGTGGGTTTACTTCAGACTTTTTTCAGATCATTTATATGTAAAATATGTCCAAAAATATGTTTTTATTTTCAGCAATGTGCACTATAAGTTTATTGAATAACCTATTTAATTAGAACATGATCCAAATAGAAAATGTTTAAGTTTTAATATTTTATTTTAAAAAGGGAGACATAGTTTTAAAATTACCTTTAGTTAGGGTGAACAATCTTATTCAGCACAAATAAAAAATGTGAGGGGCGAACTGAATTAAAATAAACACTGCACAAATAGGCTAAATGTGAGCCTTTCAGAATGTTTTTTATCACTGGTGTTCAATTGCATTGTTTGTGTCACTTACGAAGAGTATGAATTAAGAGTGAGCCTTTTCTTATATTCTCGCAAATATGTTTCAAATTTAAATGTCAGATGTAGTGGATTCATAATATGATTTCCTGTTGTCATAATATCTATGCAGAGAATACTTCAGAAACCAATATGTTATGGTAAAAGTAATTTGATTATAAACAATTTTAAACTCAAGATATACCAATAAAAATACTGCAATATATGAAAGTAAAGATGAAGATTAAATTCTGCAATAAGTCCGAAGATGCGAGGGTGGGAAATGCTAAATAAAGTGATTTCCTCTTGTTGTGTGTGTTGGTCTTTATTCACCTGCTTAATAAAGTTGAATTTGTCGAGTCTCCTCTTTATTTATGATTTAGATACATTGTACTCTTTGTGGTTTACTCATAACAATGAATCGGCAACATGGTTACTGAGTATTTTGGATGATGCACGCTTCTGTCCCTGGTTGGTCATAGACTGAAAGCATGCTCCCTGCACGCGCCCGGGTTCGCTCAAGCGAAAGCCTTTACGTAGCGCACGCGCCACAGCGCAGCGGGGGCAAATGCGCGCGAGGAGCTCCTGTGTTACTATGCGCATATATTACGGGTCACTTCTAAAGATGCTTTTAAAACCATAACGTCGGACGTGGTCAGTTGGGTCCCAAATAGATCGAGACCAGTCTTCTCGCATAAGTAGGTCATAGTTCTGGGTCAATTAATTAATGAATGATCTGTGACCAGCATTGTCCGTTGCTTCAACGTTCAAATTTAACAGAAAGTTCCTTTCTTTCTCTTTTCCCGGCGTTTTTTAATCTGCACTGGACTAAAGTGTTGTGATGCTTTCTGCGGGGACATGCGGTTGCAAACTGGCCGTCGGTTATCCGTTAGAAGCAGCGTGAGCGGAAAACGTGATAATTTGAATGTTGCCGCGCAGGCAGCAGCAGATGTGACCGTGCAACAGATGGGGCCCGGGCGCCGAATAATTGAGTCCAATTTGAATAACTGTCGCACGTCCGACGCGTGCAAGAAATCCGCAGCTTTCCCATGGCTGCGAGGAGAAAACCGTTGGCAGCCCCCTTCCAGTTCAATGGGGATTTAGCCGCTCACTGCTGGAAGTTGTGGGAGCGTCTCTGGGCTCCAGATCACATGATTAAATCCTGTGTGAAGCCTCCTTTGTGGAGCTGATGGGCTGCAGCTGGACCAAAGACTGAGTGCTCTGAGTGTGATGTCGACTTCATTCACCAGGCCGCCGGAAGAATAAATAAAACACACTTGCAGGCTGTGCTTAAGGAACACATTCAATCAAAAATAAGCGTCCAAGTGTCAAACTTCAGCCTAATCGTTTTGAATAGTTCAAATAAAAATAGGTCGGTATCAAAACTGGGTTTATTTATATAACGTTATATTATTTTTTATTTTGCTAAACAATCAATCAGCCACTTTGATAATTCAATGACATAAGAATATTTATATATTGAGGGAATAGTGCTTATAGGTATAAGATCATAAACGGATATAATAAAGATTATTTACAAAATTAGATGTCTTGCTCAAGCAGGCCTCAGCCTGCCTGTTTTCATTATAGGCCTATTATTCCTGTAACATACAGTGTAAGTAGTGCTAAGTGTAATAATGGCAGTGATGGAGAACCCTTCCAAATCGTGTTAGGAAGTTATTGTCCACGTCCTTTTAGGGGAATTGTAACATTAGTCAGACGGCTCGTGGGAATTTCCCCGTTCACCTCCCCCCATCTCGGCGCGTGGTGTCTATGACAGTTGCCCCGTGCAACCGACGGGCCTGAGAGGCACGCGCCGAGCACGAGACTGCCCTCTCCCCCCATCCCTCCACCCATCCCAGCAAATCCTCCACATCAGGCAGCAGTCGCTTAAGTGCAAGAATCAGTCAACAGTGTGAAGAGGCACAACGTGTAAACCCTGCCGTGGGGAGGCAAGTTATCTTATTTATTTATATAATATAATAATTATATAACATGAACTAACCCGTAAATAAGACTCAACACAAATTGAACTAGCTTTAACATGGTGAGTAAATACCAGCCAGAAGTGAACTTGGCCCATAGTTTTGATAACATGCTATATGGTACTTTAGTTCTTTTATTAGGATGTTGCTATTTGGACGATAAGATGCAACGTCCCAACGTGTGTGAGATAGATGTGATTCAGAAAAGCCTACAAAGCGCTCATTTGACACCTGGACTCCTCTGCAGGTGCAGATACCTTGGTGCTGAGGCTTTCATGCCACCGTTTGGTGATTAAAAGTATTACAGTTCCTCGCAACGTCATGTTCAAGCAATATGGGGATCTACTACACCGCAGGCTTACTTTGAACGGCCCTCAAGAGAAGGTCAAAACTATCCAAAATCATAAAGTCTGTGGTTGATTTTCACCGTTGGTATTATTAAAATGATGGTGGGGAAAACAGCTGAGCGGAGACAGGTTTAAGGTTACACATAAAACACGTGGGCTATGGGAGGTTTTTTTGACCGACTGAGTGAGTTCATTTCTCTCTCGCAGAGGTGAGTCATAATCCTCCATCATAAAAGGTTCTCAGTTCAAAGTAAATATCATTCATTCCAAATTATAGTCGAATAAAAGTGTTATGCGCTAAATGTAGCTTTTATAAAAAGATATCATTATAAAACGGTTCCATATTAAATCAGACATTATTGTATTAATGTTATACACTGTTGTGGATTACGTTTGTGCAATGTTGATTACAAAAAATGCATTGTTGTTTTTTAGATTACATTTTTTTTTAAGATACAATCTAAATCCGGAAAGTATTTCATATCAGATTTAAGTATAGTAAAGATTTTTCTTTGGAGTTAATTGGAGGTAACGTTGCTTTATACTCGCGAATACTCAACATTTTACTCAGTCGTAAACTTGACTAAATGTAACCAGTTCCACCACTGCAAACATCACAACAAAAGCATTTAAATATTGTTATGACCTTATTCATCTCCCAGTAGTAAATAGCACTCCGGATTTGTATACTTCAGCCGCTTGTGTACACACTTATACAAAAGGCCTACTGGTTCTTTGTGAACATAATAATTTAGAAAAAAAAAGCTTTATAATAGTAAGAATAAACATATTGTGTTATGATGCAAAAGCACAAATAAATAATAATAATAAAAGTAATTGCAATCATGACCTTATTATAAGAACTCTACAATATACTTGACAAACTCTCACTAAACCACTGAACCCGAATATATGTGGAACAATTGTCACAAGCTCAGTGTGACGAAAGGCCAGCAGGTGGCGCTCTTCTGTCTACGAACCGACCGGGGGTGTCCGCCCTGCTGATTTCACGGCCATATGCAAAACTAATGCCGTTGACGCAAACCGGCTGTGTGTGTCACTTCAATGACAGCGCCCCCCCCCCTCACTCCCCCCTCACTCCCCCCTCAACCCCCCCAGCGGGCAGCGGCCTTTCCGCATACTGCCCCTTTAACTTCCGAGCGGCTTTCCAGAAAGCAGCAACCTGTAACAGGCTCAGCGATCCTCCCCCTGATGGATTATTTAACAGACGCCGAGTCCCGTGTCGCCATCTGCTATAGGAAGAAAGACAAAAAATAACACGCACACGGAGGAATACTCTGCGGGGCAAATGACGTGAGCAAACCGGGCGAATAAATCAATCAGACAACGATAAGTTAGCGGCACGCAATACGACTTGCGCAAACAGGTGTTCTGCAGAGAGCGCGCGCAGCGAGCAGGTCGGTTCATCGCTCAGAGGAATAACCGTGCGCTTGGGTTTTACCTCAACATGTGACGCGTCTCCCGAATTTAAACGCGTCTGAACGGACTTCGCTTTTGATCACTTTTTGGGGCTCTTTGATGCGCTGCTTCGGCAACTGACTTTCAACCCGCGAACGTCAACCGAGTGCGAGCGGGATGATCTGAAGCTTGGCACACGCAATGCCGACGCCTTCCGCCCGGTGAACGGGCCTCTCCGGAGGAACGAGTCCCCTCGGGCCTGCGGACGCAGGCGATGGCGCCGGAGGGGGACGCCGCGCTGCTCGCCGCGAGGCAGGGCGACGTGCACACGCTCAAATTGCAATTAGCGCAAAAGGCGCTCACGCCCGAGGTCAGGGACGTGTTGGGGGCCTCGCCGGTCCACCACGCAGCCCGGGCCGGGAAACTAACCTGCCTGCGGTTCCTGGTGGAAGAGGCCGGACTGGAGGGAAACTGCCTGGCCAACAACGGGGCGAACCCGGCGCACGACGCGGCCGCCACCGGCAACCTGGCCTGCTTGCAGTGGCTGCTGACCCACGGCGGATGTCGGCCACAGGTGAGTGGCTGGAGTTGTGCACGGAGAGGTGTGGAGGACTGTAAGTCAGGGTGTGGGCGTGTGTGTTGGATGCTCACACAGCCATTTCCAAAAACAGGACACGTTTTCTAGGAGAAGAAACAAAATCCTCCATCCTTCAGTTTGTTTAAATCCACTGCAACTGCCTCATGTTCCAATGGTAATACAGTATGCAAAACTTAGATTTGCAACACGCTGTAACACGCTATTGGGCTTATATACAAATATGCGATGACGTTGATGTGGTGAATAATAATTGGGCGAGAAAAGGAGTAAAGTTACAGCATCATGATTAAACCTTACGAGGCCTCAGCAGGCACTTTGAAGGAGCGTCAGTAGAAGCTGTTATTCTTTGGCGTTCTAGTTTAAGCCATCTACTGCTATTCCAAAACCTCTCTACAATCCCCTTTTTATTTGTGGAAACGGAATGGAATTTTTCTACAGCATGCTGAACCCCTTCCACTTCAACTAACCTGCACATATTTGGGACTGTATAGAAAAGCGTACACAGAAACGAGGAGACCATGCAAACGCCACACAGACCCCATCAAGCCAGTCCCCCCCACTCCCCCCCCTCCCCCCCGAGACGCCTTCGGTCTGACAGCGCCATCGTTTAATATGTGATTCGTAATTTGAATGCAGTAATTACAGCTTTAAAGTCTATTTACTGTCTCCATTAGCTTCGCTGAGTTCTGAAAAGCCACAAATACGGCGCCTGGACACCAACTAACTGATTGCATTAAGTAAAGCAATTACCACTTGCTATGCAATCCATTTGATGGGTTGTCGTCATTATAGCTTGAACTTTGCCCCCTTGTGTCTTTTGCTGTGTTAAGGGACTCTGTTTGTTTTTTGTTTTGTTTGCCAAGTTAAAGAAGCTACGCTCTTGTGTCTTGTAGACCATTAGAACCGATCGATTACCACGTTAGTCCTTGTTTTTGTTTTTTTTTGTCAGCAGTTGTGAAGTTTGCGTGTAAATGTACGACTATGCTGCTTAGAACTACAGCGTTTCTCATGAAGAGTTTTTTCCACAAACAAGGTAGGCGTTTATTCTCGGACTAAGCAAGACTTATTTCCTTGCTCAAATATGCTGCCTACTAAATCTAAGCATAAAGAGCTTTGAGGATTGAGCTACAAAAACCAGCCTAATCATTCAAGCCTGCTGTATATTACCAATACACAAAACATCAACGTCTTAGAACATCTTCTGTCACCCATCATCAAAAAACTGAGTGGCTAAATATCTGAAATGATTTTCATTGTCAGCTCTTATTACGGGAGGAAAAACCCAAACCCAATTCTCCTTTTGTTTGACTGACAGGACCGGGACAATTCCGGTGCCACCGTTCTCCACCTCGCATCCCGCTTCAGTCACCACGAGATCACTGACTGGCTGCTGAAGAGAGGCGACGTGGACCCGGCGGCCTCCACCGATACGGGCGCAGTACCTGTTCACTACGCTGCTGCCAAGGGAGACCTGGCCTCTCTCCGGCTGTTGCTGGGGCACAGCCCGAAGTAAGCAAAGGGCATTTGTCTTCAGAGCGGCTTGTGAGCTGCGTTCACAAACCTGGTTGTTCAGTGTGACTGTATGGGTTGATGATTTGTCTAATAGTGATCCCATTGGGTACCTCGTACAATTTAAGCCTCTTTGGTGTCGCGAAATGAAAATGGTTTTAAATGAAAGCGGTTACACTGTTTGGATTCAGATTTCAGAATGCGGACAGTTTGTCTTCAAACTACTGGCTGTGGCGAGAAGCAACCTGAGCTCTGTTTTTGTGGAGCGACCAATGCAAAAACCTCTCAGTGGTTGAGCCGCCATAACGTGTACCATTTCTAGAACAATTTCCATAATGTTGCCACAAGTCTGTATGAAATGTATTTCATTTCCAACCCAAACTGTCAAATGCCAATTTAGATCCAATTCATTCATAAGTATTTTCTCCATTAATCAATCAAATATATATATATATATATATATATATATATAGCAGAATAAAGACACCCATCAATATTGTATTTTGCTATAATGCAAGAACGTCACAAATCAAATTCAGTCACAAATTTTCAGGTGTGTGTGTGTGTGTGTGTGTGTGTGTGTGTGTGTGTGTGTGTGTGTGTGTGTGTGTGTGTGTGTGTGTGTGTGTGTGTGTGTGTGTGTGTGTGAGAGAGTGATTTCCCTCGATGAATACCATCCCCTTATCGGTCCCGTGTCAGACCCACCAGTGCCCTGTAGCGATAACACCTTCCTGTGTGGACCTTTACGACCAGAGGGACACGGGGGACGTGTTGTCCTTTCTGGGACGCACAAGGACGGGATGAGCGCAAACCAACACTACGGATTCTTTCTAAGCATAAAAAAGGCAAATTCAGTTCACACCTCCAAGCCACCAGCTGATATTGAAAGATGAGATTATAAATGACATGAAGCATTGTGAACTGCCATTTGGATGAAGAGTGCCGTCAGATCAGCACGAATGTCTTTTGTCAAAAGTACTCACAGGGATTTGAGTCTGACATTACTGAGTAGGAGAGTGGAAGACATTATCTGTTAATCTCTTTGTGGATTGAACACATTTCGTATTTTTTAAAAATATCTGTATTATGACACTTGACCTTTCTAGTAGTGGTCTGTGTTTGCTTGATTTCTATTGAGCTCTACGCCTACAGGGAATTAATTGGTAGGTTCCATCGCCTTGCTCAGTGGCATCGCTTTTGATTACCTGGTGAACATTTTCTTTTCTTTTTTTTAAACTTAGATGAGTTATTTTTATTTCAGGGATAATAGAGTCGATTCAGTACACACCCGGTGGTTAACGTCATGTAATCAAGACTAGTGGCCTTGTGTGGTTTTCAATTCAGCCTTATTAAAAGCAACATCTCTGCGGTTATAAAACAATAAAAAAGGAAAATATGGAGATTACCGTTGAGCTGAGCGACGCTCTTTTCGCTGACGTCTACTTCAGCCATCAACCGTGACAACTACCTACTGCCATAAAGAAATACAGAAGGTAAATAATTGACGACCCGAGTAGGACGAGCAGCCTGTCCAGGTACCTCCCTTCGCCCCTACATCATAGTGGATTTGCACCCACACCCACCCACTGAAAATTTAATGAGCCTCAGCGACGCGGTAGCTCCCGCATAGCCGGTCGCCATTTACTCTTCTCCCCCGCCGCCCACAATGTTTCTGTTTACCGCCATCTCCCCGGCAACACGACCGGCGATAAGGTAATGAGAAAAACAAACCCATTTGAATAGAGGGGGCTGCTTTATAGCATTCGGCATTGTTCAGACTTGAACTTTGCAAAAAAAGAGATAACATTGTTGTTTCACGGCCACGTGTTTATATTGGCGAGCTTTAAGACGTAGAGTTTGTTCTGCTTAAAATAGCATGACAATTACATTATTCCTCTAGTAACCAGCCAACGTGATCTCCAAAACCTGTTCGTAAAAATGTATACGAAAATCTTGAACATACAAATTCGTAACAACACATAGGAACTGGCGGTGGTTAACCACGCCCCTTGAGTGAACAACATGGCGGACCATGTTGGATTCTTGAGTGAACGTCTCTCCGCCATGTTGGATTTTTTGAGGGGGTTAGGGTTAGTATTCTATTCTTACAAGTTAACATTGATTTCTCGTTAATTTATTTTACATCGTTCGACTTCACAAAGTGTGTTTACGGGGCGCAGGTCCCCGTTCACTTTGAACAGGGTGACGTCATCAGTTGCAGTCCGTATTTATTTAGTATTTATCACTACGAATTTGTATGTTCAAGATTTTCTTTTTTTTTACGAACGGTTTTTGGAGATCAGGCTGAACCAGCAGAGAGAGAGAATGCTTTTGCACGGATGATGATGACACACAGACTAAAATGAGGTAAACAAGCCAAACCAACGACAAGTTCAGTGTTTGGAAGCATTATGGTCCAACGGTTGAAAGTTCATACAACCACCCCGACTTTGACCAATGAAGACTTCTAAAGGCTGCTGGGCTGGTTGGGGGATTAAGGCTTGCTACCAATTTATTTATATTTTACATCTATAGCCTTACCCAATCTGACCTCTGCAAGGCTCTAAATACAGAAATGCACTATTCACACAACATTTACAGCAATCACAAAACCACCACCTATATTTACTGGTTGGGTAAACATTCTTTGACGAATTGTGATGAAAGGCCAGTGCTGCTTTGTGAATATTGTATTATAATTATAATTTGGAAGGTTGTAGTATCCAGCTGTGTGTAGTGTTCCACTCTCTTAGCAATTCTAGTCTTTTTGTGCTACAATGGACCGTTTTTGGCTTTGTGTCGCAATATTTCAGTGTTTGGGACGGACAGACGAAGACGCTGCCAATTCATGAGCTCCGTATCAGTGGGCTAAAGAGTGAGAGTGAGCCAGATCCCACAGACGACGCATGTTATACCATCAATTGGTGTAGATTAAGATCTTTTAGCCAAGCGATTCATTCCACCATGCAATTAAAAAGGTTGATCTCTGCATTAGAATTTACTAGAACAAGTTGGCCGTATACATTGTGTTTGGACACACAAGAATGAGTTTGTTTTTTTCTTACTTGTTTCAAGAACAGCTGCTGAAAGAGGAATATGGATCCTAGTAGTGCAGCATTGAATTGGTTCACACTAGCATTTATTTCCTCACCTTCAAAGTAAAAACCGTATTCCATAATGAGGCAGATCATCCTGTATCTGACGTAGGAGCAACGCAAAACCTACATACAGGTCCGTATGAAAAGGAATGAAGTCCATGCTATAATTTGGATGGGTATCAAATGCTGGGTGTATTTTCTAAGGTCATTTATGTTGGTAACAGCAGAAGAAGCTTGGTGCTTATTACGTATCCATGTAGGAGCTCTGAAAAAAGAGATGACGGTGTTTTTCACTCGGCTAACTCTGCACTTTTGTTCTTCAGCAATTCTGCTCTTAACTGCATGGTATCAGTTGAAAAAGAAAAAAAACTTCTGTTCTCTTCTACAACAAAAGATCACGCGAGGAAATGCAACGCAACGTGCTATTCAGAGATGCTTCTGGGTAAAATTACTTGTACCAAGTAAAAACCGTATACGTGCAATTGCTAAAGTCCAGCATTACATGCTCACTAGATAAACTGGCAATCTGCATGTTGTCTGCTGTCACTTTGTCTGTGTTTTAGCTGTATTTTTTTTTGGCCTGGTACATCAATTCTGTAACAACATTCTTTATTATTTAGACCGGAAACGCCACTGAGAGGCTACGAAGGCTGTGGGGAAATTACTCTGCTAGTAATGAAACTAAATCTTAGTCTTTGTTGTCCTGTACATCGGGGGCGAGGAAGGGCACATTGTTCAGACAATTACTGGGTCTAACCCATCGGAGCAGAACTAAAAAATCTATCAATGTCTGCTACTTTAAAGGTTTTTTTCTGCTTCCAGTGACCGATGACGCAGCGCCCCTTGGACCACTTGCTGGCTCTGTAGTCACACAAGGCTAACCTCTTTCATCGCTCTCTGAAATCTACACCTCTCCTCAGAAAGCACCTCTTTAGTGGCTTGTTGAAGCTCCTTCGCTTTGGAGAGTTGTGACGAGGGCAAAGTGCTTTGTTAGAACCCTACCCGTAATACCTCAAATACACCCGACCCGGTCGCTCCCGCAGCCTTTGGGGTTATGATTAATGACGAATGTAAGTCTCTCTGCTGTACAGACCCCAGTCAGCGGGTGAACACTTTGGTTACACGTATCAATAATTCACCCGTCTGCCCACTTCCTCAAGAACCAGGGAGAACTTACCTTTGCTTTTATGAAAAATGTAAAGAGTGCTTGTTTTTACATGGAACCTTTCCCTCTATCATCCTGACCGTTGTTTATTCCAATGTTTCCCTATAAGACAAGCATGTGCTTAAAACGCAGTCACATGTCAAACTGAATTCATTTGGGATACCAACAACTTCGTACAACCTCTTCAACAAAAAAAGGCTACTTCAGGAACTTTGTCTCAGAATTGGAGCTGATTACTTATGAGCAGATACGACCTTTCGTGTGAAGTTCAGAACAGAACATGTTCTTATCCATGTCATTTAAACACAGGATCTTTATTGATGGCGCTGACTTCATGCCCTTGAAGGGAATGTTTGGCAGGGTCATTTTGACTTTAAAAACAATGACACAGCCAGTGCAGAGCAGCTCATATGCTGGCAGCTTTAAGCAGCCGTCGGGGCAAAGCCCGGGGAGTGATAATCCTCTTTGCACGCATCGCTTATTTGTCAGTGTCCAAATAAAGCTCACCCTTATGCGATTTAGTGAGGAAGCGATCATTCTCTCCCAGAACTCCCACACTGCCTGAAAAGATCTGGAACAAGGGGGCTTTTCCGTCGGAGGCGGGGCTTAGGGCCTTTGGAAACCGGAGGACGGGATTTGCTTCGCCGTCACTGCTGTCTGCTCTCAAAATAGCCGCAGGTTGACATTGGAAACGGATGTTTTTCTGTCCGTTACCATCAAACTACGATCCCACATGCAAGCCCTTTAGAAAAATGGGTTTTATCATACAACTGAAATGGTATACAATGATTTGACAGCCGTGTCTTTAGAGGATGCAGTTTGTGTATGTGATGATTATGAGTGATTATAAATGAATTGATTAGAGTTGTAAACGGCAGTAGAAGTTGTCACCATTACTGCTGTGGCAACTCTCCAGAAAACCTGCATACGTCAGGTAAATGTAGCTAAACTTTTAAGCGTTTTTGTCACGAATCTTCCCAGCAGCTTTATTTTATATATAATATAATGTACTCTTCATTACAAATGTCAGAGTTTCACTGTCTGGTGGTAACAATTAAGGGTTTAAAAAATTTGGGCATTTTTACAGCAAGAAATATCGAAGATAATACATTAAGGGACGTTTGGTGAATTTGGCTGTTTCTCTGGACAAGACGAGGTTTTCATTAATTACGGCATCGACGTGACGTGAACTCAGTAAAACCGTCATTCAGTCAATAACGTTTTAACCGAGATTGTACAGATCTAAATCACACGACTGAAGTTGCGTTTAAAATCCACAATTGTAAGTGTCTATATCTGTGAGTCAGTAGATTTTATGAATGCCGACTTGAAACTCGTAGATCTTCTTTTATTTTGTCCAAGAATGCTTCCTTCATCACTGAAAAACTACATAGACTCCAGCAAACAGCTTTGAGCGGAGCGCTTCGGTCTCCTTATGGTCCCCTATTCACTTTTTGGTTTAATTTCCAGCGTTGTCAACACCCAAACAAAGAATGGTGCCACACCGCTCTACCTGGCATGCCAGGAGGGGCATCTGGAGGTCGTCCAATACATGGTGAAGGTTTGTGGGGCAGATCCTAGCGTCAGAGCCAATGACGGGATGACGCCTCTGCATGCTGCTGCCCAGATGGGCCACAACACTGTTATCGTCTGGCTGGTATGTTGATGGCAGGAACATATGGATCATGTATTCCAATCAAATGGAGCACATTCCATACTAACGCAGTTATACTTTTTAAAAAATAAACTAATCAGATTAAATGATTAACCCCCCTCCTCCAGGTCAGCTTCACAGAGATCCGCCTGACGGACAGAGACAGTGACGGGGCCACGGCCATGCACTTTGCAGCCAGTCGAGGTCACGCAAAGGTGCTCAGCTGGCTGCTGCTGCACGGCGGGGAGATCATCACTGACAATTGGGGGGGAACCCCTCTCCACGACGCTGCAGAGAACGGTGAACTGGAGGTGTGTGTTTCTGCTGTTTGCTTTTTTTCTTGCGTAGTGATCAGTCCGAGTTAAAAGCGAAATAGAATACAGGCACAGAAACCTCCACCTTTCGACGTTTGTGCTACTATGTACAGTGAAACATCTGAAATGCTAATATTAGAATGAGCATTGTTAGTGCTCACATATCCACACTGTTTCATATTCAACCATCGGTTTTGAATACAACAAAACTCTGACCTTCTACTTTGACTAATGCATTGTTGTATCCAGTCAGCTGTTTCAGCACAAGCTTGACATGTTAGATGTAGAACAAATGTGTATGTTATGTCCCTCCCATAAGAAGGGTTTGAAATTAAACTTGTGTTTGAAATGTACGTTTTGAACCAGAGAGAACACAAGAAGATATGAAAAACAAAGCTTTTACGTTCTAAGAAAACGTAATAATTTTAGATAATTTAGGTAATATTTTGGATCCCCATAGGAAGGGTCTCCTAAACAATTCACAAATAGCTATGGATTTCCTATTAATAACAAAATAATGCATTTATTTTAAAAGTTTATTTATTTTTTATGGTACGAAATATTTTTTTCCTGCAAAACAACTAATTTACCTGTTTATTTTGTGTAAATTAGAAGTATTTTAACTGAGTTTAATGCTGACTTGAAGCACAGCAGCCCCTTTCACTGACCCTGTCATGTTCTCCATCTTCCTGAATCTGACCTCGAGCACTTTCTCCGTCGCTCTGGTGTTGTTCTCTAGTGCTGTCAGATCCTCGTAGTCAACGGGGTGGACCTGGCCATCAGGGACCTGGACGGTTTCACTGCAGCAGATCTGGCTGAATACAACGGCCACTCGCAGTGTGCCAAGTATCTGCACACTGTGGAGAACATGGTGAGACTATAGCCATTACCCGCCTGTGGACGGTGAGGGTCAGTTCTTTTTGATTTAGACAAACTTTGAATCGTCATTCAAATCCTTAGTTAGTCGCGGCTAAATGGAGAAACAGCCGTCCCCGAGCCAGCATGTCCCCTGACTGCCAGCAGTTTTTCAGTGTTAATTGCCTGACCGATTACAACATGTATGAAAAAAATAAATGGACTCCCCGGCTTCGACCCACTGAAATTCCCAAGTGGCCAGAGAAATAATAACTCCTCTGCACTGAAGTCTCTGGTGTGTGGGAAACAGATTCCCCCCTGTTGTGCGCTTTCCATCAGGGACATCCAGCCAAGTCCTGCACTGTGGGAAAAGCAGAGGGCCTCAGAGCCTTTTTGATCAGCTGTGAGACGTTTCATTAGTGTGTACTCATTAAACACATAATGCCGTTCCCCTCGCGAAAGCCACCAGGGACTGAGAGCAGTGTTTCCCTTAGGTTTACAAGTTCAGGGGGGGGATTTAGAAACAACATGATTTATATGCACTAGCCTATGGATTTATTAAGTGATTCCTTAATAATTAACAGATGTATTTTTTGATTGTATTACCAAACTGCATCCTTTGACAGAGTGTGGAGCACCGTGTTTTGTCGCGGGACCCCTCAATGGACCTCGAGTACAAGCAGCCGGACTCGGGCCTCTCGTCCCCAAACACCACCATGCCCCCCATCAACCAGGCGGCCCACTTTGACATCAGTTCGCCGTCCAGCTCCCTGTCCAACTACGACTCTGCCAACTCCAGCCAGTCCAGCACTGGGGAGAAAAGGAGCAGCCTAACAAAGCCACAAGGCGCACTCGCTCAGCTGAACACGGTCGCACACACAGGTCAGCAATGCGTAACGTTAAAATATGAAGCATTCTACACTGGCCTAATTAGTCAGTTCGGTTTCTAAGGAAACGGAAAGGTGGCTGGAAAAGTATAATCGCATTTAATTTCACTGAATAACCGATGACGTTCCATTGTGTTTCTGAATTGAAACCACTAAAGTTTTGTCGGTGCAACGCTGAGCTATTTACTGAGGTAGAGCTGGTATCATGCAACTGTTTGCTTCCTTATGGGTTATGTCACAGGTGCATGGCACGCTGGTGCTGCTCCCTTGTGGCAGCATGCAGATTATTTGTTAGAATAAGAGGTGGACCGTCATAAGAGTGTCTCTCATTCATGTTTGAATGCACTGCTTTCGCTTACCTTTTGTCGCAGGTGCATCGGAGTCGGGCATTACGGACATGCAGGCGTACATGGACATGCTAAACCCCGACATTGGCTCTGACGTGCACAAGAAGAACGACATACCTGCTAATAACGCCTCTAAGCCCCCACCTCCACCTCCACCACCACCACCACCAACCTATCCACCCCCGCCTCCACCACAGTCACCCCCAGTGCCCCCGCCAGCCCCGACCTACCCAGCACCGCAGCCCCCTCAGGAGCCGACGTCAGCGGAGTTCCTGAAGGTGAAAAGCAGATTGCGACACGTGGAGAGCACCAGCAGCAAGACGGAGGTGAGGACAGATGTGGTAAGCGAGTTGCAAGTCGGGCCTCGCGGCTGTGTGGGGTATTTCCTCATCTAGAGGGAAATTTCAAAATGCAAAAACATGATTTTGGGGATATTTGTTTGTGCCTGTCCATCAAACCGCTTCCCTGTGCAGATATATTACGTGCGTTTTTGTAACGGCAAGCAGATGGTGTAGTACTTCCTTCATGTCATATATGCACGGAACATGGCAGGAGATCATTCGCTTGGTTTGGTAATTGTGTCTCAAACATGAATACATTTTGCAAAGCCTGTGATATGAAACAAGAAGCAGGACTGGTTTGTTTCGGGATGAATGGCCAATTAGCTGCCATTTTCCCTTGTGTCTAATCAGTTGGGCAAATGCTCTTGTGTAACAGTCCGGGTTGCCTACAAAGATGTTATTGTGTTAGCATGGCTAACGAGGCTAACCGAGAAGCTCATTACTGTGGCCCGCATGGCACACACAGTGGTTATTGTGATGGGCTTGAACTTAATTCCAGTAATTAATCTGGATAAAGATCACTCAGACGTGTATTAAAGGAGCAGCATCAACAATAGTTTCAGTGCGGTAAAAATGGGTTATTCAATAAATTGTAATTATAAAGAGGACGATGAATCTGAGAGATCACTTCATGTTTCTCCTAGTGGTTGCCATTACGTATGATCGTAGAAAGACAAAAAGTCTCCGTTCTCTTATATGGAAGTTGTAGTTGTAAATGTTTAGCATTTTGCTACATTTTTATTCTAATAATCATTTTGGGATTTATTTTCAGTACGTTCAACAGAAGCAAGAAGGTGTTTATGTTTTTCTGTCGTACACATGTTGTTGCATCAGTCTAAACTCTGCCATACACAAGTTTAGTTATTATAATTGGTGCCCCCCCCCCCCCCCCAAGAGGGGGGGTGGCAACAGCCTGCGGCTCGCCCTCATTAACAATTCAACAAACGCGAGTGCTTAGATCACATGCACACATGCGTGCGTACACAGACACACACCAACTCAGATAAGATCACTGTCTACTATATACATTGGGAAAAAGTATCTACCTTGGGCACCATAGTTACAGTAACCTCATCCATGATCTCTAAACATGTGGACGTATTACAGATTGGAGATTATTGGTTTAGGTGATGTTGTTGATTATTGGTTTAGGTTGTAGATTATTGGTTTAGGTTGTAAGGAAAGAAAGTTGACAAGTATTTCTTTGTCTTGTCGGCTTTCTTTGCTGCTTCTCCCATCTCATTTGTCTATATTTGCCTTGACTGAAGTCAAATGTTTCGTGAGAAGCAGCCAAACAAATGACTGCTTTGCCTCTCCCATTTTCTGCTTTAATTCATTTAACGTAGTGTAGAAATGCCGGACTTTAACGTCTCAGCCGGGATTAGCATATTTCCTGCCTCTAATACGGGGTACTGACGGCTAGAATATCCTGATAATCCTAAAGTTCGAGTGCCGCCATGGTGATGGCCGCTTCTAGCAGCATCCAGGTCTTTGTGTTTTGCATAAACAGAGGCCCCGGGGCAGGGACGGGGAGTGTTTAGTCCGCAGGCTGGTGGTGACATCATTTCTACCGCTGCGGCCGACCCACTGGCTAATTGATGAGGCCAGTAGGTAAAGTGAGAGGGCAGGTGAGGAGGTGGCACTCGGGATTTGATGACCGCTGTGCTGGGTTTTGTGGATGAGGTTCTGTCCAGACAGGAGGAGAGCAGCAGCAGCAGAAGCAGCAGCAGGGGACTAAGGTAAGGTGTTAAGAGGAGAAAGATAAATCACTTTTTTACCTGCTCGGGCTGCAGATACGGAAAGTTTTATAAAAGTTTGTGTTAGTGTTTATTGGATGATTGCCAGGTTGTGGAGAGGTTTGAGCTGCTCTTTCGTTTAACCGTAAATGTGCTGCATCTTGTCATGTTTAAATTGTTTACTTTTCTTGAATTGCAAGTTACTTTTTACTCCTTTTTAGAATGAGAGTCTTCCGGTGTACGACCTTTCTTTATCTCAGGCTTTTTACGAGACCGCATGCACGTCCTGAACCATTTCAAACCGCAACCAGGTGGAGAAAAAAAAAAACCTTGATAATGCAAATGCATTCGACCGTTAAAGCAAATATATGACAATCATTTTATGTGGACAGACAGACAGATCTGTTATAATGGCAAGAAATGAGGCGTAAGTACATCTGCGTGAGGGAGGGGAGCAGCCAACATGCTTTGTACGTTTGCTTTTGTCAGCCCACCTCCCTCGAGGATGACAATCAAACCATCTGTAGTGCTGCTCACATTACCCTGTACCCTGTAGACATGAGTCAACAACACTAAACGGCCTGAGAGGAACTTAGAATGCGATACCTCGTAAAGGAGGAGGTCAGAGGTCAGCTGCCAATTATTCCCCTACATTTGAAAGGCCAGGCAACTATTGGTTTTGGTGTAATAAATAAAGCATCGTTTACAGCTTTGGGCAGTAAAGGGGCTTCCCTTTTCACGCTTACACACATTTTTGTTATGCAATTTTGGAAAGAATATTATAATACAAAATATAGTAAAGAAATCTCATATTAGGAAACCATGCTAATATTTTACACAAACTAAACTGAAGCCTTGTTTTGTTTCAAATAAGGCTGCTGTGGTCACACAGGAGAGCTGATCTTTTGTGTGTTGATCACATAAAAAGTGCCGCTTAGCTGTATTTCCAATGTTTCTGTCACTTTTTTTGCTAAAACCATGAATGGCTGTTTGTAATTCTCTTACTTGTATCTTACCTGTCGACATGGCTGAAAGTTAACTTAGCTTATTTTGGATAATGAAAATCAAATTTAAAGCTCCCAATTTTTCCCCATTCACATCTTTCTAATCAGCTGACTCTCGGAGAAAACCCAGACAAACTGCGCCGCGTGGATTCAAACAGGAGGTCGAGGAGCTTCAGCAAGCAGCCCAGCACTGGGGACTACTACAAGGCCCTGGGCAGCGACTTGGCCGAGTCTGGAGGGAGCAAAAGCATGGCGCCCAACGAGGAGGTGAGTCAGCGCTGCGCTGTTTATGGCAGTATATATATATATATATATATATATCTCAGTATGTACAATGTTTTTCCCGACACACAATCAGTGCAAAGCTGACGACTGACGGGGAAATGCAACCATTCTTTAAAAGTAGTTTTTGTTATATTCTATTTATGCTGGTCGATGGATTGAACAGATGCCTTATACATTTATTTTTTTTTCTATATATATATTTTCAAAAGTATATGTTGGTGATAACACAGCAAATAAGGGGGAGGTTTAGCTGAGTGGTGGTGTACATAATGCCTTCACAATGCAGGAGCTCCAGTAATGGGTATTAAAAATGGCCTTCGATCAAATCCGGAGCAGTTATGTGTAGGGTATGAAAATAACTCTGCAATCACATGTATGTTTCAGCCGCTCAAACATAGATTTCCTAAATCAGGTTTTACTTCTACAAGGACTGGAGTGCAGATGGCAGTATTTGCGTGTGCATTATGACACTCGGCACAGTCTTGTGTCCACCTGAGCGTTTGTTTGGATGCAAACTTCTCACTCATTTCCATTACCTCGTGACTCCCACCCGGTTGTATAAGCTTTCTAAAACTTAAGAACAATACATGTGTGTGTGCTGGTTATTTTAACCCACAAACAACACGGAGTCTGTGAGATCACGTTAAAATGAAAAGGTTAATTTGAGCCGTCGGAGATTGTGCAAAACATTCACATTTTGTCATTGATTTCCTGGTCACACAAACACTGAGATTGAGGCACTAGAATTTCCTTTGGGATAGAATAACTATTGAACTACAAAAGTATTTTTTTGTCGAGGCTTCCTTGTGACTAATCTAAACATGATCCTGATCATAAAGCACCTGTTTGCTGCCACATACCTGCACAGGCAGCTGAAGGAATAGTCAACCATCAGTGTCCCCGGAGAGGTGTTCTTATACTCTCAAGGGTATCAGTAGTGGGGGAATTCTGGGTGATACAGCGTGCAATCCACATTGAGCCAATTAAGGTCTCAGTGGGGCCTCTCGTGGTCTCAGGGGCACCGCAGCAGATGGGCCGGCTAATCGACGGGAGCAACGGCACGTGCCGCCGCGACCCATCTGGACACCGTCCCCCCCCCTAATTCTCTGGGGGCTTTTGAGAAGTAAAGGGGGGGGGGAGTGGGGGCAACAATGATGAGCACGCGTCCATCGGACTAAGGAGGGGGGAGTGTGAGGTCGGATTAAACGTCACGGTCCATTAACTTGCCCCCAGGAGAGTTATGGCACGCTTTCGGAGCGTGTCAGACTCTGGGGGGCCGCGGGGCGCGGGGGTTTAAGCACTATCACTTGCAGCGACAGATGTCTTTGCCCAATGTTTTCTCTCTTGAGTTTCCCCTTGAGATTAGGTCATATTAGCTCTGTTATTAGCAACAGGGTGTTACGCCTTCATGAGTTGATTAAAGATGGCAGGGGGCAGAGGGAGGACATGTCTAATAGGGCGGCACACATCTGTCACTCTTGACAGAATTGAATGCTCATTTGGCCCAGCAGGAGTTTCGTGTGGCATGCCTATACAAGCAGGGCAATTAATTAATTAATGATTTTATAAATTAATTCATTTTATTATTTTTACATTATTAAAAAAAAGTTTTGTCAACATAATTTTACATTTACGTCTAATATTACAACATTTCCAAAGGCAAAAATAGCTTTGTGATTCGAATTGGCTTAAGTGTTTGAATTGTGGGGTGAAAAATACGACTGACTAATTCTGTTCCTCCCTCTTCTCGGATCAGGGCTCCATGTTATTGGAGGAGCCTAGCGACAGCTCCGCCCACAGCGCAAACAACGGCACCCCAGAGGAACCGGCAGCGTCCCCACCCCCCCCTCCTCCACCGCCGCCGCCTCCTCCTCTTCCTGCGAGCAATCCGACACCAACACCACCTCCACCTCCTCCGTTGCCCCCGGAGACGGCAACCACTCCGAATTTTTCTGCCAGTAGCACCTCCTCCAACCAGCGACGTCTATCTTCCTCATCAGGAAGTGAGTGATTTTCCCCTCTATCCCCATCTTTTATTTTTTTAATCTGTCTTCACTTGCTGTTATGGTCCGCTTGCACCCAACATTTTGTTAAAAGTTCTTAAAATAGGAAGGAGCAATACTGTTATTTCCTCAAGAAATGTTTGGCAATACACATCTTTGTACAATTATTCATAGCAGCTTTCTGTTTTGGGTCAAACTCAGTCTGACCCGAGCATCCTAAATAAAGGATTATATATTAATGATGTGGGGCTACCATTACCCGAACAACTGGTTTAGTGTTCATCCATTTCCTTAAGTGCCCTGCGCTGCCCTGGATGCAGCGGTCTGACAGCATGCTCTAGTCCCCATCGGGAGGTAAACTCTATTTAAGTCCCAGAATTTCACATAACAAGCTTAAAAAAAAATAAAATAAAACAGCTGACTATCAGAATTTCTCACATGCTTCGATAGATTTAACTAAATATCAATCAACAAAATTAAGTCATTTGTTATATAAAAAGTAACAAAGTGAAGCAAATTAATGCACATTGTATAAAATAACGCCACATAATATAGCGCAGTCTGTTAAGCCAAAAACGTAGAGCGGTATCAGACATTTCTGTTTCCATGGCCCTTCGTGCTCCATCGCCACCTGTTTCCGCTCTGTTTGTTTTGGGTTTTCCACTCTTTTGCCTGCTGTGGTTCTTCCTCAATGGTGCTCTGTGAAGTCACGCAGAATGATGAAGAGGAAGTACACACTGCCGACCAGTCTTTCAATGTTCACTCATTATACAGATCAAATTTGGAGGTGACAATAAGCCTTTGCAGTTTAAAATGATGATAATCCTTATTTTTTCCTATAAATATTAACAGCAATACAACCTGCCTACATCACTGTCAAATAATTTAAAAACAAATCGGGGAAATAAAGTGTCACGTCAATTAGAAAGTTTCAAGTAGAAAATTTCCAACTGGAGAAAACGCCTACAACTATGTAGACCGAGTTCTAATCACTGATATGAAAGAGGTCAACACCACGTCTCAATGTTATAATTTAACAGTCCAATAAGGCACAGATAAAATAAGTTAAAGTTGTGAATCAAATATGTCAGGAGGCTGTGAGGAAGCTCATTATTTAAACCGGTTTAAATGGAAGGTAATTTACAGGGTAATGTGCTGTAATAAACAGCAGCGTCAATTAAGCTGTAAACTATTAGTTGTTCCATTGGTACCTTTTTGTTGTATTTTATCTTCATGCTTTGTTCACCAAATATTCAATTGTCTCACCTATTTGTGTTCCACCTGCTGCCTAACAGGAGGATACCAATAAAATGCTCACGGCTAAAGAGCAGCGTGTCTTCACTAATTGCGACACTTGTGCTTCAGCGTTACTCGGGTAATAAACGGGCAGTTAGGTGGTCGTAAAATTAAAAGGAACCAACACATCCGAGAGCTCGAGATGAAATTACAGCTCAGATGCTCATTCTGACGATGGCAATAAACCAGGTGGCGGATTGAAAAAGCAGCTGCAACGCTGTGGATTGTTAGAAGTTCTCTATTGGTTTTACTATTTATTATTGGTTAATAAATAGTGGACAATAATGGACAGAATCTACCTTTTTTATATTACAGGACACAAGCACTTTGCGACAGTGCAGACATTAACGGATGAAGCAGCTTGACCTGCAGTTCTAAAGCGGAGCAGGAAGCCTTTTGTGCTGCGTGATGTCGGTCATGAGAGGTTATTTGTCAATTCTGGTCCACCTGTCACAGCGCCGCCCTCCTTTGCATTTACTCTGGCAGACTCGTCGAGTCCACGCCCCTGAGCCGAAACAGAATGTAGCTAAGACACGCACAAAGAGACTTAACCTTTGACTCCAAACTGCACAAATACTACAGTCTAATCAAACGGATATCAGTGCACCAACTTACAGTTCGGAGAAACTTTTTAGACGTGAAACTCGGTCGAGTGTTGATTATCAGGTGTTTCTGGAGCCCTGCCATGAAATCTCGTCAGGGACAATGGACGAAGGTAGGCTGCTTATAATTTAGAAATCACACTTTATTTGGGACTGATGCAGTGACATTTCAGTAAATCGTAGTTTGACTTTAGACTTTGGGAGCAATCTGGCGATGAAACTCTTTTGCATTAGATAATCAGTTGACACTAAACTGTGACGTCTCGTAAGAGTTACAGGCTTCAGCAGCTGTTCACTTTTGATCACAAATGTTTCCAGCCACATTTTGAGTGCGTACAACAGCACATTGTCCGAGGCGTGTGCGTTTCAGTCATCGGCCTCCCTGTAATTGTGCAATTGTAAGCCTGTGTGCGCATCCAGGATGTGCGTATGATTGGAAAGTGTGTCAGGTTTGCTGCAGTACGGATTGGTTTGGCAAGGTGGACTCACCAACTGGGGATTGAAGGGTGACTGGGTGTGTGTGTGTGTGTGTGTGTGTGTGTGTGTGTCTCTGTGTCTGTAGCCATCCATGTGTGCGTGCGTGTTAATTCCGGGCCGGCTTGCCAGTGGCTCGCTGTCACTTCAACTTACCGGTGATTCCTTTGGATTTCCCTCAACTGTGATGATGGGTCTTTAATAGAATACTGCTCTCTCCTCCCCAGGAGAGAGAGAGAGAGAGAGAGAGAGAGAGAGAGGGGGAGAGCGAGAGCGAGGAGGGTGTCAGGATAGCGAGACTTTGTGTCCTGCTAGACCACTGTGGTCATCTTAACAAGGAACGTTTCTACGGGAGGACTGTTTCCGTCTCCCTACTGCAGAATGAGTGATCCGTGAGGGACTACGGATATTTAATCCATTGGAGGTTTGAATTCACTCAAACAGGTGAGGTAGCTTTTGGCTGTCCGTGTTTGGGCCAATGTGTGTGACATGTAAATGTTCAAAAATAATCTAAAGCTAAAGTAGTAAAATGGTTGCATCATCACATTTGACCAACTACAGTTGTTTCATAGAAGCAACTAAAATTATTTGAGATGAGAAATGAGAAATGCTTACTGCTTTAAAGGATGGGATGTTTTGTAAAAATAAATATAAATGTATAAATTAGCAGGTTGTGTAAAAAAAAAAAAAAAGGACATTTTAAATCTCTTTCATCTACTCTTAAACTGAAAAATGAATTCCTTTTGTAACCACGGTTCCGATAGAAGTCGTCGCATTGTTCACCATAAGCAGATTAGGGCTCATGGAAGCCTACTTTTTTGAAAGTTAAAAGTTCAGCTACAGCTAAGCGGTGCATGTCAGGTGACACAGAAACAGAATGTGGGCCTCTTCTCTTTGGGCTCACTGTAGTGAAATAATTTGCTTCTCCCCATCAAGTCCCAGCTAACTGCAACGGTTGAACAATGTGTTGACTCCTCCGTGGCAAACCCTCAAACTAAAAGGTTTACAAAATGCCAATCAAGGTAAAAAGATTTAAAAAGAACCTTATTAAGCTTGTCCTTGAGACACTCAGTGGACACGACAGCGGCCTCCCGTGCGACATGTCCGAGGGCAGCATTGTCACCCGCCTGATCGGATGAAATATTTAACACTGAAATGCCACCCAGCGGCTCCCTCACTCTCACCCTTCTCCGGCGTATCTCTCTCACGCTCTCCCTTTCTTTCTCTCTACTCGGTTTCACCTTTTGTGCGCCGTCCTTTTGTCCGCAGGCACAAAATCTTTCAACATGATGTCCCCCACTGGCGACAACTCCGAGCTGCTGGCGGAGATCAAAGCAGGGAAGAGCCTCAAGCCAACACCTCAGAGTAAAGGCTACACCACTGTCTTTTCCAACAGCGAACCCACAGGCAACAATGTAGGTCGCGCACGAGACCCCCCCCCCCCCCCCATCCACTAGTGGACCGCTCGGTAGTGCTTCCGTTGGGATGATGTCATTGCAACTTTATAAATCAGGATTTCATTTGATGCAACAACACAACGTTTTTGCTGGCGTTTATTCCTCTCCAGGAAACCGCCGCATCTCCACCGGAGACCCGCACGTCCAGCCCACCAGCCAAGCCGCCGTCCCCGGCGCCGTCTCCCACGCCTGTAACCTCGCCACCCGCCACCCCGAGTCCCACTCCCAGCGCTACTGGTTCCGGATCAGCCAGGACCATGTCGACCTCCGCGAGCTACGAGCAACTGCCCTCCAACGCTGTTCTCAACGGGAACGGCGGCGGGGCGGAGTCGGGGCGGAAGATGAGCCTCGCAGACGTGGAGGCGCTGGTGCCCACTAACGACGAACAGGGCAAAGCGATCCCTGAGTGGAAGAGACAGGTGATGGTGCGAAAGCTTCAGGTCAAGATGCAAGAGGAGGAGGAGCACAAGCGCAAGGTAGGGCTTCAAATGGCAAAGGTCTAGAAGTTTTATTGCGCACTGGCTATCCCGTTTGTGGTTGAGTACATTTTTAAATGCTCTTGATTATATATGGCTCTGATTGGAATAAACATAAAGGGGATAGCCGGTGCTTGGATTTGAGTGTTGAGCAATGAGGTGTGATTTTAGTACTCATGCATGACATGTGCTTCGCTGTCTTTTCAACCACACTTCATTTATCATCTTTGATCTCCTGATAGTGTGACCGTGTTCTGCCAAAACGGATGCACCGCGAGACTTGATTCTGACTATTTTTACAATTGAGTTGCCTTCACCTGCCTTATCGGAGCAAAGAGAATGGCCTACGGTTTTCATCAGCCCAGTTAGGAAACTCACTGAGGTGGAGGCAAACACACTACTTGGTTTAGGAACACAAATGCTGGATGATGCATCCTGAAATGTATTCTCAAGACCTGTTGGTTAACGATACCCATTGACATCTAGTAGTCCAGTAGTCAATGGCGTGTGTGAATAGTATTTGACAGGAAATTGGTCATTCGTACTTCTAGCAATTTGAACACAGAAGGTAGATCTTTGTCCTTTAGTGGCTGAAGCTTGGCAGTGGCGTCATTAAAATGTCTAACTGGCTGTCGGTCCTAAATGTAGTAAACTAAGCTGAAATATTATTATTTTAGTGATATACTTTGCCCTATAAAAATTGTAACTGGGAAAATGACTAATATTACTTATTGTTTGAGACACCATTGGATCAAACTAGCGCTACATATAGTCCTCCATAGACATACTAATTCTTATATTCTTGATTGATCTCTATGCATGTTTCTTTTTTTCTTATTTACAGTCTTCATTAATAGTTATTAGACTCTTTGGGGTGCAGTGAATTGAGTACTTAACCACAATGCCCATCGCAACATTACCGCACTTTCTCAGCGTGGTCTTTTTGGTGTTTGATGATGGAGGTTTGTGGCTCCAAGTTGTTACATGCTGCTTCAGTGGTGTGATGCCAAGCCCATTCACACTACAGGTCCTCCAGAAATAATAATAATAACAACAACAATACGAAATGCTGTTTTCTTTCCGAGGAAGCCACGATATGTTTAAGTGGAACTCCATATCAAGTCCCTTAATAAACAACCCTTTGTTGCACTAACATCTTCAGGTTGACAGTTTCAACTTGCACCTTCAACCACACCCAGTTTCGTTTGTTTTTATCTATGTTGAGTGCTGACTAAGGTGTGTCTGTGATACACTAGTGCCAGCCTGCAAAAATAATAGAGTTACGACATACTAGGGGGGCAGATAAATGAATGAAATATTCAGCATCCAACACCTTTAAAAACTGACGATGGGAGAGATCAGCTATATTAAAATATATGTGTATGTATACACACACACACACACACACACAGGCATACAAAAAGGACAAAGCTTTCTCCAATCTCTGAAAGTCCTGTGATTGTAATGAGGCAGTGCCATTGCACCACTTAATCCATGTAAGTCATGTGTGTCGAGATGGATTTGAACTGAAGTGTGTGTTCAAACCAGGAACGTCAAGCTGAAGGAACCCCCTCCTTCCCTTCTTTTTTTTGTCTTCTGGTCTGTTTTGGCCTCTGATTTAGTTTGCGGCAAGCGGACACTACCAGCCTCAGGAATGGCACTACTCCCACATCCACAATGCCATTTTGGGCCCATTTGGGGAACTGATGACGGAGGACGATCTAAACCTCATTGAGAAGCAAATTGAGAACCTGCAAGTCATGCACAAGGTTTCAGAAGTGGAGAAGGAACTGGAAGAACTGGAGCGGGAGCTTCACCAGCTCCTTCCAGTCTCTGCTGCCCTCAACCAAGGGCACTTCTCAGTCAATCCAAAGCAGGTTCATGGCCAGGCTGAAGATCTTCCAGCCTGGTGCAGCAAGATTTCTACCCTGCTCAAGAGTATGGCCATTCTCCTTGCCACACTGGGGGGGAAAGAGATCGACATCTTGGATCTAATATGTCCTGGATATTCTCAAGAAGCAGCAAGTAATGTGAGCACCTGTCAAACGGAGCTGGGAGGATCCGTCGGCACCGGCTGTATTGGCCGGTCTCAGTCCTTCTCAACAAGACAGGATGTAGAGAAGGAGATAAAGCAGTGTGGAGTTTCAGTGAAGAACCTGAAGGCCAATTATGAAATTCAAAATGAGCAGTCCACAGATAACTCTGCAAATAGGGTGTACAAGCGCAAAAGGTCGCTCCCCGCGGTCAGTCAGTCTAGTTATCGTCCAGAGACTATTTGTGAGGATGATGTCTCTTGTTCCTCTGCTGAGGTCCCTCAGTCCCATACCAATGGAGATTTACCATTAGCGGAAGAATCACTCTTGCCACTTGTTGAAGAGCCAATTATTATTGCATCTCATGCTCCTAAAACCTATGCGCCCTCTGTGGTAATGACTCCAACTAACATTGAACACTTTAATCAGGTTCTTTCTACAGACCCCATTTTAAATAATGGTCAACTAACCAGAAGCTTGGAGGTCCAGACAGATGTAAGCTATGTCCAGGAATGTATTGAAATGAGGAAAGAGAGAATTGTCTTTCTTTTCCTTGAACACTGGCGGAAATATACCATCTCTGAAACTTACCAGACTAAACATGCTGGTAGCAGAGGAAGTCATTTAGACGTGGGCTGGGGGGGCTACAACCAATTAAGTGAACCGATCGGTGGGGAAACGCAGAGCGAAGACGACAAACTCCTCCTCTTCATGAAGTCGAAGCAGGTAGTGGGGAATCTGATCGGCCACTGGAGGACAATTATGAGTCAAGTGCCTACACGTCAGATCCGCAGGCTGAGTCGTGCCCAGATGATCTACTGGCCGGAGCACTTCCTGCCGCACGTCAGCGGCTCTCCTGTGAGATACGAAAGCCTGACCCTTGACCTCTTCATGCTCGGATACTTCCAGTTGCTGGAGATGAATATGTCTCGGGCTGAGCGCAAATTCCGCCACCTCTTGTGCTACGAGATGTTTGACCGCCTTGGCAGCCATAGATGGGAGGTCATGCGGCAGTTTCACAAGGAGGTCATGGAGGAAATCGAGACGGGGAAGCGAGACTGGGCGGATGGTTTTGAAGAAATAAAACTCAAGTATTTTGGAGACTCAAGCGATGGGGGAGGTGTGATGACCGCTTCTCTACGTTCCATGTCTCCTGACGTTATGCCGGAGTCACTCCTTCCTCCACCACCTTCTCATCCTCCCCCGCCTCCACCACCTGCCCATCCTGCCCCCCCCTCCGCACAACCCTCCCCAGCCATCTCACAACCACATGATTGTCAACCACCATCACCCGCCGCACCGGACGCCGTATCTGACAAGGGCCAGTGTGCAGTGCAGGGAGCGACGACGCGCGGGGATTTAAGAAGCAGTGAGCAGTTGTTCTCAAATGAGACGGTAGTTTTGAATGGAAACATTTCAGAGCAGGACGGCACGCAGAGGTTGATGACGAAAACCGAGCGACACAAGGATGCAACAGAAAAAGCTGACGCGCTGCAGAGCGCAGCAGAAAGCAAAGGACCAGGTCCAGTGAAAGACGTTCCACCTCTTACTGTTCAAATGCTGGAGGAACCCGGTGTTGACAAACCTCCACCCAGGGACAAACATAACGGGGACTCAATTAAAGTGATCTATGAGCTGAAAGAGTTCAGCAATGACGACATCATAAGATACATTGACCGAAGCTTTGCTTTTTGGAAGGAGAAGGAAGCCGAGCTTTTTGATATCTAACAGATATGTGGACTAGGGGTTCACTACAGGTTCAGTTCACCTGTGAACCAGGGAGGAAATGCATGAAGCGCAGGATCAAACCAACCAACTAACTAGTAAACTAACCTGCATAGTATGCTTGGAAAGGAAACTAATTTGGTGTTTGTCACATGAGGGACTTAACTGCTGCAAAGAGGATCCACTCCGCTGGCCTGAATTCACCTTTTGCATTTGCTGAAGTCGATAAAAGAAAGTGAAAGTTGAAAGGTTCACGATTTCTTGAACCGAGACTATAATCTCATATGATTGACACACTACTCCTAGGAAAGAGTAGAAAAGAGTTGCCATACATGTTGGTCACGACATCTTTGGAATGAAATGCGTGACTGGTGTAATTCTGCACACGTTGGATACTTCAGAAACAAAATCAAACTCCAGAGAGCATCTTGATGAAGTAGATAAAATACTGACAGTGTGATAAAAACTAATTAAGTCTTGGTAGCCAGCAAGAGGAAAACCACTTCTTCACCATCTTTGTTGTTTGAAATAAAAGGGAAATAAACAAGGTGTACAGTGCGTTTGGAGGGGTTTATGGTTCATTTATGGTTCACAGATGGCCCTTAACTTAAAGCCTGAGGCCGGGCGCTTTTGTTAGATAGAGATTGTTTTCTCACATGTCAAACATGAGCATTGTATGGATGACATCGCTGGATGTCATTTTCCTGAAAGTCTCGACAAAAGAATATTAACAGGAATGGTAAATGCAAGGTTTAGTTAAGAAGATCTGAGCTTTTTTATTTACGGCTCAAAATCGCAAAAGCTGTACGTAGCTGTCAGCACTAGCTTGACAAAGCTATTATCAACTAGATCAAGCATCACATCCAGGATTGTAACCATCTGTCCCCTTGTTTTTGTTACTGTTCATGATTCGAGTGTTGCCGAGCGATCTGCTCAAGCTTTCCATAACTTAGATTTGTGATCCTTTTATTATTGGGTTTCTACACTCCTGATGGAAATAAAGTTTGTTGACATTTTTGTGATTACACGACTTCACTAGTTCTTTTCTAAAAGATTCTTCTTCAATTGTTGGGGTTCCTCAACTGAAAAACCTCGATGACTTATCTGGATACAGATCCATGCCAAATGAATACCGTTTCAGACAATCACACTGATATGTGAACCAATGAACGAGCCACCGTCTAACACCGATTGCTCCATCCCCACCGCCGAACTACCGCCTGCTCATAGCGTCTCTTCTGTTGCATCAAGATTACCTCCAAATAACCCTCTTAGCACCACCCGCTGTCATGCTACCTGTGGCTTACTGGAGCCATAACGAGGTTAAAGTGAATCTTCATCAACTCACAGCCCAAAAGGGAAGGCGGTCAGCTGGTGAACTTAACGGCCTATACATAGATTTGGATTCATGTACAGTATTTATCTCAGATCTGGTGAACGTGAATTGCACAGGAATGAACGTGTGCTGAATGCTTTTGATGCTACACTGAAGTTACAGTTTAATTCATGTGCGAAACTATAATTTGTTCCACTTTTAATCCACAACGCTGCACAAGCTCAAATATTTGAACTACATTACCGTTAAGTCCAGACAATGGAGAGCGTTGGCAAATAAAACGTAACAAAGGCTGTGAATTGATGTTGACTTCATTGTCTAGGCAACCGTGTAGAGCGTTCTATTCATTCTAAAAGTATAGTGTACAAAACGTGTATAACTATATAGGACTCGCATTGACAAATTCATGACCAATGTCAACCAACAAGCAAATAATGAGGAGCTAATAAGCTACTTTAGCATGCCAGCAATACAATTACACAAGTCCCCAGCACATATTACACAGATATTATAACAAAGCACCTACTTTGCTCATAAGTAAGTTCAACGTCCCTTTTACTAATAAACAGCTGGAGGATTTGCAGCGGAATTTAGAATTTTCTTTCTCAGAGTAACAATTTCATCTACTACTGAGCGGAATGTGTTGGCTGCACCGTCTCGCTCACATGAGTTTAGTTTTTTGGCGAGAAGGAAGACATGGACCCGTCACAAAGACCATTCACCTGTTTGAGTTCCATAAGAGTAGTTGCCTGCTAGCAAATCTTAACTGCTTAATCTTAAGCAGAGTTTGCATGTTCTCTCCACGTTGATCGAGTAGTGTCTCTACTCTAAAAGACATCCTCGGTTGTGTGGGCAGATGTTTCACTAATGATGTTGATGTGACCGAGTAGATGCAAGTTAGAAGTTAAAATAAGCGTAACACTGCTGCGCTTAAGTTCAGGGTCACTGATGAAGCACCTCTACTCACACGCGTTGCTTTGTATGGGTGTATTACCTCAACAATGCAATGCTGCGTTAGGTCATTTGTGTATGTAACTGTTGTTGGTTTTACCGCAAAGAAATTACATCATTGACAAAATCTTTGTAAAGTAACAATTATTCCAGCAGCATTTGATCAAAAAAATTGGCGTTTTTTTTATTACCACTTCACAATGTCACTTCCATCCTTTTTTTTTTTTTTTTTTTTCTTTGTAATTCCCGAGGGAATCATCAATAATTCACCGGCTCTCTATGGTTACCTGGGGATAATGTTAGCAATAAAGGGAAATGCTCAATGGAATTCAGGAGAGGTAATCTATCCTGTCAGGTGAAGATGAGAAATCCTGCCCTCCTTCTCTCCCCCCACTGCACCTCCGATTACAGCCTCAATGAGAGAAAAGGATCCAGTGACCGTTTGTGTGCACCACATGCGAAAATGTCCTGTCCATTTAAAAAGCATTATTGTATTCTACAGAAATGGGAGCAGAGCGCATAGTGTGCGTGTGTGTGTGTTTTTGTGTTGTATTTGCTGTAAGTACATACATAGGTTTAGAAACTATATTCTCTATGTATGCACTTCCATAAAGGTAATTTGTCAAAGGTTTGACATCTGAGAATATGTATACTGGAATAATAAGTTGGGCTAACGTTTCCTTAGTTTTTCTATGCAGGTGTTTCGCTGCTCTCTCCAGCATGTAGAGCGGCTTTATGCCAGACTGCAAGCATGAAGCGCATCAATACCACCTTTTGATTGAGGTTTTCAAAGCCATTGACTTTATGTCTTAGTGTTACAGCCACCTTTAAAACTGTAGGTATCTCAGATTTCAGTAAGCAGGTTTATTGATTGAATAACTTTGCAGAATAAGACCGCGGAAAAGCCAATTTACTGCAACGCAGATTGATGTAAGTATTTAAAAAAACAAAAAGAATAGTGTTTAATGACTTTGTTGTACACATGTGACTTGCGTGAACTCCTAAAAGAGAGTTTATTGCATGTAACACCAATGAAATTGTGTTTTAGGTTATTTGTATTGTTGTAGTAGTTTCATCTGTTATAGATAAAATTCTTTACTGACCGGCTCCCTGCCTCTGTCGCTCCACAGGTTGAGGAGGAGGCTGCACGCCTGGCGTCCATGCCGGCCTGGAGGAGAGACATGATGAAGAAGAAAATGGATGAGGAGAGGTGAGTAACGAAGCTGCATCTTGTACCTTATTCATGATATCCTGGGGGGAGATTTAGCTCATTTATTCATATATACAGTATATAGATATTTACACACACACACAGTATGTTCATGTGGTTGGGCGTCTCTCAACAAAGGTAACCTTGGAAGTAAGGATAGGAATACGCAGGAATACTCACTTACTTCGTACTAAAATGAGCACATATTGTAACAACGGTTTTTCGAATTTTCATACATAATCTGTTCTATCAATGTTGTCTCATCCAACGGTTAAAGCTCTGGAGGCTTCAACCTAATATGCCTGAGACAGTCACCATTACACCACCATAATGTCCCAGATAGAATGGATCCATTAGTGCAACAGTTTGGATGCTTTTGATCAGTGAAAATATATTATCAGTGATAATATGCAAACAAATCCTGCTAATTCACTGCAGAACTCAGTCTTATTTGTAAATAGATGTCTCATTAATTACATAACAGTGTATATAAGTGTTCTATTATTATAATGTTGATTGGATCCCTGTTGCCATTTAAGATATTTACACCTTTGCTTCTTGTGCTTGTGTCCTCCTGATGTGACAGGGAACAAAAAAGGTAAGAAAACATTATTTATTCCACACAGTAATATCAATAACACAAGTCTCTAGAATCGTGTAACTTTTCACGAGACACTTAGTTTGAAATCAAGTGGATACAAATGTTGACATGAAGGTGGTGATGAAGCTTGAGGTGTCGAACATTACAGTTAAACCCAGTGTTATAAGGGATGAATATAAACTAACCTAATATTAGAACCTAGTGGCCATATGTTCACTAATTAACCCTTTTCCATGTATAGTAGGACTCAAACTGGGAACCAGCTAAGCCTATGATTAAAAACGCGAGCCAAACATGTTGTGACTTAAACGTTAACTTCCCGTTTTGACACGTTTGGTCTGCTCTTCTCACTGACAAATGAACCCTGAGGAGTGAGGCAAACATGTTATCATACATTGAAGTCTTATTCTCCTAATCATACCGACCTGGGCTGAGCAGCCAATCCCATTTTATTAACAGAGTTACGAAACGTTAGCCTTCTTTGTCTTTTTGATTTTCTTTACCCTGCTGACCGCGGTGTGCAAACACACATTAGTCACAGCAGACGTTGGCACATGTGAACAAGGTAAAGCACAGGCGTGTGTTAATAAATAAGATGCATTGCATCCAGGCTCCTGATGCATGCTGGCTAACTGGTCAACTAAATCCTTATTTTATAATATATATTTTAGATAATTTAATTTCACGATCGTACTGTGTAAGGAATACACCGTGTTGCCAAGAGTCTCACCACGTACAGCATATTTTTATGGTGAGGCTTTTTCTCTCTGGTTCCATGAGACATCTCAATGCGTAAATGTATGACCAGGATAGCGCACCCCCCCCCCCCCCCCCCACCAAGGACACGCGTCCGATTCTGTCTCCCAACATCAGTGCCTGACCTTAGAGAGTGGTGTCCAAACACTTCAGGCCACGCGGTGTAATGATCAAGGATATGATGCATCAATAATAAACAAATTAGAGAATCAAACTGGAGGTGCTAATTGTATCCAACTATGTCGTAATGCATAAATTTGTTTTATCGTCCGGTCATATTTTTGGAACAAATTTGCGGTTTGAACAAAACCTTTTGAGGACTTGAATTACGATTCTAACTTTTCTTTCTTTCTGGCCCTTTGTCCACCTCTCATCATGGATGCATGTTAGAAAATCCGAGCAGCAGGCCAAACAGGTGAAAGAGATGGAGGAGAAGACGGAGCTGGAGCGACTACGGAACCTGGGTTACGACGAGACCAAGCTGGCCCCCTGGCAGCGACAGATCATTCTGAAGAAAGGGGATTTAGCCAAATAGTGAAGTGGGCCGTCTCCTCCTCCGACCCCCGTCCTCACACACCGACCCCAAGGCCTTCGCTGAACACCTCCCCGTCCCCGATCCTCCGCCCTGCACTGTACACTGGACAGCGGGAAAGAGCTTGTCCTCCTCGGCGCCCCGTCTTCAACCTCCAGAGACACAGGACCACGCCTGCCGCCGTCCGCGGCGACTCCGAGGCTCAGCGCGACTCGCCGACCTCCCCTGAAAGTCTCATTGACACAAACTCTCGGTCTTTTAGTGCTAACAATAGCTATGAAATGCGCTGATTCTCTTTGCTTTAGACACTTGCTATAGCTGCATGGGTCCTTAAATGAATTAAACTTCTCTGTAGTTTCTATACCCTGAATTAATCGCAGTCGTTTCCTATAGAAGAGTTACTGAAACAAAGAGGTTTGTGATAGATTGAAAGGGGCTTCCTGTGAGCATGTCGCCATGGGTCAATGCATGCACCTCCCCGTTAGCCAGACTCACCACTATGTAATAAATGGAAAAGTAGCTCTACTACAGTTGTCATCTGACGGTGGCTCAGCGAATGCTTGTTAAAGCCTGAAGCAGCTAATGCATTCTGTATGTAGGATGCATCATATCGACATCATCTTACATCCTGAGTCGTGGGATTTTTCTATCAAGCTCATTGAAGCACTTTCTAGATGACTTCAGTTTACTGCCAGAGTTGTAACCCTAAAACTGCTCAAACTAACTCTGTGTCTTTAGATAAGTGTGTTGTCATTTGGAATATTGGTGTATAGGATATTTTGAATCACATAAAAGATGATGTAGCTAATTGAATTGAATTTGAGAAAATATGACTGGAAAAATAAACCAACCTCAATTTTTCTATATGTGAGTTAAATATTAAGCTATTGTGGTCATAAATTTGAGTTATTTCATGCACGCATAGTGTGTGTATGTATGTGTGTGTGTGTTGTATGTTGTCATCTGTTAAGCACATTCGAACCCTGGAAACAACAACACGTGAAGAGCAGCATCAATAGGCCTCATGTGCACACGGTGCAACGGTAGAGAAAAGCCACCAGTTCGTCCCGCGTCCTGTCCCGCGTCCTGTCCCACTAACCTGGAGGATAAATCTTTGATGAGCGGATCTGTTTACAGAATAGGGATTACACTGCCGGACACGGCCGTAACATTAAATGTTGATTTGATGATGTCCGCTGTGTACTCATAGTCTGTGAAGAGTGTGAGGAGTCCACAAACATCTCATTATAACTAGATGAAGCAGATATAGAAAATGTTCAGTTTCATTGACATGTGGGAAGATACTTCATGTGATTGAACTGACCGTTAAAAGGTTAATGATAAAGCTAATTTTGTTCATAATTGCTAAACTGCTCCTTCCACTTCCAATATTCCTTGGATTCACACATTTGCTGGGGTTACGTTTGTGAATTTGGGGTTAAATACGGAAATGGTGGAATTTATTGAATACTATTTGAAACGTTTAGGAATAACTAAACTCACAATCATGTTGAATGTCTCTGCTAATCGTGACACACAAATGTTCCCACAAAATGTAAAATACTGTCTGTTACATTTATGTTGGATGTAGATTTTTGCATGGTATCAAGCTGCACATCATGTCTTCAAAGACACGGTCCTGGTTGGGGAATCGTTTGGAGAGGTTTAAATTCACTTTCATCGGATGCCATATGATGTTGAAATTAAAAATGATGTAAACATCATTGCCATTTGATTTTCTATATATTTAAACTCTGTATATAGTGACCTTCTAAGATGTTAGTTGTTTCATTATTTCCATAATGCAATATCTCAGCCTTGCTTGAATAGAATATTGGCTAATCATGTATAATTATATTTTCAGACTGAAAATGACAAGAATAAATCTTTAATCACCAAACAACTTGTGTTTGTGTCGCCTCATGAATACAGAAACAATACAACGCAAATAAATGCTAACTGATGCTTTTAATGTTCAGTTTGTGTTGAGTTTAATTCCCCTACAGCAGAATTTGATTTAAATGAATACCACCAAAATATCATTATTGGCAAACTAATTGAAATGCTAAAGTGAAAAAGTGAATAAATAAAATAACAAAAAAACATGCTCCAGAGCTAAGTAGTACTAAGTATGAATATGTTGTTTCAGATGCTTTTGAACCAATTGACTGTTTGCTCCTTTGAAACAACGATAGGAAAACTCTTTCCACGCTTTCTGAAATGCGAGGATGCTAAAATGATTTGAATGCGCAACGTACTGAACACACGCAGTGTGAATTAATCAGTGACGAGGCTGTAGTTCCTCGTGTCCGCCGCCAGAGGGAGACAAAGACCGAATTGTTACTGATGAAGCAGACAGGATATCAACAAACATCAAAAAGTAAGAAAGAAATTTAAATTGATAGCAGATTTTAAAGAAGAAAAAAAAGAAAATATGTTATCTTAGTGTTTTTTCAAAACCATTATAATCCTGTGGCCAGTTCAAACCTGTTACCGGTACCATTTTTAAAGCCGTTTTTGTTGTTCATCGAAGTTCTGCGTCCCTTGAGACACCGTCAACTGCCAATAATAACGCAGATTTTTACTCGCTTTTTACCTGCCAGCTTTTCGAGGACAGATTGACGCTCACCTGTGGTGACGTAGGCAGCGCGGCTTAATGAGGCCTTGGGACCGAGGAGGAAGTGAGCGGCCGATAAGAAATATGTGACCGAGCGGAGGAGGAGGAGGACGCGTCTGCACCGACCAGCAGCTCCCCGAAAACAAGCCGCTATACTCACTTCTCGTTTGGGACGCAGCCTGGTGTTCGTACGGTCACCTCACACAGGTAAGGCAGCTGTTGGACTCTATATATTCATTGAACTGCGGTCCCACCGCATTGTTATGAACCTTGTGAATGTGAGGCCGACATTTTCTGTTCCCACCCTAATCCTTCTGTCAGGCGCCGGAGTTTATTGCAAAGTTCGGATTGCGGCTGAACAGACCCAACCGAGAAGGAACTTTGAACCGTCGGTGCCAAAGCAGCAATGTACTTTAAAACCGCGGTTATTGTTATTTAAGACTGTTTACTCTTTGTTGACGTGTTTATGAGACTTAAACCTGCAACATGCCGATGAAGTTCCGCGGTGCACGCGGCACGTTAAGAGCAGGCTGTTTATCAGAGAAAATTCTGATTTTTCTCCATATAGTTTATTTGGCGCACAGATTTGCCTGCCTGCTTTTCGTGTGGGCAAGTGCAGCGTGGGAGTGAGCGCTGAGTCACGGGGTCGAGTCCCGCGATATGAGAGTTTGTGTGTGTGTGTGTGTGTGTGTGTGTGTGTGTGTGTGTGTTGGATCAATGATTACACTTGGGAGCCCCACTGTGGGTCACTGCTGATATGTGAGCGTGTTACCCCACGTCTCCATCTACGATGCTAGTGTCTTCATGTTCCCTGCCAGATAGACTGACTGTCCTCCCCCCTCCCCAGGAGACCCGTTCCATGTTGTAGGTGGCGGAGAGCTCCGTAGACCCGGGCTGAGGCGACGCCGCTGGGAGGACACCATGTCCCGCGGCCAGTTGGACAGCTGCGCGGGCGATCAGGCCCCTCTAAATTCTGGAGAACCACTTCTCCACAGAACTCCATATATCTGAGCCCGGTGATGACGGCTTTCAGCCACGAAGCCCGCCCGCCGCCCAATCTGAAACCGCTAAACCCCCCGAAGATGTAGACCGGCTGGTTGTGCCTCAGCAGGTGGTTTTGAGCACCATGAGTCCTGCGGCGAGGAAGGTTGGCACGCGCCAGCTCATTCCCAAGAATTTATCCAGCCGGCCCAAACAGCGCCACCACACCACCGTGGTGACGTTCCCAGTGGGGCTGGAGAACTCCAGCAGTGGGACCCGGAGCCGTCACTCAACCCAGGGGCCAGATGTGTCCTGGGAGGACTACGACAGTGATGGAGACGGCTTCGCTCTGAGGAGGAACCGCAGGAACAAGTCCTACAGAGCGGCCGTGACCAGCCTGGACATTGACGCCATGGCGTCGGGACGAGGGCCCGCAGCCACGCTGAAACCCGTCCGCGAGGACCGAGCAGTCAGTCCCGGTCCATCTCGCACCCCTGGACGCAAGGTACGGGGCGGGGCGGGGGGGGGTTATTTATCAGCATAGCCAACAGCATCGGCGAGGACTTTGGTCAAATTCTCCTTGAGTCATACTAATGACGTCATGTCACACACAACTGTTTCCAATCTTCTACACCCACGAGTGTTGTTACCAGAGTACACGGAGGAAATGCGAGTCAGGACGGAAGAGAGAGAGGGAGAAAAATAACGAGCATTATTGAGGCCTGTGTATTGAAACTCCGGCTGTGCTGCCGTCTCCCCCACAGCGAACCCTGGGGAGAAAGAGGAACCAGCATCATCGCGGGTCCTTCAAAGATGGTACGTTCCCCATGTGTCACTCTGTCCACGTCGCCGAGTTTGGCTTTAGAACTACTTATAGCTGGGAAATGACGGGGACGTTTGTCTTTTTTTTCCCCCATTGCAAATTGTAGTAATAACATATGGATGCAATACAACTGGGACGTGGCTCAGAGAAGGGGGGGATCAGTCAGGATGAACGCCAGATTCTTCAGTCTTGACTTCATGTCCTGTCCCTTCAGACAGAGCCACTACCTCAGATATTATTTTGAGTAACATTCTGGGAATATTGTCATATTATTATGTTATCATATCATGTTATTACAATAAGATATATGAAATTAACTTATTTTAATGGATTTCATTCCCTCAGTCTTACGGATGAATATCTGAAAATTCTTCCTGCATAACCCAATTGTCCGATAACTATTTCAGTTTTCACACTTTGTTCTTAAAATTGTCTTTTCCAAATTGATAAGCGTTTTCTGTTGCAAAATCATCGCACGCTGAGACACTGCCTTGAAACTTAAGCGGCGTCCGTTGGTGTAAATCCTCAGCGACCCCGTGCCTCTACCAGGAGATCCGTGAGCGAGGGCTGCACTCCACCAACCGCGACGAGCTGCTGGACGACTTCGTGGTGGTGGAGGAAGCCCCCGCGGTGGAGGACCAAGGCATCGTGGTGAAGAGCTACCGGCCGGCGCAGCTCACATGGAGCCAGCTGCCACAGGTGAACCTCTAACTGCTCCGGCCTACAAAGCTGCTACTGGGGGGAGCAAAGCGGGGCAGCCTCGGACGTGTGTTTGGATCAATAATAGATACGTGGACAAAAACATAAACATTATGTTTCTATCAAAGAACCAATCAGACAGCCAAAGTGTTTTCCCATTCTTGCTCCTTTTTTCAATTGATTTAAAACGGTGTAATATAAAAAGCTTCCTGCATGTTTGTGCTGCTGCATAACTTGCCATGATGATGGCCAAGTTTAACTAACAAGCTCTTCGATGTACAGAACAATGTGGGGTTAACTATCTTTTTCTTTGTATCTCCTCTAAAGGTGAAGGACACTGGTATCCTGACACAGATCTCCGCTCAGGAGAGGAAGAGACAGGAGGTAGGTTGTCCTGTGTCGGCGTATGTTTGTGTGCTGGTGTGTACTGAGGAGACGGGCCGTGATGTCCTAGGAGGGATTTAATTTCCTGCAGGAAGCTGGACAGCTCGGATGCAGCTCAATGGCAGAACGTGCTTCAGTTCTCAACAAAGCACATTGTTCTTTCTATACGCAGCATTTTGAATTCACACAGCGATAGTAAATATATTTTGTATAAGAGTTTCATGTACCAACCGTTCAGTAGACTTTAAAAACTACAATGTGATGCAACCAGTATTAGTAGATGTGCATGTTCAGATTTTGTTTACAATGGGTCAAAAGACACAGGATCATACATTTCCTATAATTTAACCCCAAAGTTTCCTTCCGCCATCAGTCCGCCCCCGGCCTCCGCAGATAAAACAAGTTGAGCTTTAAGAGCATCTCACAACAATAGAACTCCATGACACCATTGAGCACAGGCCGATTCTGCTTTTTCATATTGTGTCCTCACTGGCAGACGTGTCAATACCAAAGGTCCACCGCGTGTGGCCTATAGTGCTTTAAAGCCACACCCTGCCGTGTGATGTGTTGACTGCGTGCACGTTCTCGCTCTTCTCTACCTGACCCCCCCCCCCATGGCAACTAATGCCACTTGTTTTAGGTACATTTTCCTGAAGCTTGGAGCTAACTGACGTGAGCTAAACACACCGCTCTTCTAGCGCGTATACTGTAATATTAGGACAAAAATAAATAAAAACTGTGCCTTTTTAGGAGGTGTGTAGGATCACCTAAAATCCCCATCCGAGGTTAAGTAAGCCCTCAAGTAATCTTAAAACGACAGTCAAAGTAATTCCACACTGCTATGAATTGATGAAATGTTGCCATCTGCTGTTATTTTACCTCTGGATAATTGGCAAACTATTCTTCTGCAATACATTGTGAAGTAGAAGCACAGTCTAAAACAACAGTAAATGTCCAATGCTGGTGTCACTCTTTAGCTAATACACCCTTCACAGTATTCAATATTTGCATGAAGAAGTCTGGAAAGTTGTTCTCCTGAGTTTGTACCCTATGGTTGAATGCACTTATTGTACGTCGCTTTGGATAAAAGCGTCAGCTAAATGACATGTAATGTAATGTAATGTAATGGAAAGCTGAACGGTAGTTTTCCCCACCGCGTCGCAATGGACCAGAATGCATTGCAGCCACATATGTTTTCCTGTGTGTTTGCACTTTCCTGAGCTGGAAGAAAGTCACTACTGCTGTGCTCTGTTTATCTATCAGTTAACCTGCACACGTTTCAATGCAGAAAATAAGGGTCGTTTCTCTGGATGTTGGGGTTTAAAAAAAAAAAAAAAGGGAAAGTGAGTTCCCAAAACAAATGAAAAGACCCGACAATCAGAGATGCAACGTTTCCTCTTTAAAGTGTAAACTGAACAGCAAGTAAAGTACATGTTGCAAATCAGAGTTCTTTGCATTCACACACACTTTGTATGTGTGTGGTCATTCGACAGGCCATTTTTGAGATCATCACATCAGAGCATTCGTACCTGCACAGCCTGGGCATCCTGGTGCGTTGCTTCAAGAGCAGCGACGCTCTGAAGAAAACTATGACCGCCACAGACTACCATCACCTCTTCTCCAACATCTCTGTCATTGAGCAGATCAGCAAACGGTGGGTGAAGCACCGTCTTTGTCTTTCTCTCAAAAGAGTTCACATACAAAAGAGATTTCTCTCCGTCTGTCTTTGCCAGATCGACAGAATCTGGTCTTTGCAGGTTTTAAACAGAGCTGCAAATTTAGTGTTTTTTGTCGCACGTTGTATTCTCATCGAGATGTGGTGTGAAACAGAAGATTGGTTGTTTTCGACGTTTCAGGTAGCGTATTTGCCCTCATCATGTCCTGTGGGCTCCATCCACATGTTAAAACACGCGAGCCAAACTGGTTCTACCGCTCTGTGTTCTTCCCTAGCTTTCAGGTGATCAATGTGCTTGGGAACAGCGTGTGAGTGTGTTGCTTTGTGCACTGCCAGCTGCATTTGAATGGAAATAGACTTTTAGCAGCAAGAAAGAAAACATTCAACACTTTGTTGTTGATCCTGTTCTGTGTTTCCAACAAAAACGGGTTGCATGAAGCCAGAAGGGTTTCTGAGTATCTGCGTGTGAGCGTTTTGTACTGCAGTTGCTTCCTGGGTTGGGCGGGTTTACCGGTGTCATTTTACTGCTTTTTGATGAAAAGGCACTTTGCAAGAGCAGAGCAAAGTCACAGTGCCAATAATGGAAGAAGGCAGAAGGATTCACCTGGATCTTTATAGGAGGATGTTTTAAAAACGACAAACCAATAACTTCTCCCAGAGACACAATTGTTACAGAATGACAGTTTGTTACAACACACGTTACTTTGCTTAACGGAGTATATAATTGTCTCTGAATGTTTATCATTGAAATCACAACGCTAAGGAATTCCTCTGTACGTGTCATTATCACATGCAAACAACCTGAGATTTAAAACCTAGACGTTACCCTACGGCCACACGGCTGTGTGCCCTGCTCAGGTAATCCGCCTGCGGGAGGAGCAACGCAGTCCTTTCTCTTCTTCGCTAAGCGCCCCCATCTCTTCTATTTCAGTTTCTTTGAGGATCTGGAACGGCGTCACTATGAAAACCCAGTGATCCGGGACATTAGCGACATTGTCCAGAACCACGCCGCCCACCACTTTGAGCCCTACATTGTCTACTGCTCAAACGAGACCTTCCAGCAGAGGACGTTGCAGAAGCTGCTGTGAGTGGCAGAACAAAATGTAGTTTTCTGCAGCAACACGGTAGGACGAGCTGAACGGTCTCCTCATTTCCGTCTACCAGGACCACAAACATTGCGTTCAAAGAGACCCTGAAGCAGATTGAAGGGAGCAGCGACTGTGGAGGCCTGCCCATGATCTCCTTCCTGATCCTTCCCATGCAGAGGGTCACCAGACTCCCACTTCTGCTCGATGTCAGTTTAAACTTTTTCCAAGTACATTCATTTAGTCAGCCTTCGACAAACAACTAAAGCCTTCTTGGGTCTAGAAGTAAACAACTACTACGAACTAAGTTTAATACCTGTTTTTTGTTTGTTCTCTCCTCGCAGACCATTTGCCAGAAAACTCCAAATGCGGCGGCGGAGTACTTTGCTGCTGTCTGGGCGCTGCACGCCATCAGCAAGGTAGCGCGATGCTGAGAAGACGCTCTTCATACCTCCATCTCTCAATCGAAAGTGGACTAAGAAGTCCGTTTCCAAGGTGCGGTTATCATTTTGTCATTGTTGTGATTGCTAATTCAACAGTTGGTCACCAGCTGCAATGATGGGGCTCAGCGCATGGAGAGGACGGAGCAGATGTTCACCATCCAGAAACAGATGGATTTTGGTAAAATCAAGGTAAGCTCTGCTTCTGCTCAAAAGCCTTTCTAGGAGAGTGAATACGGGGTCCACAAGGTTTTGCTTGGAACATAATGGAACCTGGCTAAAGCTTTGGACTGATACTCATCATGTGACCTGAACTGATGCCGTTGGGTCTTGTGTCCCCGCAGCCATTTCCTCTGGTGTCGTCATCGCGGTGGTTGAAGAAGCGCGGCGAGCTGGCCTTCAACACCGAAGAGCTCAGCATCTGGAGGGCTTTCAGCAACAAGAGCTACTACCTGTTCCTCTTCAATGACGTGCTGATCGTCACCAAGAAGAAGAGGTCGGAGGTTTTGAATATTATGGACTTTACTTCTAAACCAATATTTGGTGCGGGGGGTATTCACAAAACCTTAAACAACTAATTAAAAATGAGTAATTCGTGCAAGTATGTCTGCATAATCCCAAAGGATGGGGAGGAGTAGTGAGAAACCGAGAGAGGAGGAAATCGGTATTTGTTTGAGTACATTTGTACTTCCAACAACCAAATCCCTTCTCACTCTGGATAAAATAACCTAGTTGTGCATCTGCTGAAATGACAAGAGGAACAGGAAGGCTGAGGGAACGAGCATGGATGTGGTGCATGCATACTTTAGATTTTTCAATCTTGCGTTCAGCTGGACAGACTACAGCTCTGTTTTCAGTTAGGGAGAAACCAAACAATGTCACCACGGAGGAAGGAGCTGCCCACAACAGTGGAGTCATTTTCAGGTTCGTTAAGGTGACACAGGGACCCGGTCATCGGGCGACTGTATCTAGGAAATGTTATTAGCCGAGAGTCACGGAATGTAGGTTGAAACTATGTGTTGTTTGCGTGCACAAAAATAGCGGCTAGGTTTCGCCACATCGGTGTGCAAAAAGATCATTTAGGGGAAAGAAAAACCAAATATTTCTGTGATCGTCCCTGCACAACTTGATCAAAGTGGTTCTCTAAAATCGGAGTTGAACCGGTTTGTGTACGCAGTGAGGAGAGCTTTGTGGTGATGGACTACGCCACTCTGCAGAATGTGGAGGTGGAGGTTGGTGAGGATGTAGAAGAACGAACGTCTTCGCCTGTCAAGAACAGCCCCTTTCTTTCCTTCAAGCTGCGCATGAGCAAGAACAGTGAGGGGCGAGCGGAGCAGATCTGTCTGGTGGCCGAGTCCAGGTAACCACGAACTACACATAAGCATAGTTGTTATTCCTCAACTGGGATATTGAGAACACATCGTTTAAGTATTGTGTGTAACGGTATTATTATAATCTGAAGGAAGGGATCTTTGTCATTTAACTGATCTTTCTCGTTGAATCACATTCACGTGTTCGACTTGAAGGTGTTTTCTCTAGTATGTCCATGTCCTGGAGGGGCTTTAGGGTCAAATCACCCGAAGAGCATGCAGTGCTTTTATTGGGAATAAGCAACAGCTGTAGTAGTAGTATCACATATGAATTACAAAACCACTGCTAAAAAAGGAAAACCTAATGTTTTGTATCTGGCGCCCTCTACTGACAGTTTCTATTCATAAACTCACTTCTTGAGTTCACACACATTTAAAATGCAATACTAACTCTGGAGTCACATTTAAGTGTTTGTCTTTGTCTCTGTTGCCAAGGGTGGACCGGGCACGCTGGATAGTTGCTCTTACCGAACACAAGCAGGAGGGAGTCTCTACTTGTAAAGGCGGTAAGTCAGCATGCTTTATTTACCAAGGGAGTCGTGCTTTAAAATAGTTTTGATCTTGATCAGTTTTCAGTGAAGGCCCGAGTGAGGAATGCTCATTTCATTTTTAAAGTATCTATGGAAGGAAATTTGTGCTGTACAGAAAACGGAACTGGTGCTCTTTCATTTCTAATGAGTTGTGTTAATAATGGCATCACATTTCAATACTCTTTTCCTTACACCCATTTTTAAACATTTTCTTGATCTGTGTGAAGCCTGACTTTGGATTTATAATAATCTAAATGCATAAATGGAATATATTCACAAGCTGCACTCAGTGTGTTCGTATGAGGGAAGTTGTTTTAAGTACTATTGATATTTGCCTTTGTTGTCAAAGGGCATTTCCCGGTAAAGTGACATATTCCAGGAAGTAATTTATGCGGCACACGTGTTTTTTACTGAACAGGTTTCTGGAACTTGAAATACAGGACACCATTCATTTCAAAGCTTTGCTTTCATGAATCACATTGCATTGTGGGGATGATTTTCAGGTCTTCCACAATATGAAGCCACCAAAGCCTACATGCCAAAGGAGCCGGATGAGTTGGGTCTGCAACAGGCGGAGCTTGTCATTGTGATGCAGAAAGAGGAAGGTATGTACTCAGTTAGCGCCATTATAATGCTTCATGCGTAGGCAGTGAGCCCCCCCCTGCCTATAATTCACTGAAAAGAAAGGGGGCTTAAAGGCTAACAGTCTGCTCTTCGTAGCCTGGTGCTACGGGGAAAGAATGCGAGACGGAGAGACGGGCTGGTTTCCTGCTGCCTGTGCCACAGAGATCACCAACGCCACGGCCATCGAGAACAACGTGCAACGCATGAAGCGCCTGCGCAAAGAGACCAATGTCTGAGCGACTCTCAGCATGTACAAGATAACACAGTGAGGTGGCCTGGGTTGGATGAAGACCATGGTTTGTTACTAAGGTTATATGGTCTTAGCAACCAATTAAATCTTACCATCAGGTTATACCTCATTGCAGAGCTATGTGAATTTTTTTCCCCGCCTTGTGTAGCCAATGGAGCGCAATAGCAAAACACAGTGGCCTGTTGCTGCATAAATATACCAAATCTTACTTGAAGATGTCCTTGCTTTATTAAATTAGCTTAAGACGCAGAACAATGTAGTGCAAAGTGTCAATTCAAGAATCAGGTTTCTATTCATCCTGGTTTTAATTTTTTTTTTATACAAATGCTGTATTGTATATGCAAAAATGAAATAAAATCTAGTATAAATAAAACACTCAAGACTTCCTGGTTTCTGGACTTTTATTTGAGCTTGCATTTTGTTAAAATGTTTGATTACATAAAAAGTTATTTAAAAATGTCAAACTGACCATTTATCAAATTCCATTTCTTTAAAAACCATTTGGTGTAAAAACTTAGGACAGATTTAGAAAAACATTTGCTGTTTCCCCAAAAACGTTTAGCTGTCACATAAAAATAATGGGAAAAAAAACAAGTCTGCATAGATTCTGCAGGCAATTGGTGGTAATCTGGTCAAATGCATGGTGCAAGCTTGTGACGATCGTCAAGTCAAATCTTTATTGCTCAGATCTTGTTTGATGTTTCATCTTGTTGACAAAAAAACTGTAAAAGAAAATTAGAAAATTAGTCAATTGTTCATCTGTGTGCTGCATTTTCAATCCTTTGGAGAGTTGTCTCGACACCTGAATCCAAAGCTGCTGTGGCCATTATAAAGAATGAATATTTAGGGGCTCTACGGCACTGAACAGTTCGCTTTATTATTTAGTCACTGCATTAGATTAGCTGTTCAATATTAATGTGCCATGTTTCTAGGATATAAACCATCTACTCAGCACTGTCTAAATCCACATATTTGCGAAGCTTATGGAAATGATTGGCCACGGTGGTGTTGCACTTACCCGGACGATGGTAAAAGATGGTAGGTGCCGGTGGGCAGGTTATTTTCCTACTCAGCCCCACCCTGCTGGGCCTCGGGAGCGGACGTTTTCTCTGCAGGTGGGTCACCTCCTGTCTTGGCCTCCTTGGTCTCCTGGCCGGGTTTGCCATCAGACTGTGGACGTCTGCGACGGTAGTTGAAGTTACGGCGGTAGCGCCGCTGGCGGGGCTGTTGGTTCTGGCCGTCTTCAGCGACCTGATTCTCCTTGTCCTCCTCGCCATCGCGCACTGGTCTGGGACGGGGTGGACCCCTGGAGTGAAGTAAAATATACATGTCACGTACAGTGAGGCTAAGGCACAACAAAATTGCTCGAAAAGAAATGTACACTAGCAAAATTTGAGGGTGGACCGCAATAAAAGAACAGCTTCTCCGGCCAAACGGGTGGCATTTAATAAATCGAGTCTGCGATTTAGTTTTTGCTTGGGAGCCCAATGCTGTACTCTTCAATTGTTGCAGCCCCACGTCAATGAAGCCAACACGCAAACCTTGGTCGGAAGCCTCTGTAGTAGCTCTGCCTCGCTGGTTTGTTGCCCTGGTCCGGACCTCCTTGGCCCTCGTCGCCCTCTCCTCCCTGAAAGCAAATAAATTGAACAACTTACATGCAGCTTTTTCCAAAGCCAGCACATAAGCAAACGAACCGTGTAATGAAACTGGCTGTTGAGGCTGACAGAAGAACATCAGGTAGCTCCAACAAAGCTGAGATTAAATATTGTCCAGATCTGATATACCAAAACTTTTCTATTCACAACAATGTGACTATTGAAATGAGATTGAGTTGTGGATCCATTCAACATATCAAATTGTCCCCACTGGGTGCTGGGTGCCTGCTCCATAATGGAAGTCCTGTGATGGCATACCTCAGTCATATCCCCACGTGGTGCATGGGGAGGAGGGAAGGGAAGGGGGTGTACTGTAGCGTCTACGTACAAAGTATGGTGGGTAGCGCCGTCTGCCAGGGTAAGCGGGTCTGCGCTGCTGCTGCTGTGGTTGCTGCTGCACATCTCCTTCAGGGGCGCTCTCACCCCCATCTCGGCTGCCTTTGTCACGACCTCCGCTGCTTGGCTCACCCTCTCCGTCACTCTGGTAGTTGTCTGGATATTCTCCGGCACGAGGAGGGCCCCTTCTTCGGGGATAGCGCCTATAGCGGTTCCTGTCGGCAGCGTATTTACTTCCCTGGACTGCGATGCCTCCTGGCCCAGTTACATTTGCCGCCTCTGCTCCCTTTAAAAAACAAAAAAGGGGGAAAAAAAAAACATGTTTATTACCAAATGAATTATCTAGAACTAAATTCAGAACTTTGGACCTAGTAAAAATACAGATTGTGTTACCAACCAAAGTACAGCTTACCTTCTCTCCCTCAACTACATCAAACTCCACAGTTTCCCCATCTCCAACACTGCGAAGGTATTTCCTCGGGTTGTTCTTCTTGATGGCTGTCTAAAACCAATCACAGTTCAGCTGTGAGATTTTATATTCATGATCAATACAAAACAATGAGGAATATTAAATCTAGATACAACTTACCTGGTGTACAAAAACGTCCTCCTTTGTATCATTCCTTAAATATAAAATATAAATAAAAATATTGGGGGTTGGTATCATTTGAGTTAGCCAGATCTCTTTGAGACACAGAATGCCACAATATATCTGCAGACAGATTTGAACTAAACCAGGAAGTGTACGGATAAGTAGTGAGCAACAGCAGCAGACAAATTGTCAGGTCAGCTTTGTAAGCAAATCAAAGCCTTAATAGGATTGGGAATGTTCCTTCACACAGATGATAACGGGGTCTTTTGGAGGCCTACACAGAGTTGGGTCCACTTACCGATTGATAAACCCATATCCATTCCTGACGTTGAACCACTTGACTGTACCCAGGACCTTTGTTGCTGCAAAAAGACACAACAAGAAATTTAGTTTAAGCTTCCCCATTTCATTTAAAAGTAGTTTAAATAACATGTGTACAAATAAACCTTCCAAAACAGCTTGTCCATGACCCAGAACATCAATATCAACAAGAAACAGTAAAACAATCAAACTACGAGAAAGATGATGAAAAACTAAGCCGGCCAGATAATGTCGAAGCTATATTTAACCCCCGACTGTCACCCTTTTTATAGCCCCTGGTGCTTAGGGGTACCCGGTGCCAGCTGCACTTAGTGTGCGGTATGAAGCGGGAGCTTTAGGGCCCAGTAATGACTGCGCTATTTCTAATGTGGAACGCAAGATTAGTAGCCATCCAAAATACCCGTGCATTTGTTTTATAGAGCTGCGTTAGGGCGTAACGTTATACTAGAGGTGAATGCAGCAACAAACTCAAGGCACTTTAACCACTGACGTTTCCAATTCTCGTCACTACGGACCCACTGCCCCATTTTAAACCGCACGACTCACGAGCGTTCACACGTGGTAGAGTCGCTCCCGGACACGTTAGCATGCAGCGAGCCCAGCTGGCTTGTTAGCACGGTAGCTAACGGAGGCTCAACCATGTGGTTGGATTAAAGCCAACCCGCAAAAACAACAGTCTCCCATCCGATGAAACGTATCGGGAACTCATATTACGTAGGAAAACAAATAAACACGTCTGCGTCCCTGTGGTGTCCACATACGCGATATTTCAGTCCCGAAAGAACTCCGCGAAATCACACGGCGGACATTTTGAGTTGCCCCTCCAGCCATGTAAATAGCTAGTGCAGCTTCGTTAGCCAACAAGCTATCGCCGCTGTGGAGTAAGCTAACGCTAGGCCCTCGAACATGGGCACAATTCGACAACCGTTGACAGTTGCATTCAATTACGTAAGTAACACGGGCACCCAAATATTTTCCCACGAACATGTGAGGCCCACGTCAGAGGATACGTGTCGACTGGTTTTTGAGACACATTTACTTCTAACGCGGAACCAGACGCTTTCTTGCGAACAAAGGGACGTTATGCCGCTTACACTGGCTTGCTCCTTACGACAGAAATCATGGCCGGTTAGGTGAACCGCGCGGAATGAGTTGGTGTTCCACCATGATATTCGACTAGCCGTTACAAAGCGGGCAGCCAACGTTCCAACGGCTTTTATTTCGAATGTGCGGCGAGCGGCGTAGCCGTTGGTCTCGATACACCGGTCCTCCGCACAACCTCAGCGCTCGTGCCCGTGACGGCCAATCGGTAACACGGCATTCCGTGGCAGCGGTTAGACGTTGGAAGGCCGGTAAACGGCAAATATTAACCGTTGGGATCAAAATGACGGCTTTTGCCAACCGTATATTATTTAATTAAGTGTCACCGAGAAACAGTTTATATTTATACGTATCGTTCGCCAAAGCGACCTATATTACAACTGGCATTTGTTAGGAGCTATGCAAACTGTGTTGCTAGCTAACGCCAGGACGTTTCGCCACCACGTAGAAATTGATTATTATACTCATGATATGATCAATGATGGCCCATACACAATTTATTACAGACATCCCACAAATGTGGGTTATACATAAACATATTTAAGAAGCGTATGGCTACTTTGGACAAGATTAATGTGTATTTTGCCCAATTTCAACGGACGTTGAAATGATTTAATGTGAGTTACAGTAGCATTGGTTGATAGCATTGATTCAACGGTGAAGTGACCGGGGGGTTGGAAAGTTAGGGTTTGCAACCACCGCTTTTGCGCATCGCCTCTACAGGGTTCAACACCACGTTCGCTAATGTAATGTTAGCTAACTAGCTCACTTCCAGTAGCCATACCGATGACCTTCTTATCCGCCGCGGAAGCTGCGGCTGCCGGGCTGGATGGGCTCTCCTCATCGGCAGGGGCATCGGGCGGTTGTTGTGTCTCGGCCTCGCTGCTCATGGTTACTACTGGTTGGTAACGACTTCTGCCGGCGGCGGCTCTCTGCTATGTTTCCCGGTGCTAGATGGTAACCTGGGCCGGCGGTGGTAGGGGCAACTGCCTTCGGGCTCTCTGCTTTCCTCTTTCCGCTCCCGTTGCCGATCGAACTGGGCAGAGTGAGCAACTGTGCCGGGGAATGTTGCCGGCTACTGGTCCGCCCAACTACTCTTGCAATTGGTTGGAATCGGTGGTGAAGAACAAGACGCATTTCCATTGGCCGAGATAGCTGTCATATTTGGATGAACGAAGCGCCCGCTGAACTGGATTGGCTAAAAGAGCTTGTACCTGTTCATTCTCACCGCCCGTAGTGATGTCAAAAGCAGACAAGTCACAGAAAACTGTGACACTTTTATTTGGGAAGCGTGTCTGCTCGGTTGTGTTTCTTTTGACAGATTTAACAAAACGTAAGAACTACGTGTGTTACTAAGCTATCCTAGCATCAAATTGTATAATCAAATTCTCTAAATAAAAAAGCCATACCATTTTGAGATGGCCTTCAGTTAATGCTTTTCATCTTCAGTTGTCTTAAAACTTTGTCCAGTTTTTGAAAAAAAATTATCATTTTGTAAACTGGGTGTGTGGTTGTGTGTATACCTCCCATCATTTATATAAAATATAATTTGGACACTGTTACCATGTAAATGCATCCCCGTTGAAATATAACACGAGATGACTAACCCAATTCAAGGCAGGATGAGGAAAAACGTGATATTTTTGTTGGAGCCAAAATGCAGGTTTTGGTGATTTTTTTTTATCTTGAGAGAAACACCGGGTGAATTGGGGCATGCAGTTCCCACTCATGAACACACTGTGGCACATTATCATAAAAATGCATTTAGGAAAGTGCCTGCTAATGGTAACAGGTGTGCATGGGAAGCAGACCATTTTTGACCGCGTCGCAAGTGTCGCGTGAGGTTCCTGTAGTTAATTTAGTGTGGAAAAATACTTAAGTAAAAGTACAAAGTACTCTTCTAAAAAACTACTCAGAGTACAAATTACTTTTTAACCAAAGAATGTTTTATTGCATCGTCAATAGCAGACATGCGATGTATAAAATTCAAATTCAAAGCACATTTCTCAGACGAACAATATAGCAAAATTAAAGGCAGTTTTACGGTGGCCGACACGTGCAAACGCGTTGCAAACTTCAAAACACATGCAAGAGAGAAACGCTGCAAGTTCACTCAAAACACAACGGAAGTTCGCCAGGCGACTAGGGGGTCCGGACCTGTGGGATAGTGGATGGACTATGGGAGATCGACAGCGAGTTGGCCTTTGCTTATATTACGTCTTAGAATAATTGGCGCGGGCGCGAACTGACAGCCAATGAGGATTTGCATTGGAAAAAAAATCTGACGGTTTGAATACTATTTTAAATTGTGGGCATACTCAATAGTAGGGCTGCAACTAACAATTATTTTGATAATCGATTAATTGGTCGATTATTTCGGATGAATCAGATAGAAAAAAACAGCATTCAAAACTTTCATTTACAACCCTTTCTTTCCCTTTCCCATTGCAAAAATACTTCAGAAAGTACAGGTTGCTCCGAACATAACAATTCATAAAGAAAAATACAAATCAGAAAATTTAACAAACTTGTTTTAACTTGTTCTCTGTACTCTGTAGCACAATACCGCCATTATTAAAACGAAGAATGTTTACGAGAGAACGGATCAGATTTAAGAACTTTTGTGGGAAGAAATGCGTAAATAAGGCCGCTTATAAAAGGCGTCATTGGCGGACTATAAGGACGCGCGGATGGCCTCTGATTCATGGAGGGAGATCTCCGCAAACTCCGGTTTGCCGGACGAGAGGTGCACAAAGCTGTGGAGGAAAATACGGGACAAATGTGTTCGCGATGAAAAGCAGCAGGGGCAATAAAGTCTGCTCCTTTTCATCGCGGACACAATTGTCCCATATTAAGACCAGGGAGTCTTTCGCGGGAGTCTTCGGGGCGGCTGAATGCGGCAAACTTCTTGTGCTATTTTTAATAATGTGTTTGACCCCTTTACTCGTACCTGTTTGAATCTCTTCCCGCAGATACTACAGGCCTCGGGCTAGATCCGCTCTCTATCGTAACCTCTCCTCTCTCACCTATCCCACCCGCTCCACACACATCCAGCACCTCGTCACAGGAGGCCTCTGGAACTGCCAGTCAGCTACTCGCAAGGCAGACTTCATCTCCGGCTTCGCTATCCAGCAGTCGCTTGACTTCCTCGCTCTCACCGAGACCTGGATCACACCTGAGAACACATCCACCCCAGCCGCTCTGTCCTCAGCCTTCTCCTTCAGCCACACACCCAGCCCTACTGGTAGGGGTCGTGGCACAGATTTACTCATTTCACCCAAATGGAGCTTTTCCCTTTACTCGCTTTTCCCTTTACCCTCTTCCACCATCCACCCTACTGTCTTTCGAATTCCATTCTGTAACAGTTACTCACCCAGTGCAATTAACCATTGTTGTCCTTTACCGTCCGCCAGGCTCCTTGGGTCATTTCTTGGAAGAACTGGACATTCTCGTGTCCAACCTCCCTGAAAATGGCCTTCCGCTCATCCTCCTGGGTGACTTCAACATCCAGACAGAGAAGTCATCTGACCTCTTACACCTACTTTCTTCTTTCGCTCTGTCACTCAGTCCCTCTCCTCCTACTCACAAAGCCGGCAATCACCTTGACTACATCTTCACTGGACACTGTTCCACCACTAACCTCTCTGTAACTCCACTTCATGTGTCTGATCAATTCTTCATCCCCTACTCTCTATAACTAACAACCCCACCCGAATCAACTGACTCTGTATCTGTTCATTGCAATATTTGCTCCCTCTCTCCCTCCTCCCTAGCATCCTCTGTCTGCTCTCCCTTCAACAAACTCCTCTCAACTCGTTCCTCCTCTCTAGACTCTCTGCCCTCTTACGACACGATGGGCTGGCAAATCCCCTCCGGCTCTGTGGCTGTCTGAACCGGTGCGTGCCATGAGAGCCACCATGTGAGCATCGGAAAGGAGATGGCGTAAATATAAACAACCTGATGACCTGCTTGAATTTCAATCTCTACTCTCCTCTTTTTCTGCGCCAAAAGCTCTTTCTACCAATCCAGAATCGAATCTTTATTTTCTAACCCCAAAAAAGTCCTTTCGATCTTCTCCAACCTCCTCGAACCCCCTAGTCCTCCTCCCCCCTCCACCCTTCGTCCGGGTGACTTTGTCAACACCAAGAAAATTGCTGACATACACTCCTCTTTCTCAAACCCACCTCCCACTTCTTGCGTCCCACTGACTTCACCTCTATCATCCTCAATTTCCTCTTTCACCCCCCTGTCTCCTAACCAAATTCTTACCCTAGTAACCTCTCCCCGTCCGACCACCTGCCCTCTTGACCCCATTCCATCACATCTTCTACAATCTATCGCACCTGACCTTCTTCCTTTCCTCACCTGTCTCATCAACAATGCTCTGTCATCTCGCTGTTTTCCCAATTCTCTGAAGGAGGCAAGAGTTAACCCTCTTTTGTCCAAAACTCTTGAACGTGCAATTTTTAACCAAATCTCCACCGTAACGACCTCCTTGACCCCCACCAGTCAGGTTTCATGGCAGGCCACTCCACAGAGACTGCTCTCCTTGCTGTCTCAGAGCAACTCCACACTGCTAGAGCCGCCTCTCTCTCCTCTGTCCTCATCCTTCTGGACCTCTCTGCTGCATTTGACACGGTCAACCACCAGATCCTTATTTCCTCCCTTCAGGAACTTGGTGTCTCAGGCTCTGCTCTCTCCCTTCTCTCGTCCTACCTCGACGGCCGCACCTACTGAGGATCTGTGTCGGAACCTTGTCCTCTTACTACTGGAGCTGACGGTCAACTTTGGCAACTCCATGCTAACGCCTACTTTAACCGCTAACTCGACAGCCAACTCTCCCTGACTCCCAACATCACTGCGACAACACGATCCTGTAGATACACGCTCTACAACATCAGGAGAATACGTCCCCTTCTCACTCAGAAGGCAGCGCAGGTACTGATTCAGGCTCTTGTCATCTCTCGCCTGGACTACTGCAACTCCCTCCTGGCTGGTCTCCCTGCCACCGCCATTCGACCTCTGCAGCTCATCCAGAATGCAGCAGCTCGACTGGTCTTTAACCTTCCGAAATTCTCCCACACTACTCCACTCCTCCGCTCTCTTCACTGGCTACCGGTGGCCGCCCACATCCAGTTCAAAACATTGGTGCTCTCGTACCATGCTGTGAATGGATCGGGTCCAGCTTACATCCAGGACATGGTCAAACCCTACATCCCAACCCGCACTCTCCGCTCTGCATCTGCAAAACTACTCGTCCCTCCCTCACTGAGAGCAAAACACTCGACTAGATCTCGACTCTTCGCTGTCTTTGCTCCGAAATGGTGGAACGAGCTCTCTGAAGACACCAGGACCGCAGAGAGCCTTCACATCTTCCGCCGCAAACTAAAGACACACCTCTTCAGACTCTACCTCCACTAAAGACTAACAAATTGTAGCACTTAAATTGTACTTATAACGCTACTCATCTATAGCAAATAGTAAATTGGCTTATTTGATGAAATTGCACTTTCTTGTTCTTCAGAGTTTGTACCCTATGGTTGAATGCACCTATTGTACGTCGCTTTGGATAAAAGCGTCAGCTAAATGACATGTAATGTAATGTAATAATATTTGCCTCCTCTCTCGTATTAACCTGTTTAATCCCAGAGAAGAGGAGAGCGTGGGTGGGGGAGGGCTAATGGTGTGGATCTGTATGGAGAGTGGGAGGAGTGCTTGGTGCTGAAGTGTGTGACTGGGAGGACTCGTGCCTTTGACTGGGAGGTGTTTCTCTCCTTCACTTCCTTAAATTGAGATTGATAACCAGCCAGCAACCATACAGGGGAGTATAGATCTCCTTCTCCTTCTACCATCCAAGCAGACGACTGAGGAAAACATCCCAGAGATAAATAAAGGTAAGATAATTGGTAGGAAATCATTTTTTGGACACATATATGGATGGAATTTTTCTTTTTTTTTTTTTCCTAAACGAGAGTCCTGATGATTTCAGATTCTGGCTACGGTTAATATTGTAATCTATATTTTGTGAAGATGGTAGCCATTCAAATGCTTTGAAATCCAAGCTAAGTACACATTTATACTTTAAAAAGTAATTTCATATTTTGGCAGTATGATATCTGGAGCAACCGTAAAACTTATTCAAATGATTGATTATTCATTAATTATTGAATCCCCCACAAAAAACCCTACTCTGACTATGATGTTAACAGCTTTACCCAAAGAAACAACATCACCTCTAAAATGTTCATGAAAAAGTAAACAATTTATTCATCCTCAATGAACAGATTGAAACACAAATAGAAGCAAAAATCATCTCCACTTGGACCCAACGACTTGACGTTTTGTAAAACAAATTCAAAACCACTTTATGTTGTCAGTTCCAAAAGCTACCGGACAGGTGAATGATCGTATCTGTGCTGGATTCGGTAGTGGAACCCGTTCTACAACTAAAAGTGATAGGCCAAACTATTTTTTTTGTGACCGTCAACCGCCACCATGGTCCCACACAGTAAAAAAAGATGTTGTCTGACGTCTGCTGAGGGTTATTAAGTGACTATAACATTACTTCATGGGTACAAAAGGCTGAATAGTTCTTGCGTGGTGCTGTGAGGAAGCCGGATCACATCTCTCCACACTGTGCAATGAGGATGGGGAGCTTGGGTTTGTTGTTGGGTCCCGTAGGAACATTCTGTTGGCAGGAAAGATCACAAACAGCTTTACAAACATCACACAAAGATCCTTGTGAATTTATGCAAAGCTTGATTACCATACTTATGACAGAGCAGCACGCGATGGTTGTACTGGGTTTCACAGGGTGGATGCACATCCAGGAAATGTACTTATTTGTATTCAGAATTGATTTAATGGACATTTAGACAATAAGTATAGCGGGCTTTACGTTGCACAGTTGGTAATCACATAGTGGTCAAAAACATTTTCTCCACCATGAGGAGTTTCTCTCTCTCTCTCTCTCTCTCTCTCTCCTCACAGTTCTAGTCATTCACATCAAACAAATAATATTACAAAATGTTTATACCTCAATTTTCCTCATGATCAGCAAACCATCAACCACTTTTCCTGAAACGGGTGTAAACAAGACCGTTTAAACCTCGGCACATAAGAAACACACATAGCGCTCTAAATAGATACGAAGGCACAATTAACATTGTAGGCTTACTCACCAAAAACAACATGCTTCCCATCCAACCAGTCACATTTGGTGCAAGTAATGAAGAACTGACAACCATTTGTGCCTGGCCCGCTGTTTGCCTGAGTAAGACACACAATATTGAGAAGGAGAAAAAAAAGAGCAGTTTATATGCTGATCAGGGTTACTTCACTTTGAAAGAATCCATCAAATGATGTTGTCTATTGTGTAACTTGATATAGTTTAATAGGTAATTTACTAAATGGTTGCAGGAAAACAACCTGAATTTGATCGAGGTAAAGAAACCCTCTGCTGATTTAGTGTCCCCAACCACTATGCATTGATCTTTATACATACCATGGCCAGAAGACCGGGTGCAGAGTGCTTCATTTTGAAGTTTTCGTCTACAAATGGACCCCTGTAGATGCTGCAGATACCAGTTCCATCACCCTTGACAAAAAGACAAAAAACGCATCATAAGATGGGGCTCAGGAAGCAGAAAGAAGAGTGTTTTGTCACAAACGTTAAATCAATGCTATGTTTTATTTTGAAAACAGGAAATGTTATGTAATTTGTCAGGTGACAGGAACCAGGAAGTGAATGAAGAATATGGCTCAGAACTGCTGTTTGTATTGGTAGCTTTTAAATCCAGTTGAGTCTGCCTGCATCCTATACCTTTTTGATAGCATCGTTGGTACTTATTGATTTGTTTTATTGTTCATTATCATCTCAGATGATTATTTTTGTGACAATGTTTAGTTTGGATATTTTTGTGCACATGGCCTATCGAGTCATTCGGGTTGGTAACTGCACTGCTATGGCTATGGCTATGGCTGTCATTAAAGTCCATATGACTTAATAAATAACTAGAAGTAAATCAGCATAAATAATAATAAGTAATAAGTAATAAGTAGCGGTCGAAGACAATGCACTTCATTTGTATTTATTATGTCTTTTGTGTATTTTAGTTTTACACTTTCTCTCATGTCAATAAACCTGTGGACAACGGACCATTGTCTTCAGAGTCGTGATGTCAGAAAAGAGTTCGTCTAACTGCCAAGGTGTATCGGAGCGCATATACCGAGGGCGGCATAAAGAGATACAATGAATCCTACTGTTAATCAATCCATGTGCTCCAGATTACACCTTCTACTACTCAATTCAAAATTCACCTGTGTGTCTGATATCATTACACAATTTATTTTATTTAATGAAGGCTAAAAAAAATGAACAAAAGTGGATCAAAAAGTAAAAAGGTCTACTAGTCACCATCTTTAAAAGGTATTGGTTTCTTTGTATTGTCTACGCTAAAAAAAGATTTTACCTAATTTTTCAATTGATCTATTTGACATTGTTAACATAAATAATTGCATCAGAAATACAGATATTCAACGTTCCAAGCTATAATCTATTGTTTCTCTGCTGGAAAAATGTCCCTCTGAAAAGATTAGAATTAACGTACAATGTAACGTTAACGTTGTTGTTGTGAGTAAAAGAACATTGAGTCAAATCCAAACATTGTTGAGATAAAAGCATCAACCCAACTGCAGTGTTGTTTTCAAACTTACATTCACAAAGTCCCCTCCTTGTATCATGAAGTCTTTTATCACCCTGCCAAAAAGGAAATTAAAATAATGAGTTGTGTTGCAGCGGAGGATTGGCAGGAACGGGGTCCGACTGGTAAGAGCTGCACCTGCTGAGGTCACAGCGCTACCGGCCGAGGGTTAAAAAATGGTGGTTTAACACCTGCTAATCATTTCAAACACCTTACCTGTGGAATGTGCAACCTTTGAAACCGATTGGCACTCCATCTTTCCTGTGGGATAAAATGCATTTATTATTATTATTGTTAATAAATTGTTTGCTCCTTGCTGCTGGCTCGGACTACATGATTTAGTAAGGAACAGCGATGGTTACAGAAATAGAACCACGGATATTCCATGAATCAGTGTAATCCCTAACTTTAATCTTTTTACATGTTTATAGTCTTTTAAAGGCTTTATAGACTAAACACATAATTCAAACGATTGGATTTATATTGCTAAACCTTTGAAATTATTTTATAGGCTGCTTAGGTCTTTATTCGCTCTTTAAAAGCTGCTTCATTTCATATTGCTGTGAAAAAAGGTTAAACAACTGTATTTATTCAATTATCTTCCCAAAACTATGTTTGATAAGCTTTGATTACGTCATTAAGTTATCATTTTTAACTCTGCCCAGCTCTGTTCACTAAACTGAACAGAGCGTAAACACATGATGTAACTGAATGGAATCTCGGCATCTTTTTAACTAAATACCAGCCATGAAACTTTGTTTTGGTTTAAATTGGTTCAAAGGAGGATGACGTAGTTGTGTATTCCCCCCCAAAAAACAGACTTACCTAAACTCTCCAGTGCAGAACTGTCTGTAAGAAACAATGGAAGTTTAATTAATGTCTTCAATCACTTGTCAGGCTGTAAAAACAATTGTCTGTGACTTGATCCTTACCGGAAGTTCTCTGCAGTCTTTGGAACCACATCGGCAAACAGCTCAATCTTCATCCGTCCGATATCCTGGCAAAAGGCGATAAAACAGTTGGACACTAAACAAATGACAAAAACAATTAAATGTATACACCTAAAAACAAATTGGGTCAAAGCTAGGGCTGGGCGGTATGACCAAAAATCCATATCCCGGAATTTAGGAAAGATTTTGACGGTATCCCAGTATTGTTTTTTCAAGTAAACACATAAATACATTGACCCCGAAAAGGAGCACCAGCTACCCGATCAGCTGTTCGCCGCTGGCTGGCCAACGCGCTCGGAACTGGCCGGCATTGTTAGCGCGTTAGCTCGATTTGGGGTGCTAGTGTTGCCACCAGAGGCAATACCAGCGGCTCGACACTTTGCAACGAATCGCTTTCTGATCGAACTCTCTCGTTGTTCCTCTTGTATCGCTCTTTTCCGTGTTTTCATGTAACAACAGAGTTACTTCTGGTTGTGAGCTGTACCCAGCATGCAGTTTGGCGCGGTCATCTTTATAAATGTAGAATTCAGTGTTACAAATTCTTTATGTGTCACGAGCTGTTGTGTCGTGGTGGTTTACCCTGTTAAAGAGTGTTTGTTGTCATAAAGTTAGAACCACGATTCAATCTCAACACACGTAATAGTAGAGCTGGTTTTATGCAAAGCAACTTACATTGCATTTTTATACCAATTAGTGGGTAGGTGTCTTGCTCAGGGACACTTCGACATGGAGCAGCCGAGGCTCGAACCACCAACCTTGCGGTTCCCAGCTCGCCCTCTCTACCACTGCTACATGGTTAAAACGTGAAGGCTGTTTGAACCGCCAGCGTTACTGCTAATATTATGTGTATGTAAGAGAACTACTGAATACTTGCATTGACAAACTATTCTTTTGTTGTTACTCAGTTCATGATTCCAAAAGAAAAAAGGAAACCCATAAAGTTTAAACTCATGGTTAAATAGCTATACATAATTCTGAATTGGTTAAAGGAGGATAAAAGGTCATGATAGCAATAGCCTTGTTTTCAACCGTCAGCTTCTGGATATTGAATTCTCCCTGACGAGGGAGATCAATCATCTCCTTACGTCAAGGAGTTGGACTGAGATATTTCCTGCTGCTGAGGAGAGGACAGCTTCTTTCTCATCACCAGTGTGGCCGGACAAAGAGGGCAACAGAGCTCACGACTGACTTACTCTTTTGCACTTAAAGGGAATTGATATTAGAGGAACCAATTGAAGGAACACTGAGACGATTCAAGGATACGTTTACCATTTCAACGAAACGGTGTTGATAATGTATCAATAAGAGCATAGTCAATATTGTGCAGGATTTTATTTGGCTCCATTTCTTTTGTGTGGGTGTCAAATTCCCATCTTCTAAGCTCTCCCAACGCACCTACACCTTGGCCCAATAATAATTAAAATATCCTGCGGGTTACATGAGCAAATACAGCGCCCCTTTGTGTTCATTTCTAAAGCCTCCCATTAAGACATATCACTTTATTTAAGACGCTGCGCTACTTGCAAGTCACTGTGTTGTGCCAGATTGTCAATAAAGTTAGAAAAATGATTACGGCAACCCCACGGTCATGAAGGTACTCATGTAACGTTACATGAGAGGGGAGGAGGAGGAGGAGGAGGAGGAGACGGGTCCAGGTCGCTACATACCAACTGAAATCGGCTTGTGTCGTTGAAAAAAAAGGAACCTTCCACCGACAACTTTTTGCACTCGGCGCTACTGCAATGCTCTTGCAAAAATTTTTAGTGGCACTATATGTATCTAAAAAAAAAATACATTTTTTGTCAATTATTCCAAGCTACTTTTGTGAAGCTTACTGAAAGGGTAAAAACAGATGAATTTTGATGAAATGGGAAATCGATATGCTTTTACCAATTAATTGCACACCACGTACATAATTTCAGCAAGACACAAAAGGCGTTTCTGCATTCATAAGCGGTTGGTGATGTCACACATAATCAAATTTAAAAGAGTTCACCTGAGAACAGTCACACGCTGAGGAGGAGTCTGGCTGAGCGCACACAGGGAGGTTGACTGGATCTCATCTGAAACTCACTGGATTGGGACGACCCTGAGCACGCAGGTACTGATGGTTTTGCATCTGTTTCATTTTTTAAATTTCAAACAACATTATTTATTCAATTTTTTACTTTGTTATAATTGCCTGCAGTAATATGAAGACATTGAGGGAAAAGCCTTGATGGTGACTGGTTCTATGAGAAATTTGTAGGGACCTATAAAATCTGCGATCACGGAATGGCGGACGGAATCACATATTTTGACTTTCAAAATTATAAACGTGATATATGTGGGACTGACCGACATTACTTTAAGTTTTTTTTGGAATAAAAAGGAACGTATCTGTCGGGAAAATGCTCCGAGGGGGTCATTAAAAGTGGGAACAATGAACGCTTCACCCGCCCGCCCTTATTATTTTTAATAAGGTTATATGTATGGAAGCAATAAAGTTTTCAGTTTTAACTGAATATATTATCGACTTTATATTGTCTAATTCACTGTCTCTGGGTTAAATTTGCGTAAAATGTTAAAAACTCAATTCTCAAAAATTAAAAAAAAATTAAACCGGAATTTGAGAAAAAATAGAAACGGCTTTTATAGGGCCCTAAATATGCAGGGACCTGACAAGTGCTCTAGATGGGTAACTGGATGAATGAACAGTTCACGTGTGACATTAAACCAGATTGAACCAGAATTACAACATATCTCGACAACAACAATTACTAAACTGTCATCTGAACACTGGATGATGGGATGTGTCAGAGAGACTTCCAACCTGCCACCAAACAATCTTTTGCTGTTTCATGTTGTTTAGTTCCTAAACAATTTAAACTTTTCCTCCACAGCTTATTCCGGATCTTCTTTGTACCGAAAAACTGCACTGCAAGTTGACCGCGTGTCAGACAACAAGGCATACCGTCAAAATGCTGGCCGTTATAGAGGGAAATCTTCTGGGCTCTGTTTATAATACGACCAACACCAACAAGTATCTGTTCATAATGCTTTTGAAGTTGGTACTGGACACAGCGGTCCTCTGTTTGTGCTCCCGAAGGCTGCATACCTCCTTTATAAGTATGTGCGGTCTGTCCATCGTCTTGGGTGACTCTGTGATGGTGATTTGGGTTTCCAGCTTATATTTTCTACCTCCTGAAACGTGCTTGGTGGCCCTTTGTTTCCTCTTGACCAATGCCTCTGTGATATTTGATGCCCTTACGCTGCCCATCGTGTGCCTGTGTTTACTGGACTGTTATTTAGAAGGCACCAACTTCGCCAAACAGAGCACCGTCTCCAAATTCCTGAGGCACACCGCCTTGACATTGCTGGTGTGGGTGATAGCGGTTTTGTCCTCCTTTGGCTCGGTGAAATCTGGTACGTTGGAACTGAAATTTGAGGACGGGCTGTCCGCTACAGGATGCGAGGTACGAGAGAGCACACTGGCTAACTTCTTCATTTTGGGGTCCTTCTCAATCATAACCTTTACGACACTGCCCTTCTGGTCAATGATTCCCCGGTGGGTGAGGGAGTCTGTGCGTGAGTTTGCATCTCAAAATGCAAAGAACCAGAACAGCGACTCGCAGTTTTCGACTAAAGGCCCGGACACACGCGGCTTCGAGGAGACAGTCTATCCGCGCCCGCCTCTGTGGTTGAGCACAATACTGTGCTTAAGTCTGACGTGGATGCCCTATATCACAATAACTGTGGTCTTCCTATTGCTCGGCGTTGGACTGCCTGCCTACGCCACTGTTAATCTTCAGTGGTTGGAGTGCACAAACAGTTTAGTGATGGGTGTGATGTTCTGGGCAAACAGCGTACACACAAGGGCCGTACAGCCGCACGCACACTCCGCCACGCATGACGGAGAGAGTGATCAACGATCAACCGGTTCCGATCTGTCAACAGCAGAAATGAAAACAGTGATATGAAAACAGTGATGTGCTAAAGTGACGCCCAAGACCGGAGCTGCCAACTGTTCCCCGAAGTGGAAGCGTGACGTGGCGCTTATTGCACGTCTCCATTAGCACGTACTGAACTTTTTGAGCAGACAATTAAACAAACTAAATGTTGCGGGTGACAAGAGACTGGAAATAAAAATTCCAGAATGCAATGCAAATGCAATTCTTTGAGTTGGGGACATTTTTTTTTGCTGTAGGCCATGATCTTTAGGCTTGTATAAGTTTATCATGAGGGACTTTTAAAAGAAAATTCTACATACTTTAGGGGAAATGCTATGCTGAATGAGGATTTAAATACATTCTCTTTTAACTTTTCATTTTTAACAATTAGCTAAATGTATTCATTTGCATTGTTTAACAAATCCAACTGTATAGCCCTGGTTATATATTGTCGGGTCAGCTCCCGTCTTAAAGACTACAAGAAGAAACAACTTGTCATGAATCATCATACGTACATGAAGCGGTATCATTGAGCGACATCATTCACTGAATTGTTTAATCTGTGCAAGGTGACCAGATCGTTGTAAAGTATGTAAATCATACATAGATGTGATAATTCATTGAAAAACCCTATTGAAATAGATACAATATAAATAATAATGCCTTCTATTTTATACTGTAAAGTCAAATTGAACATGCCACTTTTACTTTACTTGGTTATTTGTCTTGTTGTCCATTGTTATGCAACTACCGCCGTGTTATCTTCCTTGTATGTCTAACATATTTTGGCAATAAATGTTCCGGATTGCTGATAAATGAGAACTTTAAACACACAATAAAAATGACTGCATGGCAAACTGTTGGAGGAAAATATCATTTAAATTGTGTCAATTTTTATATATATATATATATATTTTAATGACGAATATATTTAAACAGACCAGAGAAAATCAGGACATACTTATGTCGCATTTCAAGATTAAAGCCCTTCAAAAACTCATTCATGAACCACTCCACCTCACATTCTAGATTAGAAAGGAAATGTTCAATATTTACATATTTGTTTCACTACAGGTTAATAGGAGACCACCTTAAGGTGTTACTCAGGGATAATCAAGTAATTATGATGTAGCGTTTAAAAATGAATGCCTTTCAAAATCTCATTAATGAACCAACTTCCTTCCAAATGTAATTCATGGGCCAATTTCTGGCCAATTTTAGATGTGAAATTAAATGGTCCAGTTACATAATAATTTTACTACAGGTAAATAGTACACTTCCTCAGAGTGTCATTACAGGTTATCTCTGAAAGACACCTTAAGGTGGTTATCTATTGACCTGAAGTAATAATATGATGTCATTATTGACCATTTCTTTTTAAATCTAATCTAAAATGTGAAGTGAATTGGCTCATAAATAATATTTTAAAGAGAGTCTCTTAAGTGGTTTGCTATCAATCCCAGGTGAAGTTAGTCACTTAGTACTATGTTTGTAGATTTACAGAAGGAATTCGACATGTCATGGCTGTCATTCGCTCGCATGGCTTCTCTTACCACAGCTATGCCGATGACACCCAACTAATTCTCTCCTTCCCTCACTCGGACACCCAGGTGGCGGCTCGGATCTCTGCCTGTCTAACTGACATCTCTCAGTGGATGTCCGCCCACCATCTGAAAATCAACCCCGACAAGACTGAACTACTTCTCTTTCCCGGAAAAGATTCGCTTACCCAGGACCTGACAGTCAAATTTGGGAACTCCGTACTAACGCCCACTTCGACTGCTAAGAACCTCGGCGTCACACTCGACAGCCAACTCTCCCTGACTCCCAACATCACCGCGACAACGCGATCCTGTAGATACACGCTCTACAACATCAGGAGAATACGTCCCCTTCTCACTCAGAAGGCAGCGCAGGTACTGATTCAGGCTCTTGTCATCTCTCGCCTGGACTACTGCAACTCCCTCCTGGCTGGTCTCCCTGCCACCGCCATTCGACCTCTGCAGCTCATTCAGAATGCAGCAGCTCGACTGGTCTTTAACCTTCCGAAATTCTCCCACACTACTCCACTCCTCCGCTCTCTTCACTGGCTACCGGTGGCCGCCCGCATCCAGTTCAAAACATTGGTGCTCACGTACCATGCTGTGAATGGATCGGGTCCAGCTTACATCCAGGACATGGTCAAACCCTACATCCCAACCCGCACTCTCCGCTCTGCATCTGCAAAACTACTCGTCCCTCCCTCACTGAGAGCAAAACACTCGACTAGATCTCGACTCTTTGCTGTCCTTGCGCCGAAATGGTGGAACGAGCTCTCTGAAGACACCAGAACCGCAGAGAGCCTTCACATCTTCCGCCGCAAACTAAAGACACACCTCTTCAGACTCTACCTCGACTAGCAAAATTAAAGCAAAAAGACTAACAAATTGTAGCACTTAAATTGTACTTGTAACGTCACTCATCTATAGCAAATTGTAAATTGGCTTATTTGAGGAAATTGCACTTTCTTGTTTCTTGTTCTCCTGAGTTTGTACCCTATGGTTGAATGCACTTATTGTACGTCGCTTTGGATAAAAGCGTCAGCTAAATTACATGTAATGTAATGTAATGTAATGTAATTTTAAGATTAACCGGAAGTGCTCTTATTTTGAAAACAGTTCTTACATGCTACCGTAATGCCTCGTACATACACCTCTGAATAACGCGCGGACCGTCTAAAAGAGACGAACGTTACCGTAATTACACAATACAATACTCACCACAATATAAACCGCGCGATTTAAATTGCTTAGTACTTTGTGTATCAGCTACGCTCATTGAACGAAGAGGTTTAAGTTAGATACCAACCAACGAAGTTCAGTGGATCGAAACTTTAAACGAGCTCTCGTGGTGAGATTCGGTAACGTTAACTCAACGTTGTTCAGCCACGAAAGTCGGTATTAGCGTTCATCTTTCCTCTACTCACCTGCCCTCCGATGGTTATGTCGAAGAAGACTATCGGGTTGTTTGGATTTGTTGATTGAACAGACATTGCGACTGTTGACTCGCTCCTTAAGACAAAATAAAAATGCTATTCGCCGGATAACACCATGGACGCGACAACCATTGAACGTCCATGAAAGACGTGCTACGGCTCGCATTAAGGGTCAAAACACTGCCATAGCGCGATAACAAAAACTGGCCACTTTCACCAGATTACATTTTGAGAATGCCAGTGTAATCTTCAAAGTTTAAAATAAACCAAAAATTAAATGTACGCATTGCGTAACACGTACGCTATAGTTATTTTCTTATGTTGCAAAATGAGTACAAACGGCATAGAGCACAACTCTGTTGTACAGAAACATTAAATAGCATCTTAACGTTGAATTGTCTGTACTGAATGTATTTCTGAATATTTATTTAATGCCGCCAAGTTGTATAATTTAAAAAATGTAAAAACAGTGGGCATTGGCTCAAAAAACGTGTATGATTTGTAAACAGGACAGTTAAATGTAACAGGGACATTACAAAATGCTTTCTATTGCTATTTTAAAAAAAGACAAAAAACAATATTTCCAGTGAGATATTTCTAGTAGGATATAGGTTTGAATTGGGCTGCACTTTTGAACAATAAGACTGATAAGTGTCTTCACACGATCAGCATATCAAAATGTTTAGCCCTTATACTTGGGTTGGACAAAGAAAACATCTCACAGACATCAACATTTATTGTAAGGGTTTTATTTTCACAATAAAATGTAATTATACAACTAACAAATGGCAAAGCTGTACTAAAGAACCACGATCAAAAAAACGAAAACATTAAGCAATAAAGGTATTGACAGAGTCTAGTGGGTCAGCAGGGACTTAAAACTAGCAGAAGAAAAAAAACCTCAAAGGCAGTTCTATGTGAAGTAATATGGTTTCTTGACATTGACGCCATATTCTGAGAGGGCAGGACTGAGGTCCTCCATGGTCAGAGTGTACTTTTTTTCCTGTAAATATATATATATATATATATGAGAGAGAGAAAGAGAGAGAGAAGAGAAAATAAATACATCACAAAATCATTAACTATCAAGAAGAACATAATCAGAGATGGGTATAGGTGCTACCTCTCTCCAACTTTCTTCCCTCCCCCCCTTCACATACACTGGTTTCAAAACACTGTATGAGAAAAACACTCACCTTTGTTTTACTCCGTGAGCTTCCTGAGGCGGTGCCTTTCATTTTACAGTACTGCAGCGCATCATTGGCGATGTCAGAGATAAACTTCTGGGAAGCAAGGGAGATCAGACGGATTCTGAAGAATTACAAAAAATATATATATTATTGTCGTGGTTTCCACTGTCAGAACACAGACAGCATGCCATTACCTTTCATGGGGAAAAAAATAAATAAGTCAGATCAAGAGTTCCACGGTTCTCATTTTCATTTTTCTATTACAAGATATTACAGAAACAAAAAGGGAGATACATGGTCAAAACGTCTTAAAGGTCTCAGACATGCCAACGGAGATTAGTAGTAGTTTTTCTTTGTTTGTAAACTAGTTTACAGCATTAACACTCAGCAAACTACACAATCTTAACAAGCATATTACCATACATAAATACCCAAGTGCAACACATGCACAGCCTGTTAACATATAATCCATAGTTGAAACAAATACATTTCTCAAATTATTTACCCAGAAGCATATTTTTAAAAAGTTAAATAGACCTCAGTGTCAATGGTTGCACTTACATTCTCGGGTCAGAAGCCTCAAAGCCAGCCCGATTGAGGTAGTAACCTGTTACTGCATCAGGAATCTGAAAAAAAGAGCAGACTTAAGCGACAAGATTCATAAAACCTGCTTTTGCTTCAGCTGACATTTATTTGTGAAGAACATTATTATTCTCTGTATGCCATTCAGTGATGATCAGCCAAAAGAAGCAAGATCCATGGTTCAGCCTCTAATCACCAAGTTAAACTATTGGCGTTGTCCCAGTAGAATACCAATAAATAATGTTCAAACAACAAATGTTTACAAATGGAAGAAGTTGCCATTAATGTCAATTGAGTGTTTACCTTTTTTTCTATTACGGTATATTTTTGTACCAACAGAAGTGATTCTGCATTGACGATATTTAATCTGTTGCTTCTTGCGTTATTTTATTAACTGAACAAGTAGAAAACGGGAGGCACTATACCCATCTGAATATTTCATAAAGAAATCTATATTTTTGAAGGAATTTAAATTGGATTTGATGACGGCGGTCAATTAAAGTGGGCGAACATGCCAGGCTGTTGCAGCACTGGCCATCATTCCGTCATTACTAACTTGTAGGCAGGGTCTAGAATTTGTGTTCTTTCCAACAATATTTCCCTACCAGTGAATGTAGCATGCGGTAATCTGACGGAGACCACTTGGTTTACCGTGGGAGTGTACTCCTCCAGCTGCATGAGGAAATCAGCCAGCGGCGTTGTGTTGAGGGCCGGCTTTACGTCCCCATTGGTGATTCCTCCCGGGACGTAGACCCCGTTGGACACCGACGAGTCTGCTGATGTGGTCACCATGGCCGCCGGAGCTGAAGCTGGAATGCAAATTTGGGGAATTTTCAATTAAAAAAAAAAATGGTTTTCCTAACTTGAACACTTAACGTTATAGTTGTACACAAATAACGACGCGTTACATATTTCAGGAGAAATATCATTAGATGTTTCGCCGAAAGTAAAGTGGCTCAAAGTCCAAGCCCTGTTCGAAAGCAGATGTTGCAGGAAAGAGAAAAAAAAGAAAGTTCACACAATGATGCATCAACGTCTTGCACAGTATATTCACACACATGTTCACAGAGGGAATCACACCAGTCACCTTCAGTAGAAATAAAGTAACGTTAGCTATCCAACCTTGACGTAAAATAGTAAAGTATTGGGCATAAAAACTTGGACGATAAACGTTAACTAAGCGCCATTAATAAGTCACATAAGAGTTTACGTTACCGTTACTCGTGACCGACGGGACGCTGCTGACGTTGGTAGTTGCGTTGTCATTTGCGATACAATTGCTTGAAGTTGAGGACGTCGTGGAGGACACCCCGGTTGTGACAGACTGATTAACGTTGTCTATGTTCATGTTGGTGTTAACGTTAGCTAACGAGCTAACCGTGGCTAGCTAGCACAGCGAAATTGTAAATATGCCCGAAAGCGCGGTTCTGTGCTAAATAGCTCCAATACTAGTCTTCTACAAAACAATCTTTTGTGAAGTGAAGCTTATTTTGTAACTCCGATGCTTGTAACGGAGCTGAATCCGGAGCTAGCTAGATAGCATTAGGAGCGTTCGAGGCTAGCGTGTCCGAGCAGCAGAAAGCTGAGCTCATGCTGAAGGAGCTCAACGCGTCACGTGACGCTTGCTAGATAGATCGGGTTGGACGAAAGAAGCCGAAGACACCCGAGGACCTTATAAAGCTACATCTGATGTGGTGTAGTGGCTGGTCAAAGTCTAAGAGCGTTTGTTATCTGCATATTTAGCTATTTCAGCAGCTACTCGGGTAGACGACTGCATAGCTAACATGTAAATAACCTTAATATAGATTCAGTAGTGTAAAACCCTTTACATGTAACGCTATCATAATACAATTTCCAACTGACAGACGAAGAACATAAAAACAAACAAAATATTAAATATATCAAAATACATCATAACCTGTAACTATATAAAAATACTGTAGCACTACGAATATTTAATTAAAGTGATGCTGTTGGTAATAGTCGTTGCGCCCCATGATGCATTCAGTTGCCCTGCTTTTTGAATAAAATATCTAAAATATCCTCTGTTGCTAAAAAGCCAAGATCAATGGTTAAAGTTAAATTGCTGTCGACTATCATATGACCGCTGTCACTGTAATGACACCAATATGACTTGAATTACCCTGGTGTGACATCGACATCTCTGCCAACAAAAACTAAGCACTAGTCCAAAGAATTGACTGTGAGGAAACTTTAAAACACAAAATCAAGCTGCTTCGAACTTCGGGATATTATATAAACGTACACGTTTAACCTCCAGGCACGTGAGTTCAACATTTGAGTGTATTTGTTTCTCTTTAACACCGTTAACAAGAGGAAATGGTAGTTTACGAGGAGCACTGAACGCAGCAGAGGGCATCGCGCACTCACCAGGGGGCGCTACGCTCTTTTAAGTCACCTGGCCTCTTGTTTTTGTTCGAAGAAGTGCGCTTCAGCGTGGACGTCGAACACGTCGCGTACCGATGTGATTTTTTTATTCAGACACAATCGGACCGACGCGCGAGACAAACAGAAGGTTTGGAAAGCTTCATGGGACAAAGCAGGTACTGATGATGACGTCACCCGAGCGGTAGCTTCCTGTCGTCACGCGCTGTATTGTATATCTGTTAATTACCGCATTTGAACGGATCCATATGTTTTGACATTGTTTATTTAGTTCACTTTCGAATGGCAACTAATCCGCCGTGCACCGCGATAGATGAGTTAGATTTAAATGCATTAGGAAGTGTGGTGTTTAATTGTAGAGCGGGTGAAATGATGAGTGTTTAATAGCTTAACTTCACGCTTCGGTTTGTGTTAAAGTTCCCAGGATGCCAGAATGACTTCCCCCGTCCGTGTGATCGTGGTGGGAGCTGGATGTCGAGGAGAGATCTACTCCCAGTTTGCGTCCATCCACCCTGATCGCGTTAAGGTCAGCGGAGGAGAGGTTGCTTGGCTGCTCGATCCTGTCAAAAACAAATCAATCTCGTGGATTGTGGATTGATAAACAAAAATATTGCACCATGAGATCCCTGCGAGCCAAAGATGAGATAATACTAAATATTAAAGAAACATGTACAATATAAAACTATAAAAAACACAATCAAAACCATGTGATCAAACAATATAATGGCATATATGTTTGGATCATAATCAAGTCTTATTTAAAATTCAATATCGTACCTTTTGCTTGGAGTTATTCTATTTTATTGCTACTTAATTTAAGTAAGTAATCTGCATACTTGTACTAGTTGGGCATTAAGTTGTCAGCTTCCTCTTTTTAGGTTGTTGGAGTTGCCGATCCAAGGAAATTTGCTCGCACTAAACTTCAACAGCAACACAACATTTTAGATGAAAACGTATTTGAAGGTGAGCATTAAATGAAAACAATGCATTTACTTGTATGACATTGTCTGCCTCATACTGTCTCATTGAATGGATTTATCTTTAAACTAGACTGGCACACTATAGTTGAAAGAGAGAAGTTTGCAGATGCCGTTTTAATCTGTACTCCAGACCGCCTTCATAAGGTAAACATATATTTCTATATATTTTAAAAGTATGTGTATCTCTCACCTCATCATCTGTCTGAAATATAAACATATTCACTGTTCTTTGGCTAGTTATTCTATTAAACTAGGTATTGATCCCTAGGAACCTGCGGTGGCCTTTGCACAGAAGGGCTACCATATTCTGCTGGAGAAACCAATGGCAGTAAGTGTTTTATAAATAACCCTAAACCGTTATAACACAGAGTTTTAACATTGACAACGGGTCAAAGGATCCTACAGATTGATTTCAACAGTAATTTGACTCATTAGTTTGTCTTTTTTTAATTATTAAAAAAACATGGTGGTTATTTTTCCTCACATTTCCGATTCCATTTACAACCAACTCACAAACCTTGGAAATGATACTATGTGTCAACAACATCCGTCTCTCCCTCTTCTGTGATTGCATTTGTGTGACACTCGTGCCTCCCCTCCACCTAAACGTGATCATGTGACTTTAGACTACGGCTGAAGACTGCACAGCGATTGTGGAGGCTTGTACTCAGAGTGGCGCGATGCTCTCCGTGGGTCACGTTCTCCGCTACGATCCACTCATCCACAAGATAAAGGTGAACTTTGTCCCTCATACTTTACGAACATGAAAACATCTGACAGTTTTCTCCCCCAGGAAAGAATGGATCACAGTTTTCAATTTTTGTACCTTTAAAAAAAAAAAAAAAGTAAAGCTGTAATTGAGTTGATACGTTTTTTAATAAGAAGAGATACGTTAATTGTTCAATGACAGAACAGACAAAATGTTGTCTCACACAGGGACAGATGGTGAAGAAAATCACGCAATTTAAAGTGAGAATTAACTTTGTTTTTTGTTTTGTTTCTAGGAACTGATAGATGCCGGAGTCATAGGTGACGTGATGCACATTCAGCACCTCGAGCCGGTAATAATGCAAATAGACACTTATGAGTACTTGTCTTGAATAAGTCCTCCTGTACTTGACAGCAAGTGGCTTGTAAATCATGTTGTTGTACAAGACACAGCTCCATGCAGAGATACGCAGCAGTGTGTGTACGAGTAGTTCCGTTTCAGCCAAACCCACCATACAAAACATCACAATCAGCCAACTAACAACTGCTTAAGCTCCGTGAAGCACACTTCATTCAACCAATGGATGTAAAGTCATGTAATACGCGCATTAAACAGACATGGGTGTTTATTTTTCTTGTCTTTAAAAAAATTCTATTTATGTGTTAAATGGAGGCTTACAGATTTGTCTCGTCGACCTCTCCTTGCAGGTTGGGTTCTACCACTTTGCTCACTCGTTCGTTCGAGGGAACTGGAGGAATGAAGCAGAGAGTTCTTTTGCTCTTCTGGCTAAATCGTGCCACGACATCGACCTCATACACCACTGGGCCGGACCGCGCAGGTGAACCATCAAGCATCAACGAGCAACTCCAAGCTGGTCTGATGCTCAGAGTTAAGGTCACACCTTAGTTGGACCCCCGTCTGTGTGTTTGCAGGCCGACGAGGCGGTTTCCTGTCAGCTTGTTTGTGTGTTTTTTTTAACGATAACTAACTTTGCTGAACGTACTCGGCAGGTGTGTGAAAGTGTCGTCATTTGGATCCGTCAGCCACTTTGGAAAAGAAAACAAGGTTCGTGGCCGCCTAATAAAGAGAAGTTACCAAACTGACATTTTGTACGCTAAGCGTGAAAATGAAATATGAGACAGGAGAGCATTCTTTGTCAGCCGACAGGTGCCGGAAGTCGCTGTCTGGACTGTTCGATTGAAGGAGACTGTCCATACTCGGCATCCAAAATCTACTTGAATAGAGTGAAACAGGTTGACATTGCAACGCATTATTGAAACAATTATCAGCTCCCAATACATGATTTCATATATCATTTCTGTGTGTGTGTGTGTGTGTGCTAGGGCCACACTGGCTGGCCTGTATCGGTCATATGTCCAAACTCGCTCCCGGACATCGAGTCAGTAACTGAAGCCTTGAGGACCGGACCCTATGGCCGCTGTGTCTACGAGTGTGACAACGACGTCTGCAGTAACCAGGTTAGAAGACACTGGTATTGTCACGACGCGCTCTTCAATCCTTCTCTCGCCCAGTTAGTCTGTTTGGTTTCTCCTAGGTTGTCAACATGGAGTTTGAAGGGGGTCTGACGGCGGCCTTTTCCATGGTGGCGTTCACTGAGGAGATCTGCAAGCGGAAAACAACTATCTACGGCAGCAAGGTAGCGGATCGTGCATTGCCGAAACAAAAGATCGAAAGATGAAGAAATGATAATAAAAAAGCTAGCGGGAGAAAAAGCTCAATCAGCTAACTGGCTCACGGAAATAGAAGTGATTCTTAGTACGTTGTAGACATACAGCGGTGATAATTCAAAAATCAAAGTGGTGTTGAACTGTATTGCCAAAGGAAGTGGACACCCACAAAATATACCAATAAGTGATTGTTTAAGAGGCTATTCCAGAATTACAGACGTTAGTTAATATGCTGCTCTGAGAAAAAGCTTTCAGTCCTCAGGGAAGTGTTCTGACAAAATCCAATTATCTACAAGGTGTGTTCACCAAATTAGAAAAAGAGCATTTCATTGGCGAACACAATGACATTGTGAGGTACGGGTCGAGATGCCAACGTATTGAACTGTGTCTCTGCAGGGGGAGCTGTCATGTGACGGTCATGAGGTGCACGTGTTTGACTTTCTGAGCCAACGATCCACAAAGCACAAGGCCCACAATGACTCCCCCAAGGTCTTTGGCATGAGTGGACATGGTGGAGCAGACTACCACCTAATGGCTGCCTTCATTTCTGCCGTGGCTGTAAGTGCTTATGAATACTTTCCTTTTCATGAACAGTGTTGATTTGAATCTTTGCCTTTTATTGACACATGACCAGGCACGTGCAGTTGTTTGCCACCTTAATTACTATATATTAACTACTTTGTCTCTTCCAGCACCTGTGGAAGAGGCACCAACATTACATTTAGGTACAGAAGGTGAACTGTGATGGCTGACGTGTGCGTTTGTTCTTTTCGGTGCAGAACAACGATCCATCCCACATCCGCTCGGGTCCTGAAGAGACACTGCTGAGCCATTTGCTGGTGTTTGAAGCTGAGCGATCTCGACTGGAGAGCAGGGTGGTGCACTGCGGGGACATCGGCAAAAGACGGATGACTGACAAACACGTTGACATTAAAACGATCTAAACCTCCACAGTCAAACACTGCAATGAGGCGTGGCACAAGTTCACTGAGGAAGACGCTTTCCAAAATACACATTTAAGCGTTAATTATACTACACTTTTTATTTTACAAATAAATTTATAAATTGAATTTCCATATTTAAATGTCAACCAGGATTATCTGAATGTAAGTAATCAACTGGTGGTATCAGTTAGTGAAGTATTCAACATTATCGACTGTAGGGTCAAAACAACACAAAATGAAGGGAACAGGGAAAAAGAGAGATCCACAATTTGCTCTTACAAACCTTATGTCAACAAAATGAAAGAAGAAATTCATGTAGCTTTATCCAATGTTCAGATTTCTGTGCTAGAGTTTAACCAAAATGAGCATGTTTTTATTAGAATCAGTAATTATGGTACCGAATGTCTTAATGTGAATTTCATGTTTATAGCTGTGATCTTTAAACCAATCAAACGAGGACCAAAACGTGGAGTGCAAAGAGGCTGACTTAGTACTGCTCAGATTTTATTTGTGTGTAGTTAGTTGGTTTTGTGTGAATGAGTGAGGTGAAATGGGATGAGTGAATGAACCGGTTAGGTTTTTCAATGTGAAGTGCTTAGCCAAGAATCTGATCATTTGTTGTTAAGCATGTCATATTGTTACCATTTGATTAAGTCGAGTTCATGTAAAGTTGTCATATGATTTATGATTTATGCAGAATTGATCTCAGGACATGCATGAATGTTTGTTGCCAGCTGAGAACTCGCTGAACAGCCCCTTGAACAACGCTCACTTGATTATATATATATATATCAAATTTGTAACGACTACTGACTGAGAACAAATGCACATAAAAATCAAGCGGGGATTGCCTCTATAATAACTCTCACATTGAAGCGCCTCGTCATCTAAACCCATACAGAGATTAGAAAGTTAAAGCTCAGCACAAACTTGTTTCCGGAGGCTCAGTTTGCAGAAGTTTATGGCGGCTCCAAGGAGCCGCATCGACTGCCGACCTCAGGTCAGTCTGACCGTCTTCCTCCTCCTTTTAGTCGTATCTGCAGGGGCGTATAATACAACTAATGAAATAAGCTAATGAGATGATGAGAAGATATAGAATGACGATTTGGCTTAGCTGGCCTTGATGGCCCAGCGCTGCTGTAGCGTAAACACGGAAGGGTTGATCATCTGCATGTAGGCCACCAGACACTCCTCACACCAGTGCTGTAATCAACCACTTGAACTGACCAGATACATATTTTGATTTCTTCATTTTGAATCCAATTGAGAAATCCTTTCAGTAACGCTCACCCTCTTTTGGACGAGTGTCAGGAGGTCCTCTCTGCTCACTGGCTCCTTTGCATCAATCAGTAACGACTCCACCAAGTCCGGGTCATCGCTGAAGCTTCACAGAGATAATTCATGTCAATCAATATGAGCATTTTTATTCCAAGTGTACATCAGCAGGGAAGCTGACAAGTATAATAATGATTATGGTATCGTCAACACTCCAACCGTGACTGATTATTTTACATCATTGATCTTTTAAGACCATCACACTTAACAAGATATTTAATGGTGATCTTTTAAACCTACAGTGGTGCAGGCATCCCAGCAGCAGTTGGTTGGTGGTCAGCTGGGGGCGACGTCCCCAGAAGCTGCTCAGCGATGGTAGTGAGACTGTCAATGTCCTGGAGAGGAGAACGTTTATTAACAGAAACAGCCATTTCCATCAGTTTCTGTCCCCCATGTTCCATTTACAATTTCCTCTCTCCGATATCACGTTACCAAATTACCTCCATGGCCTTTACACTGTTTCACAGGGCTCAGAGTCAGCGGATGAGCAGAACATGCAGTTGTAGAGTGAAGAAACAAAATCGTAAAAGCATTCCAAGTAGCCATAAACTGCCTTTCAGCGTGAGCCTGAGCTGGGAGCGCGGGGGAGGGCCATCGCTGCTGTTGCGCAATAGTGGAGCGGGTTGATGACGGGCAGAGAACAGGAAGTCAGGTAGGGTGTGTGGTTTAAACAGGGACGGGCTGACGAAAAAGGACAAGTGGAAAGAAGGAGGACTTGAAGGCAGCGCATAGCCCGGAGATTTCTGGAAATCGCCAGACCTCTTGTGGGAAACTTTACGGCTGACTGTATCAGTCTGTTGGGTGAAACACATCGGGCCTCCATTCGATCGAATACTAGTTTCACTTTTTTTTGTTAATAATAAACCTCCTTTGATTTTAATACAACCATCTATTTACTTTTGGGCCAGAGGGATCTGCTTCACGAAGAGGTCCAACACGCGACAGTGGCTGGCTGAACGCTCTCAACAGATGTTGGTGTGTACTGGCTCTTGTGACAGTGTCTCCGCTCTCTCATGTCTCTCAAGTATTTCATATCCACGTACCCACGGGTAGAGGCTTTCCTGGGAGTGAATGAGAGTGCAGAGGCTCGCTGACTCTCTTCTCCACCCTTATCAGGTACTCCACGGTGTTTTCCTTTTGGACTCCGTCAGAGGAGCCCAACTGCTCGCTGGTCCCAGAGCCGTCACCGCTGATCCGAAGCAAGGATTCAACACCTGCAAGAGCGGTTGTGAGATATATAAACAGTGACATTATTTCTACAAGACTGATGTTATTACGTAGAATTCTGGATCGGAATTTAAAAAAACAACTTTAACAGGAAAAGATCGAATTGAAAGGGAGGTGAACAAAGGAATAATTATTCCAGTAATGTCTACGTTCTTGACTGTGCAAATGTCTGAACCCTGTCATACAGTTTGCCATGTTTCTGTTGCTGCCATTCAAAAGGATGGCATGCAGGTCTGTCCTTAGTTGTACCTTCATTGAGCTGGTCCAGGAGCATTTCAATGAACTCAACACGCTGTCGATAACCTGCCAGATGTTGCTCAGCTGTCTCTTGCTCGACGGAAGCTTTCTTCCAAAGTGCGTCACGCTGCTCCTCAGCCACAAAGGCCTTTCAGTCAGAGACATAATGAAAAACAAACACCAGTCACAATAACATTTTCCTCTTCTTTATCTCCCTCTCTTCTCCAACCAACACACCAACCTGGGAGATCTTCCTCTGCATGGCCTCTTCTTCAGTGTGTTGATAGTTGACAAAATTCAGCAGCCTGTATTTCTGCTCCTCCACTAATGGAAATCATGTTTGATTTTGATTGCCAATGACAATGCCAAACTGCCGTCGCCTCACTGGTTTTCAATTGGGACTTACTATCTATAAAGTTCCTGACCAGTTCTTCCAGGTTGACCTCTTTGGTTTTTGTGAGGATCTTTTTGATAGCTTCCTCAAAGTAGCCCGGTGCCGATTCCTTATAGACTCTAGTTGCTTGTGCTTCACTGTGGGGACAAATGAAGGTAAACGTATACACCTCGAGCTCCTTAACTCGTCTATCATGCCAATAGGGGACTTGTGTGGCCAACTTGCTGTCTATAAGGAACGATGTTCCCTGTGCAGTCTTAGTTTATTTCTATTTAGTTTTTTTCTCCTCTGTCAGGATTTAACTAGTCAAGCAGTGACATCTTTCAAACACAAGGTGTCACTCCTACACGTGGTGAGAACATAAACACATGGAGAGACAGTGATTTGTAGTGTAAAACAGTCAATGATTTATGACAAGAAAATTCCCAAATACTAGCTTCAAGCTCTGGTCTAGCAGCCATTGAAATAATGCTAAAGTCTATCGGAACATCAGGATGAAAGAACTTTGTACTCTGAAACGAAATAATATTTTGACACACGTCAAATGCGTGACACTGTTTGGTCACAGGAGAGTAAGTGCTAAAACTAATCATGTGTTCAAAGCACGAGATTAATAGCCACCTTTTCTGTGGTCGGTGTCTTGGTTGTTGCGAACAAACGCCTTTCTACCAAGGAAAACCTCAAAGTTAAAGAAATAATAGATTTAGACATAGACAAACAAAAAGTTATACACAGTGGATGTAGTGCTTCAGTACATTATATATATATATTTTAGTCTGTAATTTTTTCCTTTAATAATAAACATAAAGACGACATCCATCATGCAGGATAATAAGGTAACTATCTATCCATCCACTTTATTGTAAACACATCTAAGATAGCTATGGCTTCTATAGTTAGCTATAGAAAATATAAGTTGGCTGAATCAAGTCTGCGCTTATGCATTCCTAGGTGGTTTTCACTTGATGATGTCCCTCCATTAGGCCATAAGATATAGATACATTTAAGAAAGGTTGCTAATAAAACTAAGAGAGCGTGCTCAGCTGAATAGAAGTGTGAATGCTTTACCCGAATCATCTTAGTGACTATCAAAATAAGATCATTTTCTTAACTTACTTGACATAATAACATTAGAAACCTGCACTCAGACCTAACAATTATGCACAGTGGGTCATAGGAAATTAAACTACATTTAGAGAGCTGCAGAACGATTTACACGGCGTGGAAAGCCTCATTGCATTTAGTCCTGAAATTCAACATTTTCTTGTCATCGGCATCCAGCTCCTGGATGAGATAATACACAGTATCCGTTTACAATATCAAAATACTATTCCCCAAAACTCTCTAGCTTTGGGAATGGTGAGGACCCGGAGAGAACCCACGCAGACACAGGGAGAACATGCAGACTCCACACAGAAAGGCCACTCCGCTTCCCCTCACACCCTGAAGCATTGTGCTGACCAGCTGTCTCCGGTGTTCACTGACATCTTCAACACCTCCCTGGAGACATGCCACGTACCAGCCTGCTTCAAGGCCTCCACCATCATCCCTGTTCCCAAGAAGCCCAGGATCACAGGACTCAATGACTACAGGCCTGTCGCCCTGACCTCTGTAGTCATGAAGTCTTTTGAACGGCTAGTCCTGACCCACCTGAAGTCCCTCACCGACCCCCTCCTGGACCCCCTGCAGTTCGCCTACAGAGCCAACAGGTCTGTGGACGATGCTGTCAACATGGCCCTCCACTACATCCTCCATCATCTGGACTCCCCAGGAACCTACGCCAGGATCCTGTTTGTGGACTTCAGCTCTGCCTTCAACACCATCATACCGTCTCTGCTACAGGACAAACTCTCCCAGCTGCACGTGCCCGACTCCACCTGCAAGTGGATCACAGACTTCCTGTCTGACAGGAAGCAGCACGTGAAGCTGGGGAAACATATCTCAGCCTCTCGGACCATCAGCACCGGTTCCCCCCAAGGCTGCGTTCTTTCCCCTCTGCTCTTCTCTCTGTACACCAACAGCTGCACCTCCAGTTACCAGTCCGTCAAGCTCCTGAAGTTTGCGGATGACACCACCCTCATTGGACTGATCTCTGGTGGGGATGAGTCCGCCTACAAGTGGGAGTCTGACCATCTGGTGTCCTGGTGCAGCCACAACAACCTGGAGCTCAACGCTCTAAAGACAGTGGAGATGGTTGTGGATTTCCGGCGGAACAGAGCCCCACCCTCCCCCATCACCCTGTGCGACTCCCCCGTCACTATGGTGGATTCCTTCCGTTTCCTGGGCTCCATCATCACCCAGGACCTCAAGTGGGAGCTGAACATCAGCTCCATCACAAAGAAGGCTCAGCAGAGGTTGTTCTTCCTGAGGCAGCTGAAGAAATTCAACCTGCCAAAGACGATGATGATCCACTTCTACACGGCCATCATCGAGTCCATCCTCTGCTCCTCCATCACCATCTGGTACGCTGCAGCCACAGCCAAGGACAAGGGCAGGCTGCAGCGTGTCATCCGCTCTGCAGAGAGGGTGATCGGCTGCAATCTGCCGTCCCTGCAGGACTTGTTCGCTTCCAGGTCTCTGAAGCGAGCTAAAAAGATCGTGGCCGACCCCTCTCACCCCGGACATAAACTGTTTGTGCCCCTTCCATTTGGCAGGAGGCTGAGGTCCATCAGGACTAAGACCTCCCGCCACACAAACAGTTTCTTCCCGTCGGCAGTCAGGCTCATCAACAGAGCCCGGTCCCCCACTGTCTGACTATAACATTCCACCGGTCACTCCCCTGCACACTGCACATGTCACTTTAACTGTCATTTATCACTTTGTCGTCACTCGTCACTTTGTTACTTGTTCGTGCACTTTATGCTTAATATTTTTTAACTTTTTAAAATATTTTAAATTTTTAACTTTAACTTTATTCCCTTGTTTTATACTAACCCATAGCCTTATTCACAATTTTTTTTACTAACCCATTGCATTAGCATTTCATCTTACTTTATTTTATTACTTGCAATGCTGTCTTGTTGTCTATTGTTACACTGTCTACTGTCATGCACCATCCGCCAAGACAAATTCCTTGTATGTTTGATATATTTTGGCAATAAATGTTTCCTGATTCCTGATTCCTGAGGCGGAGTCGAACCCAGGACCTTCTTGCTGTGAAGCGACAGTGCTAACCACCACACCACTGTGCCGCCCAATCCAGTTTTTGATTAAGGTATTTATTATGTTAAACATAGCGGTCAAGTCCCATCACATTGCTTTTACAAAACTACAACCATGGCTAACTTAACTTAACGTTACGTGTGATGTAATGTTGAGTTAAGTGTGAAAAACGAAGCATGAGAATTTGCCCCCCGGCAGCAGACGATCGCAGACGCATGTTAAGTTAACTTACATAAGTCTGAAGATAAGAATCAAGTTCAAATTCATAATCTTCTGAGAAATGACAGTTGCTCAGTGAAACAACCAAGTTAACGTTAGCTGGTAGTGAACAAAGTTGAGCTTATTTAACTAACTTTAGAAATACTAGTTCACACCATCCATCAACTGACATTGATGGATTGAACTGACGTTACTCTGCTAGCGTTAGCTAACAGTAGTTAACATACGCTGATGTTAACGTTAATTTGTTACTTTGGCTGTGTTAACATTCGCTCTATAGTGAAATTTGAGTTATTCAGAAGAAATCCGCTACGTATCAATACATTCTTATACATGTTATGTTGACTAGGTATGTAATACCACTTACATTTAGCTGGCGGTCTGATAAAACTCATAGAGCAGCTAGCTAACGCTACATATTCCAGTACAACGGTAGCTGCTAACGTTAGCTAGTCTAAATAAATTAAATATACAAATTAAATGACTATTAATTAACTTTAAATGAAAAATGCTGTTTTATAACCATAATATGTATGATACTATTGGGACAGTTTAACAGTACAATCGACCCAAGTCGAGTAATGTCAGATGACGAGATTCTTATTGACATTGGCATTAAAATAATTGTGCATGGCTTTGGCCCGTTACTGTGTTCTTTTTCAATTTTTATTTTTTACAACCTTTATTGTTGTTGTATTGTTATATCAATAAAACAAGTAAGTAATGCTGGTTTTTACTGTTTGCTAAGTATTTCTTAGTATGCAGCATTACTCATTTGCAACACACTCCGGTAAAACAGCTCTGCAATTGTCAGTAAATCACATTCCATCATGGAGGGAGGTGTCCTTCTTAATTAACCTCTGAACGTAATAATGTCAACAACGCCACACCATTTATGGACCTTGCAACATATCCAGGGTGACTAATTCTAGAGTGTGTCCCAGAGTCCATTCTACCAGATGGATCACCTTGCGTTGATGGTTGGACTGACACAGTTGTAAGACTACTGTGGTAAGAAGGGTGTGTAAAGAAAACTGTCCACATGACGAAAGGATTGAATCACAGAAACTTTTGACCTGGTGCCAGGATGGGATTACGGCACTCCTTCAGGCAATGCTTCGTTTTCTATTTTTGAGTGCTTTCTGAACCTACCACGATCATATAGCGTTTTACAGAATGAAGGCCAAATAATTCATGTTAACATCCAGAGTATTGTTTCTTTTTTTTCTCAGTGTTAAAAAGATCGATCTGGAGGCGTGACACGTACAGATCCGACTGACACGCACAATACGCCAGAAAGACTGGCGACGTGCTCTTGGAGACAAGTTTGCAAACTGAGTCAGCAGCTGCATTTTTGAATGACTCAACCAGTCCACCACAGAGCCCTTTCGTTTCTGTGAGCCCTGCCCTCAACCCACCCTCACACACTCAGGCGAGCACAGCCTGCGTTTACGCAGAGCCCTACCTCACTACAGCATCACTTCCTAGCAGCGCTTCAAATAGCCTGTAGCAATAAGGAAAGATTTTCCAAAGAGATAAATCAACACAGTTGGCAGATCGCATTGAAGTTAGAAGTGCAGATAATCCCCTAATCCCCCGATTCATTTGCCGCATTGTGTTGCGTTGCCAGGAAGAGACTCGCACATCTGCTTTGCCTTCTTGGGGACTTGTCCGCCGGAGGACTTTTACAATGCCACACTGGCTCATTCTGATGAACCCTGAGACATCTACGACCAGGATGGCGGGGGAGAGCGAGGAAGGGAGCAATAAACTGTGAAACATGGAGCGGTCTGACTCCGCCGGTGACTCAACAGGAAATGATGGAACAGGAGTAAGCTACGTGAGCAGGGTGGGAGTGAGAGGAGAGATAAAGTGAGGGAGAGAGAAAGATTGACGCTGTCATGCCTCGGAACTCTGAGCTATGTTGCGAAGCGAGGCACTTTTAGCGGACACCGTACCAAGGTTGGCTGAAGAAACGCGTAAACTGTCAGAACACAGCTGGCCCCGATCATTCCAATAGCAGCCGTGAGGTGGACGTGCACGTGGTGAACTAACCAGCGGTGGAACAACAACATTACCAAACTCGGCTATTTCCTGTTGCCCGGCGGAAAGATGCCTCTGTTTGTCGTGTGGTGGTTCAAAAAGACTTTGCCCTCAGAACAAGCTGTGACCACTGTGTAAACAAGCAAATATTGACATGTCTTTCTGTCACTACCTCGTGCAAACAAATAACATGTTTTGCCATGTTTTTACATTTCTCCGTCCTCACTTCAGCATAATTTTATAATGAACCAGAGACCAACTTCACGGGGGTGCAGAAGGCCTCCTGCTGGGCCCGTGGACACCCTCTGCCCACACTGAGGCCTGAAATCACAGGAAGGGAAGCTTCCCCGGCCTGCAGTGCTGCATCCTGCGCAAAGAATCACTCTTTTCAAGCTTGAGTCTCTGCTATTCATTGAGACTGTCACCGTGAAATCAGATGTCACAGGGATTAAATCACTGCAATCTTTGCCACTTCCCCTCGCTGCCCATTGACTGATCTGTTTTTTGTTGTTGTTGTTGTTAGCCTGGGGGGAAAAGAGCAGTTAGATCTCTGGACCTTTATGAATTTAGCGCCACTTCACCTAAAGCTGAGTGCTGGTGTGCGCTTGTGCGTTTTCCTGTAGTCCATCAGTTTGTTCACAGCGCACACTGGCAGCCTGTAATGCTATTTGTATAATTTCTACCAATCAGTTTAACATCTGATCACAATAGCTTTCACAGAGAGTGTTTTCTTTTGGTGCAGTTCCTGGACGACCCAACAATCAAAGGCAGCACAAGCATCGTTCTTCGGGTCCATCCTGCTCGTAGTCCAGCTGGCTGTTGGTTCTTGAATAACTGAGCGTGTCCTCACAGGACGAGGTCGAAGGCCGTGATGCGGAGCCCACTCAGACATTTGAGGAGCCCGAATCCTCCCTGACGCCTCCAACTGGTCAGAACCAACCGCAGATCCGTCAAGTTAAAAAAGATTAAAAGAAGGCCGTGTTTTTGAAATCACACAAAACTCACAGCTGTGATGAAAGTCTGACTGAGTGTTACTGGTTCAGAACTTATCTAAACCTATTTATCCCTTACTCCTAAAACTACTTCAAAAAATGTACCGACGTAAATCTCCGTATGACTGTTACTTGTCGGGCTGAAGGAAGTAGTGGGTGTTAACAAAGAAGTTTATTATTTTCCATGAGAACTAAGATTACTTCTTAGTCATTCCGGAGCCGTATGACGATGGCCGCTGTTTCCGCTCTGTCGCCTGACCACAGACTTTACTGATATACTGCAGAACTGGACACGTTTGACACATTTTCACATATAACAGCTATAACAGAGACAGATTGCTGTAATAGTCTCTCTTCAAAGTTCACATCTAATTCATCTTAATTGTCACAACCTTTGACAACTAAAAGGAATGTGAGACTTGAACTTAAGAGAAGGGGGATCGTGACTGAAAACAGCAGCAGGCTTGTGTGTCTGCAGTCTGTAACGGGGCTCTAATTACTATTACATGTTTGTACACAGCTGGTTACTCTATAAGAGAATTCCCCGTGTTACCATGTCAGCACATCAACCTACACAAATGCATTTACCATAGAACACGTATGTTAACACCTTACTTTTTTTTCCTATTCCAGCTTGAGACGTTGTTAAGTAGTGGTCAGACGTTCATCTTCTGAGAAATGTTTCATTTCCGGGGTTTTCTGCTTTCATCTTTCCCAGCTTCATATTTTACGTGTTTTTATCAGCTTCTACCAAATGTTTCTTGTCTTCAATGGAATTGAACTCATAAAAAGTTTAGCTTTGATGATCTGTCTTTAATTTTGCAGCAGCATGAGGGAGTTCCTTCAGAGCGATCCATCACATCTTTGAAGGGGCGGGAGAGGTAGGGGGGGGTTGTTACAGATGTGGGAGCCGGGCTTCTGACTGCAGTGACAGCTGTGAGGGACGGAGGCCTCTCAAAGCAGGAAATGACTTGACCTCCCCTGTGGGAGACGAGCCCACCCCGAGAACAACCCCCACAGCTTTGAGCATCCTGGGTCACCACGAGCGCCCACGGAGGCCCCCGGAGCAACACTACAGACGATGTGCCGGCGCCAGTGGCAAAAAGTTTAAATGTGCACGGCTCCGCTTCAGCAAATACGACAGACACGACAGAACAGAACCTGGAGTCACCAAGACCTTCAAAGGGATTGACGTTATTCATACGTTATGCACCATCAACTTTCAAAGACAAAGCCTTACATTTGTTGGCCGAAGCGTCACCTTTAAGTCACACTGGGATTGCTTGGGATATCAGTCACTACATTGCACCACAGGAAGTGGACCAAATGGCGTATTTGCTAAAAAAGCATGAGTATCCCGTTGAGCAAACAAATCTTGGTGGAAGAGGGACAGTTTGATTGCAGCAATAGACGTGCACGTGGTGTATTTATTTTGTGGGTTTGTAATTTACAGGTAGGTATATAGGTATAAGGCACTCCTTATTCTATATATGAAGCCCTAGAAGGACTTTAATGGAGTATTAAAACAGTGGGAAAATTTAACACTAGGATAGAAGGAGGGGAGGTCACGTGGTCATTCGGCATCTCTTTTTATGGTGAGATTATTTTATTCAGCACTTTACAAAATTGAATGTGTGTGTTTGCCTGACGATTTATTTGGACCTTTACGACAGTAAAAATATCATGTAGCAGTTTGGAGGAAGACCGCAGGATCATTGTGTGTTCTGGACAGAATGACGCGCACTCACTTCCCGGTTGTTTTCCAGTAAATGGCCTCCCGTATTGTCTCGTATTGTCCTCCAGCTTCTCAGCCGTGGTGAGAACAAACACAGTGCTCTCCTGTGTGACATCCAAGTCCAATTCCACCATAACTGTAACAAAACCTAGTTAGTTAGGCTACTAAGCTTTTTTAATAAAGTCGAATAGACTTGTGGAACATTCAATAGTATTGAATTTATGTTTTTAATTATTGAGGAGCATCTCTGTTGTGTTTGTCTTTTCCACCCTAACTGGGCAGCCAATCCTGTACGTGTTCTTCTCTATCAAATTGTATTTTGTCCTCACGGCAAAAGCCACCCACACACTCAATGACTCCCACACAGGTCAGTCCTAAACTGTTTACTGCCCTATGAAAAGCAGCTTCCCTAACAGGCAGCACATGAGGCAGATACAATCATATTGTCTGACTGACTTTTAGCTCCAACACTTTGTTCCAAAACTGTAATTCTGACTGTCAGATTAATGAACATGCATGTTTCAAGGAAAAATGGAATGGTAATTCTACTGAAACCCCTCAATAATATTACCATTTTGTGATGTTTACAGACTTGACGTAGTAACGTCTATAATGTCTATTGTAGATTTCCAAAACTGGAAATGAGGAGGAACTGAGGACTAACACGAGAACAGCTGCACCTGTAGTGGGTTTCTGTCTGCGTTTTTGGGGTCTATCTGGCCCATGTTTTGAACTGGAAAACAATCAGACTGACAACTCCTCTATTTTACAGCGGCGGAGGATATTTTCAGATGCTAAACTCCATTCACAATCCTGGATGTTGAGCAAAAACATCGCAGCAAATCAAATCAAAGTGTTGCTGGTGTATTTCTGTGATGGTGCTTGATGATGTACAAGCAGCATTTTAATATTGGAGCTGGTAAGAACCTTTAACGGATTTAAATGCTTCATAGCATTACAAATAATTATTATTATACAATGTACCATCTTACACACATAGTTATTTTCCGCTTCTTCTGGTCTATAAAGCCGTAAACTATACTCTTCCTTGTGATGTTGCCTGATGTTTTCTTGGTGAAGCGCGCTGTTCTCTCCCCCCTTTAAGGCGCTCGCTGCTGGGAGGAGTCTCGGCGAGGTTGTCGGGGGGCTGGAAGGATTTATAAGGAGATGTGGAAACGCGCGTCACGCGGACCGAACGAGTTTCACCTCCTCCCGGGGATGTTGACAAAGGAGGGACATCGCACATGGTTCAGTTTGGGACCGAGAGACACGACCCGAAGCAGCCGAGCGATCTCACCACGCTGACCAGGAACAGGTCCACCGACCAGGCCTCCCGCGATGCGCGAACGCCGTTTTGATGGTAAGACTTTCCTCCCGAAAAGTGACTTGATACGAACCGGACTTTTAACACTACTTACACTTGGTAACCCGCGGCTGTCTTTGAGCCCGCTGATCGGATCGTATGAGCCGCCGGGACCGCGTCGCTGTTTCCCTGTGAACTGTGTGACCGACTCGTCTCTTCCGTCGTGGTTTGTTTGTCTTCGTTTTTGATGAAATCCCATCTGGGGACGAGGGAGTCCCGACCGGCGCGGCCCCTCACCGCGCGCCCGCTAGAGGGCGCTGACGTCACGGCCAATGAATTAACACATTAATCACGTTTTCATTTCAATTCTAGTGATCACATACACACGCGCGCGCACGTATATGCCTGTGCGGTAACTGGATAGCGTATCTATATTGATCCATATAAATGAACTATAGAATATATATTGTGATTAGTAATTATTGAGGATCATCTCTGTTGTATTTGTCGTATAAGTATAGCTATTAATAATCAGTACAGTGTCACAGCCTAACAAACTGCTAAACAATATCAACTATAAGAATTCAAAGATATTACTTGAAAAAAGGCCTTTCTGTCAGAACGTGTACATTGTATATTCTGTATTGTGTATTGGTAATTTCAGTGAGAAGCGTATATTGGCCAGGCGTGCTGTGCTATTTATCTAGGAATGAAAAGATTATACCCATTTAGTTTTTTACATAGGCCTCTTACATATGACCCATCTACAAACCAATACATATCGAGTCTGTAAGTGTGGTTGTTGCTAAACTATTAAACAATATTATAATCCTCTTTCTATAAAACTTTATGAAGGTCCCAGTCACCAATTTAAATATTTTCTTTAAAAAAACACTGCCGTTTTTTAATTTAGATTATTTGATTAAATACACTTTCATCTAGGCTGCAAAAGCTTCTGTAACATGTTCAGTTATTTCTCTGTATTCCGCTCCATTGGAAGCATTTGGTGAGATATCTGTCCAGCCTACTAAGCGTAAGTGTAACTTGGCCAGCAGAATTAACAAAAGCTATATCAGGTGATGTAAAGCACATACTTTATCCCAGCACATAAATTAAGTTATCTGTAAAGGTCCAGTCGGTGAATGGCCTATTGCCTGAAAGCAGTGAGCTAAAGACGGCACATCCAGGCTCCTGCATGACATGGACAAATTGTTCTTCGGGGTCTGGCCAGTGCCAGTCAAACAGTGTGTGGGACAGGCCCATACCTTGGCCCTGTCAGCCTGTCTCCATGGCGTGTCCTCGGCTCTAACCTCATGGGAGAGTTCGCTTGTATTTTCAGGCTTGCTTCACTGCGCACCAAAGTGACACAAAGCCCCATTCATGCCTGAGAGTGGCTCCATTCATGGACACTGAGTACTCGCCGGTAGAATTCATAATTGTTCAGCGTCTTCCATCTCCGAGGATCACTGGCGGAAATGACGCAACAGTCGGTTGTTTTAAGGACAACATGAATATTCAAACGAAGCCATGGGTCACTGTTTTGTTTGTGGTGGGTTTTGTGTTGCATTATGCATGCGCTGCATCGTTTTGCGTCCCACGTGGACCGCAGGCACGTTGGCGACATGAAACAGAGCAGGACTTTGAAGAATGTCATAGTAAAAATTGAGACCCGAGCCGCCTTCCGGGCGAGTAAGAGGGAGGACGGAGGTAACAGATTAGTGGTTTGCTGGAGAACTGCTGCATGGTTCAATTCCAGAAGCAAGAGCATACGTTTATAGTGTATTTTCTTTTCAGTGTTTGTATTTCATTTTGAAATATAGCGGTTTACTGTGATTTCAAGCATTTCAATTTTATGAATGTTAAGCAAGAAGTGCTTAGGACGGGTTGAATGCCGGGTGCTAAATGTCCCTTATGTAACTGTGTATGACAATTGACAAAGGGCCACCGGACTTTGAGGTTTTGAGCAGCACCCCTGCTGGATTCTGTAAGGTAATGAATACTTCGCGTGTTGACTGTGCAACGGGGTCGAGTGTCGCTGACCCAGGGGTATCCCTCGGTTTTAAACCAAATGGTCTCTTAAACAAAATCTTTGACCCTTGACCTTGTGAGTAAAGCTCTCAAATCATTCAGTGTTTGTGACAGGTCTTTTTTTTTAGCTTTTAAAATTCAATAAAAAATGTAACATCACTCTGCAGATCGTGACATATTTCAGGAAATTGCTGATATTGTGCGTGTGTCTCGGCGGTGGAGTCTGTCATGCAGTATCGTAGGAATGCTGCACAATTAGTGCCTGTTGTAAGGGCGGATACTGCAGGGTTTCATGGTCGCAGAGAAGGAGGAGGGCGCGGAGTCCTGCTGCCCTCCCACATCTGACCCAGAGGTTGCGCAATAGCCTGCTCATCAGACAAATGGCTTTCAGGTGAAATCACAGAGAGATGCACATGGCAGCTGCCCGAGCAGACCAAAGTATTTGACCAGGCTTGTGTTACTGCAGTTAACACAACAGGGATGTGCTGTATTGTTAGTATAATGATTGTTACCAGCCAGTAAATATTTGTTAAAGAAAGTCTACCTGATCTTTCGCCTGCCTGGTAGGACGAGTGCGTGCTCTGGTTGCGCTCCAGATGTGCACTGTTTATATGCCCTGTTCACACTTATGGAGGTGTGACCGGAACAAATGAAAGGAGTGATGTAATGCAAAAGCCAAATGTAGAAGTGGTTAAAGCCTAATTCCCTCCTGACGCATCTGCTACGACTAAACGGGAATGAACACTTGTACTCTTACTCATGGAAATGAGCAGGTGAATTCTCTAATACTGAATTTTCTGTTTTGTCATCCGACAGCTTTCTACTGGCTAGAATGAAGCGATGATGGGTTTGACGGAGCTGACTTGTGTTCAGATACTAAACAGGCCTAAGTGCATTTTAAGAACACAATTTCTTCCACAAAATGGCTGGAAGTGAGAATAACTACTGGACACAACATGACCTGAACAGGTACGCAGACGCCGCTCTCAGTAGTGATGGACATGTAATCATTGTTATTATAGTAGTGTGACAATACTTTAACTTTAACTATAACGTTAAACAAATATCAAGAGTATATTTCCGGCACTATTCATATTAAATACTTCCTTATATGTCTGTCATGTAAATCCATCATATTCGCTCTATTGTTTGACACTTCACACCGGAGAAGGAAACTCGCTAAAGAATCACGCTATCAGGGTCGACAGATAGGAGATGGGTTTTTTAACATACAAAAGAAAATGGTTGAGTTACATAATGTACAAACGTGAAGGAGAGCAGAAAATATCTTCCTTTTAAGCATATGTCATGCTTGTTTTTTTAACATACATAATGACTTACTCATGACAGCTTTTGTGTAGGAATGATTTACACACACATACGCAGCTTTGTACATTTCTCAACCTCTCTTGTGTTGCAGAGAGGGTTTTGGCCTGAGTGTTGACATGGATCAAAACCCGACGGAGCTTCAACGGCAACAAATGGCCAAAGAACTTAACTGTGAGTCTTTTACTTGCTATATATACCCTGTAAGTTGTTATAAAATGACTACACATCATAAAGAAAAACTACAGATTGACAACAAGCAACCGGTTCAATCGGATGCGTGTGACACTGGTCTCAATCCTCTGTGAATTTGAAAGAATCTTGGTTTTAATTTCCCAGGGAAAATTGTTATAATGTTATTAGTCTATAATGGTTGATAATTGGTGCATGAATTGCTATGACAACCTGTTTAGATTTATGTGACTTACGCTTACCTGTTAAACCTTGAGATAGAAAGGAACAAATCTAAGGGTCATACATACAGATATAGATACAATATATGAATCATACATATCATATCATATAGATCTATATTATGAAGCATGTCTTGCCTGGACCAACCGCAGTTTAAACCCGGTTTATGTAGTAAAAACAGCGTTTTGATTGAGTTTTTCATCACTGGACGGAGCCGAGAACAGGTTGCAGGAGGAGGGAGAGCGGATGCTCGCTGGTCACCAGCTGTTCCTGCCGTCTGGGGCACGTCGGATGTTTTCACAGGGAAAGTTATGGGAAGCTCCGTTAAGATAATGGCCTCAGCTGCCGATAATGGCGATTCCTCTGTTAATCGGGGTGTTGTGGCTGATGTTTGACGAAGAGGGTGATGGGTTAACCGGTTGTTTTCAACATGTTTTTACTCCCGTTTCCTGGAAGATACCTTCAGCCCAAAAAATTATCAGTAGAGTGGTTTGCTACACCATCACTACACTCGCGATGGAAGCTGTTCTCCATGCTTCCTCCTTGGGGAATTGTTTTTGCAGAAAAGGAAACAACAGCGATAGCAAAACCGCAGAAGGAAAAAGCGACGGCCTCTCGGTGTACAGTTCGATTTGGGATTTCACAAAGACTGTCGTTTAATTCCCGATCGTTCTTCCCATTCCCAGGCAACATCGCCCTCTCACAGTCTCCTTTCTACTCCGATGCGTACCGCCTGGCGTCCGATAACATGCTGCGGCCTCACGACGGAGACCAGGTGGTCCCTTCTTCCCAGAGACGGACGCTTTTTGGGGGCAACCCGAGAGGAGCCAAACCCCTGCCACCTCTGCCTGACCCCGAGGAGGTCATGTCTGACGAGGCCGCCGACAGCGAGGTGGAGTTTTTCACCAGCGACCGACGGCGCCTCTTGCCCAAAAGCTGTCCCAAGGCCATTTGCAGGGACAAGAGCAGAGACTCTGGCCAGGTGAATTACGCCTACCAGGAGAGCTCGTGGCGGGCGGCCGGTGCTGGGACCGGCGCCGTGGCTTTCTCCTGGCCAAGCAGAGACGACAGGCCAGCCGGTAGAGGAGGCGGCTTCTGGGCTCTCGCTCCCCCGGGTGAAGATCACCAGCGTGTGGGCTCAGCAGTCGGCGACGCTTTGTCCAGCAAGCAGCCCGACCAACACGGACTCCGGTTCCCCTTTCCAGGCGCCGCTCCACAGCCGCTCCACGGCGGCACCTCTGAAAAGCCCCTAATCCCCCCTCGCGTCCCTATCCCGCCGAAGCCTCCGGCTCTCTCAAAAACCGCGAGCTCCAACGAAGAGGACAAGCCTCCCAAAATCCCTCCGAGAGTCCCCTTGGTCCCGCCGTGCCCGCCACGCACCCCGAGCCCCAAACGCCTTCCCATTTACATCAACGGAGTGATGCCCGCCACGCAGAGTTTTGCTGCTAACCCAAACTATGTGAGTAAGACACTGCAGAGACAGCAGAGCGAACGGGTTCCGCCCGCGGCCCAGTTCCCTCCCTGCATCGTTCCCATCGTGAAGGACGGCAGAAAGGCCAGCGCCACACACTACATCCTGCTGCCGCCGGGCCGGCCGCCGCACTCGGACAGGCGGGAGAGACTCCTGAGCGAACCGGCCCGCGTGGGAACCAGCGGCGACTGGCAGAACAGATAGGAACCGTTCGCGGTCTCAACCCGGGGCGAGAGAGTCGACGGGTACCGAACTGTGAGCGGCGCCGTCGAGCAGAGCGACCTGCCACGTTCACACTGTCATACTGGTTGCTGTTTTCAATGTCACGCGACACTGTGAGGGTTTTATCTTTTTTTTATCTTACCGGTCAGTATTGTAGCAACATGAAACAGTTATAACATTCCAGTATTTTCACTCACAGATGAGGATATTAAGATTATCGTTTTCATTTGTGTTTTCTCTCAGTGACTTCTTGTCACTCATTTACTTTTAAGTGCGCTCATATCACTAATACTACATGTCTTACAAGAGAGCAAATCATTAGTGTACGTACAAGCTGGGCTTGTACTAAACTGATCATCCCATGTGCATTTTTTAATGACAATGCTGCTTGGAATTCTAAAAGTACGATTTATTTATCTTTTTGCTGAATCATTCTCAAATTAAGATACATGTCAAATTTAACAAATGTGGCCAATATTAACACAAAACACGGTATGAACTACAGTGAAAGAAACACATGACAAAGCGCTTAACTTTCAGTGCTTACTGCTTTTTGCAGCAGACTAAATCCCTCCTGCAAAATAGCACACGCGCGCATAGACTCTTATTCCATCCTCATGTGCTCAATCTATTTAAGGGAAACAACGGTCTCACCAACAGAATACATGACTGAAACCCACGGCCAGCCTCTAAATGATTGACAGGTCTTTTTAATACATATGAAGTACGCAGGTAGACTACTTACGTTCTCGCTAGTGTTTGCAGGAAAAGCAGCTTGTATTTTCCTTCATGCTCAGTGGACACGTTTTGATATTTATGAATTATTTTTATCATGTATGTTTTTATCTTAAACAAGGTATGTTGAAAAACAAAAGTACCAATTGGGCCTTTAATGATTGTTTGTGTGGGCATGGAAGTCATGTTACGTTTACACTGTAGCGATGCAGACCCCCGTCTACAACCTTTGTTACATCAACAGGTTGGAAGTTCTCATGAAGATTCAGTGCCAGATTTGGCCTAAGCAAAAGTTTATAAGTTAATAATGTTGTCAAAAGTTAATTGTTTTTTAATCTATTTATAGAAATAAAATAACTTATTCATTCTATGTCCAAGGGCTCAATGTTGTCTTTCCACATCACAACTATGGTTTGTACCAAAAATGCATGTATGCTCTGGAATGTTGGGAAAACAGAAAAATACACTCAAACTGGAGTTCTGTAACAAATTTTAATGGAGCATCAACAGCGGCAGACATCAGAACTTCTAACACAGGTATGAGCTGCAGGATGAGCTACATGTACATGATGTACATAAAGACCAGCCTACTCATGGTCCTTTTCACAATTTCATGGCGAAGACATGTGACTGTGCCTTTGGTGGGAGAGCAACCAGCAAATAACCATTAAGTCCATTCTATGTTATTTACCATCAACACACATTGCTTTTGGGTATCAGTGATTCTGCAGGATAGAAGTTTCAATGTCGCATGGCCAATGTCTTTTTTTCCACTGATCTCAATATGCAATCTCTCCCCATTAGAGCAGTCTACTGAAGCTGAAATGTCAAACTATATTTTTTTTGGGGGAAAAAAAAAAAACTACATTGTTTAACCATTTAATTTTCACATGTGTGGGAATTTACAAACTCCAACAATTTGTTAAATCCTATTTCATTGATTTATTAGTTATGTGTTAAACGCTTGATCAAAATGACATGGCACAAAAAAAAACTACATTGAAATGATTCCTTGTGCTTGCAAAATAAGTTATAAACATAAAAACCTCGACTAATCCCTCCTTTCACCCCACCGTCCCCTCACCTCTGCAGTTCCTTAAGGGCATTATTAAATTTGACCTGTGTTCTTCTACAGGCACCGTCTCTTCCCCTCGGGCTGAGCTGCTTCGTGCAGCCTTGCGGGCTGCAAGAGAGGAGATTGCGACGATCGCTTTTACCGCCAGGCCCGGTTTAGCAGTTTGACTTCTGCCAGGCGTTTGCTAATCATGGTGGCAAAGAAAAGTGCAAAGAGAACGCTACTGATCAGCATGTAGTCGTAGTCGTCTTTCAGTACGTCAAACTGCTTGGAGGGATAGACGCGTGTTTGGTAGATGTCGAGGCCGTATGCCACCACCTGGAAGGAAAGGAAATGATGAAACGCGGGATCGAGTGGATGTTAAAGCGATGAACACCACAAATGGTGGAAATTCAGACACAATGTGGCAGTTTAACAAGTTTTTTTTTTATAAACCATCATTGTGTCGGTCTCAGTATTTCTATGGCGGACTCACCAGGCAGGTTGACTCCAGTCCAGACGGCGCAGTGTGAATTCCTCGGACTCGTGATACAGTCTGATTGTAATTAATGAACCACTCCGTACGGATCAGCAGCTCTGGCGCGTACGGTATCAGGTTCTCTTCCCTGGAGGCCGAGAGCGTGTTAGACAGAAGCACAGGAAACATTTGAACAGTAAATAATAATAATAATAAAATGCTTCAAATCCAATTTGACTGGAAGACGCACCGGCTTTGCTCCGATACAATCTCTGGCCGCCGAGGGTCGAGGAACATCTTGGGTAATGACAAAATCCCTCCAGACGGCAGGCCAACTGTTATGAAGGGAAATTACATGTATTATAAGCAGTAATGGAAAGAAGGGGATTGTCTTCACTGGAGTAGTACACAGCGGCCCAGAAAGGAGGCACTGCCTCAGACTTACTGAGCAAATGGCGGCTGGTGATGCCTTTCTCTGTCAGTGTGGCCTCCATGGTAGAAATCGAGGAGGGGAAAATGTAAGACTGCTGAAGCACTTGGGGAGCATGCGGCCGATCCAGCGAGCTGAACACGGTGCTGTTGTAGAGCTCCATCCCTTCATACAGTTCAATGACTGAGAACTCGTTCCTACGAGATTTCGTGCTCCAGTACTCGTACTGCGGAATCACACACAGACGTTAGAAACATGAAGATCATGGCGGTTCCCTTTCGACCTTCGCTTCCTCTTGTGCTCAATAACAATGTCGGTGCAGTCACTTTAGTAACTGCTGCAGATATTTTTTATGTAAACTGGCAAATAAAAGCTGCCTTTAGCTGTAAATATTACTTACCACCACCCAATTTTCAGAGTGCACAACATGCACGGGCCCTTTGGTCTTCCTCTGAACAGCCTCGTGGATGATGCGACCGGTCACGCCATCGATCAGGAGCATCCCGACGAAGCTTCGCTCCTGATGCAAGTCTGTGCTCTCAGTCACCACAGCCAGAAGATTTGGGTTGAGGTACTGTGAGCAATTAGATGAAACACAATTCAGCATCTTGATCAAGGTTAACAAATTGTTATTTTTCGTAAGAAACGTGACTTTTGTATTGCAGTATGGCATTACACATGGAAAATAGTGAATTCAACGGTTTCAGAGTTGCTACCTTACTGAGACAAATTGGATTTAAAATGTAGTTTACAAATCTACAGTTTGGATTAATTGTATATAATCTTTAAGAGTATGCCTTAAAGAAATAGACAAAAAGGTATTTTCCTTATTTCCTCCCTTCAGGAACTTTGTGTGTCAGGCTCTGCTCTCTCCCTTCTCTCATCCTACCTCGACTGACGCACCTACCGGGTAACCTGGCGAGGATCTGTGTCGGAACCTTGTCCTCTTACTACTGGAGTTCCTCAGGGTACCGTCCTGGGTCCCCTTCTCTTCTCGCTCTACACCAACTCTCTCGGCGCCATCATTCGCTCGCATGGCTTCTCCTACCACAGCTATGCCGATGACACCCAACTAATTCTCTCCTTCCCTCACTTGGACACTCAGGTGGCGGCACGGATCTCTGACTGACATCTCTCAGCGGATGTCCGCCCACCATCTGAAAATCAACCCCGACAAGACTGAACTACTTCTCTAGATTCTCCGACCCAGGACGTTAACCGCTAGGAACCTCGGCGTCACACTCAACAGCCAACTCTCCCTGACTCCCAACATCACTGCGACAACACGATCCTGTAGATACACGCTCTACAGCATCAGGAGAATACGTCCCCTTCTCACTCAGAAGGCAGCGCAGGTACTGATTCAGGCTCTTGTCATCTCCCGCCTGGACTACGGCAACTCCCTCCTGGCTGGTCTCCCTGCCACCGCCATTCGACCTCTGCAGCTCATCCAGAATGCAGCAGCTCGACTGGTCTTCAACCTTCCGAAATTCTCTCACACTACTCCACTCCTCCGCTCTCTTCACTGGCTACCGGTGGCTGCCCGCATCCAGTTCAAAACATTGGTGCTCTCATACCATGCTGTGAATGGATCGGGTCCAGTCTACATCCAGGACATGGTCAAACCCTACATCCCGACCCGCACACTCCGCTATGCTAAACTGCTCGTCCCGCCCTCACTAAGAGCAGAACACTTGACAAGATCACGACTCTTTGCTGTTCTGGTGGAATGAACTCTTTGATGACACCAGGACGGTAGAGAGCCTTCACATCTTCCGCCGCGAACTAAAGACACACCTCTTCAGACTCTACCTCGACTAAAAACAAATTGTAGCACTTACTTATAATAGCTCTTATCTATAACAAGTTGTAAATCAGCTAACTTGATGAATTTGCACTTTCTTGTTCTTCAAAGTTTGTATCCTTATGGTTGAAATCCACGTATTGTAAGTCGCTTTGGATAAAAGCGTCAGCTAACTGTAATGTAATGATGACAGCATGTATTGGCGGTTATTTCTCACAACACATATAGAGTGTGATTCACTGGGGAAACAGTGACGCGATGTAACGAATTCTTTGGAAAGTTTTCAGCCTGCATCAAACAGGAGGAGTTACTCCGTCTTTCTGGGTGACGTGGTACAGCGAGAGGTCGAGGCAATTAACCAAATCCAGCACCAGTAGGAGACGTGACAACATTTTCAAACTCTCTCAGCACGCTTTCCAAAAACAGTGTCAATGAAAGTTTCAGGGGAAGTGCTCATACCTTATAAAGGACACTGCGGTCTCCCATGACTCTGCCCTGGGAGTGCACGTGCTCATTGGGCCTTTTCCCTTTGACCGAGAGAATCTTCTGTACCTCGGTGGGGAGGACGATCTCCCAGATCAGCTCAGTTGACAAGTCCTGAGCACACAAAAACATTCAGAGGATTTTTGTTTTCGCCAGTCAGTCAGTCATCCGTGAAGTGTCATTTCATGTTGATTCACTGTGAGATCAAGAGCAATAGAACCGACTTCTGGCTAGAAGACATACATACATACATTTTGACTCACAGTCAAGTCTACTCTAGGTCTTCATTCTCTACTCGATATACCAGGTATTTCCCATTAAAAATATACTTTGCATTCTTGAACATTTTTTCAATACTGCATTATAGACTACAATGATATCTAACTATGCGAACTGCTGGCTCTGGTTTTCTACAACATGTCCCTGGAGTCGTGAAGCCTGATGTGAGAAGAACACAGAAATAATTCAGCAAAAGGTTGACTTACCGTCCGTAGCCTGTAGCCAGAAAGTCGTCCCTGGCTGGAGTCCACAAGATAAAAGAATATGGA